GCCTTATTTTTTCATAGTGGAAAATGCTCATAACACAAAAAACCCCCAAATAAAGTAGAGCATAATTAGTTATTTTCACCTGCTCACACATCCTTTGGGCCAGTTTGGTTTTTTCCATTGTTAATGAGCATGGAAAGAGAAAATTTGGGTTCTGTGTGGCCTCCTCTGATCCCAAGGGACAATTCTCCAGGAAGGATGGAGCTGCATCCACCTCTGGGGTGCCAAAGGCATGAACCTGTTGAAATGAGTCCAGAGGAGGCACCAAGATGATCAGGGGAGCAGCTCTGCTGTGAGAAAAGAGTTGGGATTGTTCAGTTCAGGAGAAGAAATTGGGATTGTTCAGCCTGGGGGAGAAAAGGCTCTGGGTTCACCTCTTTGTGGCCTTGCAGGACCTAATGGGACTGAAAGAAAATGGAGAGTATTTAAACTGGAGTGGAGGGACAGGACAAGGGGCAATGGCCTCCCACTGCCAGCGGGCAGGGGTGGCTGGGGTGTTGGGAAGTTCCTCCCTGTGAGGGTGGGGAGGCCCTGAGGAGCTGAGGCTGCCCCTGCATCCCTGGCAGTGCCCAAGGCCAGCCTGGAGCACCCTGGCACACTGGAAGGTGTCCCGGCCCCGGCAGGGGGGGAAGGGGTTGATCTTTAAGGTCCCTCCCCACCCAAACCATCCCATTATTCTGTGACTTTTCTTACCAGAGCTGCAGAGTAAAGACAAGCAGCACAAACACCCCTCCCATCCCCACCTCATACCATTATTTTGACTAAAAAAACACCAAAAAAAATCAAAACAAGTTTTATTTTACTGACAGCTCATCTCTGGGTGAAGAACTGCAAGGAGCTTTTTCAGTCTTCCTACAACAAAGAGCGGCTGGATCAGCCCCTGCAGGCTTCAGTCTGGCTCAAGAACTTCAAAGCCTCCAATGAACGTTTCCTGCAAGAGGTTTGTGGCTGCAAACCCCAGCCCTGCCCCGTGCTGGTCTTCAGCTGCTGCAGGAAAAGCACTTTAGTCCCTCTGGGGGTGGCTGGTGCTGGTGGATGCTTCTCCCTCATTCTGCAGTCCAGCCTTGCTTTGCCTCCTGTCACCCCCAGTCTCATCATAGTTTTCTTCCCACAGATAAAAACACAGAAAAAATACATTTGGGGCAAAAGAGAAAGCACAGAGGAGGGCAGACCTTTGAGGGAGGTGGTGGAGCAGGTAAGGAACAGCCAGTGCTGCTGGTGTGGTCTCACCTGGTGCCACAGGATCCTGTGGTTGTGGCACAGATTGCTGCCAAAGATCTGAGAGATACTGGGGAATAGAAAGTCTCTTTATCAACAAAAGATGATGTGGTGGATCTGTGCAGAAAATTTGGATGGAGACAAAGTTAGAATTTGAAATTCCCGTGTTTTGATGCTCAAACTGCTCTTGGAAGATGTTGTTGACTGTCTTCCCCTGGAAGGGCTGCCCAAAAGTCACCCCCTGGCAAGAAATTGTCTGGGTTTGAACAGACAGGTGTCTGCTAAGGAAGGCAGGAACCTCCCCTGAAATGGAAAATGAATTATTATAATTTTGAATCCCTCTGAATTGTAATTTTAAAATTAAGGGGCTCTCGGGCAAAGATATGGGAGCAGGAATAACAGTTCTTCACTGGGAAAACTAAAAATACAAATGTAATAATATAAAAAAAACCCTGACACTCAATGGCCCATGGACAGAAGATAATTAATAATTAATGGTCCATGAACAGAAGATATCTCCAGGAGGGAGGATTGTGGAAGAGATAAAGAAAATTGCCCAGTGAACAGCAGATAATTGCCCCACCTGGTTTTAACAGTGTTAATTTTAACAATTAACAGCAGATAATTGCCCCACCTGATTTTAAGTGTTAAACAGTGTTAATTTTAACAATGACCAGCAGATGACTGCCCCCCCTGGTTTTAACTGTTAATTTCAGTAATGACCAGCAAATAACTGCCCCCCCTGTTTTTAACTGTTAATTTCAATAATGACCAGCAGATAACTGCCCCCCCTGTTTTTAACTATTAATTTCAATAATGACCAGCAGATGACTGCCCCCCCTGTTTTTAACTGTTAATTTCAACAATGACCAGCAGATGACTGCCCCACCTGGTTTTAACAGCATTACTTTCAATAATGACCAGCAAATGACTGCCCCCCTGTTTTTAACTGTTAATTTCAATAATGACCAGCAGATGACTGCCCCCCTGTTTTTAACTGTTAATTTCAATAATGACCAGCAGATGAGTGCCCCCCTGTGACAGACAGCTCCCAGCCCAGGTGAACCTCTCCTGGCAGGACTGGGGCAGGCTGAGCTGTGGCTGTGCTCCCTGCAGGGCCTGGCTCGGGTCAGGAGCGCCAGCGACGCCGTGGGGGTGCTGCTGCGGGAGCTGAAGCTGCAGAGCCAGCGCGGCTCCTGCCGGCTCCTGGTGGCCGTGGACGGCGCCAACGCGCTCTGGGGACGGACGGCGCTGAGCAAGGAGGACAAGAGCCCGGTGAGCAGCTGCCTGCTGGCCTCGGCACGGTCGCAGCAGCGCTGCTGGCAGCAGCGGTCACGCCTGGCGTTGTTCCAGCACGCGTGGGTTTTGTGCGTTTGTACAAAAGCCATAAGTTCGCGTTTTATTCGTTGGTCACTTCAAGTGCTCATCGTTACAGGCTTCTTATTTCTCCTTCTTTCTGTCTTGGTTTCTATGTTTTCTAAGTTTTTTTGGTATAAATTCTTTCAGGGGTAAATATGGATCATCCCAGCTGCCTGCTGGCCTCGGCACGGTCGCAGCAGCGCTGCTGGCAGCAGCGGTCACGCCTGGCGTTGTTCCAGCACGCGTGGGTTTTGTGCGTTTGTACAAAAGCCATAAGTTCGCGTTTTATTCGTTGGTCACTTCAAGTGCTCATCGTTACAGGCTTCTTATTTCTCCTTTCTTTCTTGGTTTCTATGTCTTGTTTTCTAAGTTTTTTTGGTAGAAAATTCTGTCGGGGTAAACATGGATCATCTTGTCAAACTTGTCTCTGGCTCACAGAAATCACTGTAGAACCTCTTCCTCAGATGCCTTTTTGGGCTACCTAAAAACAGAGGCCAGACAAAATGAAGGGAATAAAAGCAGTTTTATTTATTGAAGGGTCTTCAGGTACGTTTTGGGCAGACAAAGCCCCCCAGGGGCTGCACCCAAAAATGGACAATGCATCACAGGTTTTCAAACTTCTGTTAGTTTGGTCCATTTGCATATTGGGGGTTAACCTTCCAATTACAGTATTAAAGTCATTTACCCCAAGTTTGCTCCCCCATCTCACTTTTGTTTACATTTTTCAAGGTTTTGATGCAGTGAGGTGTCCTTGATTGCGAGGCCTGGAGAGGAATTGTGTCTGCCCAAAATGGGAGAGCAGCAGCTGACACTGGAGTTAGCTGGATATGGAGTTATGCACCAAAGAATTGCAGGATACAAACACATAAAAATTAGAAAATATATTTTTAAATTTATGTAAATATATATATATATATTTAAAAATATATAAAAATTATAAAAACTAAAATCCTGAGGCTCTTTCCCCCAGAGCTCTGCCCTGGGCACAGCCCTGACTCCTGCTGCAGGGAGAGCAGGGAGGCTCTGTGGTTCACTTTTAATTCTGTGGCAATCCCTGAAAGTTCAGGCTTTGGAGGAGCCTGAGAGGTTCACGCTGTGCTTCAGAGAGTTCTCCTGAGTTTCTCCTGTCTCTCCCTGAGGCAGAATGCAGTGGGGGTTGCAGAGGCAGGGCTGGGTGTTGCTCAGTGCAGCGTGACTCAGGCTTGCAGGGCGAAGGGAAAGCAAAGAATAAAACATTCCTGGAGGATGGGAATGATCCTGCCAGGCCAGCTGGAAGGAGGGAGGGGAGTTTGTGTGCTGGCAATGAAATGGTGATGCAGACAATCTCCACCAGGTTTCTCCCGAGGAGCTGACGCTGGTGCACAACCTGAGGAAGATGCTGATGAACGACTGGGTGAGTTCCAGGCTCTGCCTTTCCCTCTGTCTCTGCCAGCAATTAAATCCCAGCAATTAAATCTGCCACAAGCCCAAAGCTACGAGTGCAGCAGCGCTGAGGGAGGGCACAGGCCCTGCAGCAGTGTCTCCTCAGAGATTGTGACACCCCCTGAGGACAGTGGTGACTGCTGGACTCTGCAGCAGCATTTCCTGATCCCCCTGGCAGGCTCTGCTGCAGGACCCTGAGCTGGAGGTGTTTGACAGCCTTGGGACCCTTTGGGTTATGAGTTCTTTGAGCCAGTGAGAACTCCTGGTTTCTGAACATTTTGCTGGAGGAGGTCAACTCCTGCTGCTGCTTTTTCCATCCCCTGGATGCTCAGAGCTAGAAGGAGTAGGCTGCAGATTTAAAGGTGTATAGGAAAGTCCATTTTAAAGTATTTCACTTGTTGGCAGAGAAAACCCATTATAGGTAAGGAGAGTTTTGGTGCCAGCCCTGGGAACATGAGCTGTGTATTTATTTTCCCTGTGCTCACATGGAGCAGCCAGGATTAGTGTGGTCTGGAGCATTATAAAAAGTTAATCTTGCAGAATTTTTGAAGAATGCAGATCCCAGAACGGGATCTTAAAGCCCACTCAGTGCCACCCTCTGCCACCTTCTGCTGTCCCAGGCTGCTCCCAGCCCCATCCAGCCTGGCCTTGGGCACTGCCAGGGATGCAGGGGCAGCCTCAGCTGCTCTGGGCACCTGTGCCAGGGCCTTCCACCCTCCCAGCCAGGAATTCCCAATTCCCAATATCCCATCCAGCCCTGCCCTGTTACTGTGAAACCATCTCCCCTTGTCCTGTCCCTCCATGCCCTGTCCCAGTCCCTCTGCAGCTCTCCTGGAGCCCCTTCAGGCCCTGGCAGGGCTCTGAGCTCTCCCTGGAGCCTTCTCCCCTCCAGGTGAGCACCCCCAGCTCAGCAGAGGGGCTCCATCGTGGAACCCTTGCTGCAGCAGCTCCATCCTGCAATAAAAAAATGCCTCGGAGATGATTGATCCTAAAGCAGCACTGGGTTTGCAGCTGACAGGATTTTTATTTCTGCTCTGCCTTCCAGAGTGGAGGTGCCATTGTGACCACCCTGAGCCAGACTGGCTCGCTCTTCAAGCCCAGCTCAGCCTACACTCCCCAGGAGCTGCTGGGAAAGGTGAGCCACGGCCTCTTCTGGGTTTTTTTTCCCCTCTTCACATTGGGAAAGAAACAAAAAAAATTGGTTGGTGCTTGGTTCTGTTCAAGGGGACGCTGCTCAGGCTCTCTGGGGATCACACACAGCTTTGGGTCAGCAGTGCCCTGAGTGCCAGGGGAGCCACAAGTGTCCTGGGCTGTGCCAGGCACGGGGGCAAGGCAGGGACTGCCCTGCCTGGGGCACTTTGGGCACCACGGTCTGGGAAGGGCCTGGAGGATGAGGAGCATCGGAGGGCATTTCTGTCCAGCTGGGAAAGAGGAGCCTGGAGGGAGAGCACAGGGATCTGCAGCTCCTGGGGAGGGGCAGCTCTGATTTCTGTGAGCAGGACAGGACCCAAGGAACGCTGGAGCTGTGTCAGGGAGGGTTGGGCTGGACGGCAGGAAAGGAGCAGGAAAAGGCTCTTCTCCCAGAGGGTGCTGGCACTGCCCAGGGCATGGGCACAGCCCCAGGGCTGCCAGAGCTCCAGGAGCACTTGGACACCACTCCCAGGCACAGGGTGGGATTTTGGGGTGCTGGGATTTTGGGGTGTCTCCAGGGCCAGGAGCTGGACTGGGTGATCCGTGTGGGTCCCCTCCAGCCCTGGCCATTCCATGACTGCCCCTGGGCCGTGTCCCCACCCAGCCCCACCACTGACCCTGCCTGGCCTCCCTTCCCAGGAGGGCTTCGATGCCTTGGACCCCTTTGTGCCCATCGCTGTCCCCAACTACAGCCCCAGGGAGTTCGAGAGCTGCTACGGCTACTACCTGGAGCGCAGGTGGCTGCAGCACGAGAAAGGTCGGTGCGGGCGGAGGGGGCACCGGGCTCGGTTCCCTCCTCCCTGCCCAGCCCCTCCAGCTCTGGTTTTCTCTCTCGCAGCGCACACGGAGGACGGCAAGGCGGAGCTGCGGTTCCTCAGCGGCTGCAACCCGCGGCAGCTGGACCGGCTGGCGGGGCCTCTATAGCGCAATAAAGGCTCCGTTCTCCCGGTGTCCGTGTCCGTGCCTGTATCCCGGTGCCCGTGTCTGTGTCCCGTGTCCGTGTTTGTATCCCGGTGTCCGTGTCCGTGTCCCGGTGTCTGTGTCCCATGTCCCGTATCCCTGTCCCGGTGCCCGTGTCTGTGTCCCGTGTCCGTGTTTGTATCCCGGTGTCCGTGTCCGTGTCCCGGTGTCCGTGTCTGTGTCCCATGTCCCGGTGCCCGTGTCCCGTGTCCGTGTCTGTGCCCGTGTCCATATCCCGGTGTCCGTATCCCAGTGCCCGTGTCCGTGTCCCGTGCCCGTGTTTGTATCCCGGTGCCCGTGTGTGTGTCCCGTGTCCATGTCCCGGTGTCCGTGTCCCGTGTCCGTGTCTGTGTCCCATGTCCCGTATCCTTGTCCCCGTGCCTGTGCCCGTGCCCGGTGTCCGTATCCCGATGTCCGTGTCCCGTGTCCGTGTCTGTGTCCCATGTCCCGTATCCCTGTCCCCGTGCCCGGTGTCCATGTCCCGGTGTCCGTGTCCCGTGTCCGTGTCTGTGTCCCATGTCCCGTATCCTTGTCCCCGTGCCTGTGCCCGTGCCCGGTGTCCGTATCCCGATGTCCGTGTCCCGTGCCCGTGCCCATGTCCCGGTGTCCGTATCCCGATGTCCATGTCCATGCCCGTGTCCCGTGCCCGATGTCCATGTTCCGGTGTCCCGTGCCCGATGTCCATGTCCCGGTGCCCGTGTCCCGTGTCCCGCGTGTCCGTGTTTGTATCCCGGTGTCCGTGTCCGTGTCCCGGTGTCTGTGTCCCATGTCCCGTATCCCTGTCCCGGTGCCCGTGTCTGTGTCCCGTGTCCGTGTTTGTATCCCGGTGTCCGTGTCCGTGTCCCGGTGTCCGTGTCTGTGTCCCATGTCCCGGTGCCCGTGTCCCGTGTCCCGTGCCCGTGTCCGTGTCCCGTGCCCGTGTCCGTGCCTGTATCCCGGTGCCCGTGTCTGTGTCCCGTGTCCGTGTTTGTATCCCGGTGTCCGTGTCCGTGTCCCGTGTCCGTGTCTCTGTCCCAGGTCCCGTATCCCTGTCCCCGTGCCCGGGGTCATGTCCCGGTGTCCGTATCCCGATGTCCATGTCCATGCCCGTGTCCCGTGCCCGATGTCCATGTTCCGCCGTATCCCTGTCCCCGTGCCCGGGGTCATGTCCGTGTGTCCATGCCGTGTCCCGGTGCCCGTGCCCGTGCCCGTGTCTGTGTCCCGTGTCCCGGTGTCTGTGCCCGTGTCCATATCCCGGTGTCCGTATCCCAGTGCCCGTGTCCGTGTCCCGTGCCCGTGTTTGTATCCCGGTGCCCGTGTGTGTGTCCCGTGTCCATGTCCCGGTGTCCGTGTCCCGTGTCCGTGTCTGTGTCCCATGTCCCGTATCCTTGTCCCCGTGCCTGTATCCCGGTGCCCGTGTCCGTGTCTGTGTCCCGTGTCCCGTGTCCATGTCCCGGTGTCCGTGTCCCGTGTCCGTGTCCCGGTGCCCGTGCCCGTGCCCGTGTCTGTGTCCCGTGTCCCGGTGTCTGTGCCCGTGTCCATATCCCGGTGTCCGTGTCCCGGTGTCCGTATCCCGTGTCCGTGTCCCATGTCCCGTATCCCTGTCCCCGTGCCCGGTGTCCATGTCCCGGTGTCCGTATCCCGATGTCCATGTTCCGGTGTCCATGTCCCGGTGTCCGTGTCCGTGTCCCGTGTCCGTGTCCGTGTCCGTGCCTGCCGCGCGTGCCCGGCCCCGCCGTTGTCCCCGCCCGTCCGGGGCGGTCCCGGCCGTGACGCGTTCCCGGTTCCTGCGGGGCGATGCCGGGCGAGGCGGTCACGCTGCAGCTCGGGCACTTCTCGGGCTGCGTGGGCGCGCACTGGTGGGGGCTGCAGGTGCGGGGGGAGCCGCGGGACGGGCCGGGGCCCCGCGCCGCGCCTGGTGGCGCTGGAGCTGAAAGGTACCGGGGCGGGAGCGGGGCTCGGCCCGCAACGCGCGGCCCCGCCGTGACCGGGCTGTGCTTGCAGGCGGCGTGGGCGCGCTCGGAGCGGACGGGGCGGGCACGGAGCCGCCGGTGAGCTGGTGAGTGCGGGACGGGGCTGCCGTGAGCCGGGGAGTGCGGGACGGGAGGGGACGGGGCTGCCGGTGAGCGGGGAGTGCGGGACGGGGCTGCTGATGAATGCGTGATTGGTGAGCCGGGGAGTGCGGGACGGGGTTGCTGATGGATGCGGGATCGGTGAGCCGGGGAGTGCGGGACAGTGCGGGACGGGACGGGGCTGCCGTGAGCCGGGGAGTGCGGGACGGGACGGGACGGGGCTGCTGATGAAGGCGGGATCGGTGAGCCGGGGAGTGCGGGACAGTGCGGGACGGGACGGGGCTGCCGGTGAGGGGAGTGCGGGACGGGAGGGGACGGGGCGGCCGGTGAGCGGGGGGTGCGGGACGGGGCTGCTGATGAATGCGTGATTGGTGAGCCGGGGAGTGCGGGACGGGGTTGCTGATGGATGCGGGATCGGTGAGCCGGGGAATGCGGGACGGGACGGGACGGAGCCGCCGGTGAGCCGGGGAATGCGGGACGGAGCTGCTGATGGATGCGGGATCGGTGAGCCGGGGAATGCGGGACAGTGCGGGACGGGACGGGGCTGCCGGTGAGCCGGGGAATGCGGGACGGAGCTGCTGATGGATGCGGGATCGGTGAGCCGGGGAGTGCGGGACGGGTCCCGCAGCTGCCGCCGCTCTGTGTCGCAGGGACGGGGCCGTGGCCGATTACCGGGACCGGGGCCGCTCGTCGCGGGACACCGGGAGCCGCAGGGTGAGAGCGGCCGCGGGTCCCGCACCGCTCCGGGACCGGGGGCGAGGCGGAGCCCCCCGTAAGCGGGGATCCGGGTTGTTCCCGCAGGGAGACGCCGCCGGGGACGGGAAGGGGAGTCCCGGTGCTGCGGGGCCAGGTTTGTGCGCGGGGCCGCTCGGGCTGGGCTCGTTCTCGGGGGTCGGTTCCAGAAAGGCAGAATTCCCTGGCTCCCGCTGTGGGACACGTTAGGAACAGGGAGAAGGAAAACCGGGAGAAGAGTGCTTGGCTTAGGGAGAGCTGGGGCACAGCAGATGGGCTAAAAAACTGGACAGGTTGAAAAACTGATTTTGCGTTCATGGGGATGCTGAGAGCTCAAAAAGGATGCTCAGAGCAGAAAGGGGATGCTCAACTGAAAGGGGAGGCTTGGAACGTGTGAGAAAACTGATTTTACGTTCACAGGGATGCCCAGAGCAGAAAGGGGGTGCTCAGAGCTGCAAGGGGATGCTGAGAGCAGAAAGGAGAGGCTCAGAGCATGTCAGAAAACCGATTTTATATTCATGGGGCTGCTCAGAGCTGCAAGGACCTTTGCTCTGCCCTCTGCCTCCCTGCAGGTGCAGCTCCTGCAGGGTCCCAGGCTGCTCCCCCAGTGAGGCTCTGGTCTGATTACCTCAACGTTCAGCTGCACCCCAAGAGCCTCTACGTGATCCGGCAGTACCTGCACGATGGGTAGGGCCAGGGCTGAGTTTTGCCCTCAAGGATGAATGAAAGTGATAAAATAACCCCTCTCTGCCCCTTTTTCCCCCAGGGATTGTGGCTGCCTCGAAGCCTTTGGGCAAGGTGAAAGTCTCCTGCAGGACCCTGCCTGTGTGGAGGAGCTGGAAGATCGGCTGCACTTCTTTGTTGAGGAGTGTGATTACCTCCAGGTTCACACCTTCTCCGAGCTCCCTTCGCTTCCAGGAAACTTTCTGCTCAAGGTGAAGCAGATTCTGAGGTGCTGCCGCTGTTTCCCACAGGGGTTCCAGGTCCTGTGTGACATCCACAATGGATTCTCTGGAGTTGGTGCCAAGGTGACAGAGCTGCTCCACGACGAATATTCCCGCAAGGGGATCCTGACCTGGGGCCTGACTCCAGCCCTGAGCGCTGCGGGAGTGAGTGAGCAACGGGCAGAGCCAAGGACAGGCTCTCACAGGCTCCTCTCTGCTCCTCAAGGTTCCAGTGGTTGGGTTTTTCTCCCCTCCAGGACCCTCAGAGGAGTTTGTACAGAGTGATGAACACAGCCCTGGGCATTGCCCACCTCTCCCGCCACAGCTCCCTCTTCTGCCCCCTGTCACTCAGTGGGAGTCTGGGGATCAGGCCAGAACCTCCTGTGACCTTTCCATACATAAAATACAACGTAAGTCCTGGACTGGCATCTCCCACCGTGGCTGCCTTTGAGCTCCTGCAGCTTTACCCCTCTCAGTGTTTCCTGCAGCTCTGTGGTTTTTTGTGGTGCTGTTCTGCTCAGCAGAGACCTTTTCCTGCTTTTTCACTGGGACTCAGCTGCCAACTTTTCATTTCTGTCGTTTTCTCCCTGCTTTGGAAAACATTAACACATTTCCTTGGCTGTTGTGCTTTCTGGTGGGGTGCTGGTGAAGAAAAGGCTTTACTACATTATTCTCCATGCTTGGAGTAACTCCAGCCCCACTGGTGCCAAAGACAGATAAGAAAACTGGCACCAAAGCATTTGTCAGCCAACAATTTGTCAGCTGGAGCTACAGTTGCACACTGGCTGCTTACCCCAACCCTGAAATAACTGTAAACCACCTCTTCAAAGGCACAATTTACAACCTAAGTTGAACAGCCAAACTGTGAGCTGCCCTGCAATTGCTGCATTTGTCTCCTCCCCAGGCATCCCTGAACTACCACAGCAGTGCAGTCCTGGCAGCAGCACTGGACACCCTCACAGCTCCCTACAGGCTCTGCTCCTCCCAGGGCTCCATGCTGCACTTTGCTGACTCCCTCACCTTCTCCGGGAGGAAGGTGAGGATGAGGACGCCTTCCAGCTGTGCTGCAGCTGTTCTGCAGAGCCCCAGCTGTGCCAGGAGCATGTTCCAGGCTCTGCTCTGTCACCCCCACCCAGGTCGTGGCTGCTTGGGCAGCTCTGCCCTTCCCTGCCTTGCCTGGCTCCTCGCTCCCTGATGTTCTCAGTGCCCACCAGGATGTGCCCTGGAAGCTGCTGTCCTCGTGCAAGGAGCAGAAGGGCAGCTGCTGTTTTGCTCAGTCTGCCGTGCTACGAGGAATTTGCCAGGAGAAAGCCACCAGGTAAATCAGCATCAGAACTGCACTCTGCAGCATTCCTCACTCCCAGCATTGAGGAGCACCTAGTGCCTGAGTGCTGCTGATTTTAGAGCAAAGCAGCTAAAAAGCAGCTGAGGCATTGGTGGTTTCAGGCTGGAAAACGCTGAATTTCCTTTGCAGCAGCTGCCTGGGCCAGCCCAGGTCCCCCCTGCACAGCTGTGAGAGCCCTGAGCAGGTGCTGCAGCACTACCTGCACACCCAGTTCCCAGGGGCCTTCAGGTGGGTGCAGGTTTGGAGCTTCAGGGCTGCTGGTTTAGCACAGGAGCGGCCGAGGGAGCTCTGCTAACTTTGTTCACCTCCTCACAGCACATGCCACGTGCTCCAGCAGCCCTGTCCCACCCAGCCTCCCTTCCCCCAGTTCTTCTCTCCTCTCCTGAGCAGACGAGGTTTCCTCCTGGACAAAGCCCAGGGCCTTTCCTCAGCAGGTAACAAACCCCCTTCGGCTCTGCAACAGAGAGATCAGGGGGCTAACAGAGGTAAAAATTACCAAAATTATTAACAACAAACCCAAACGAGCCATAACCCAAACGAGCCATAACCCAAACCTGCACACCCAGTTCCCAGGGGCCTTCAGGTGGGTGCAGGTTTGGAGCTTCAGGGCTGCTGGTTTAGCACAGGAGCGGCCGAGGGAGCTCTGCTAACTTTGTTCACCTCCTCACAGCACATGCCACGTGCTCCAGCAGCCCTGTCCCACCCAGCCTCCCTTCCCCCAGTTCTTCTCTCCTCTCCTGAGCAGACGAGGTTTCCTCCTGGACAAAGCCCAGGGCTTTTCCTCAGCAGGTAACAAACCCCCTTCGGCTCTGCAACAGAGAGATCAGGGGGCTAACAGAGGTAAAAATTACCAACCCAAACGAGCCATAACCCAAACGAGCCATAACCCAAACGAGCCATAACCCAAACGAGCCATAACCAGAATCACCAACACAAGCACCCAAGCTGAGCTCCCGCACACCCAGTGCTCCTGAAGCTGCACCAGGCTGGCATTTGGTGGCTGTTTAACCCCTGCCGTGCCTGTCTCCCTGCAGGTGTTGAGAGCATGCCCGTGCTGGCAGCGCTGCAGAGCTGCCCTGGCCTGCAGGGGCTGCTCTCGGGGCTGTGCCGGGAGCTGCGGCGCTGCTGCAGCGGCTCCTGCACGGCTGGGCTGCAGCACGACGACGTGCAGGAGGCCCTGGAGGAGCTCAGGAGCCTGGCCCAGTGCTACCAGACAGGCTCTGGGGCTGCTGGATCCGAGGATGAAGAAGATTCAGACTAATCCAGGCTGGGAGGGGCTGTAAGGTGGCTCCCAGAATAAAGGAATTTTTGGAGATGGTCCAGCTGCTCACTCTTCTCATTTTACCCCAAAAATCTTCTGAGTGAAGTTCTTCTTCAGTTGTGTTGCTGCTTTTTTGGGGGATGGTTTTATACCTTTTGGTTGGGTTTTTTTCAGCTGTGCAAATTGGATTTGCTCTGCCTGGTCAAATAAACCCACACAATAAATAGAAAATTCAGTCTGTGACTGTCTCACATACAATCAGCACAAGGGGAGAACTTAGAAAAAGTCACGTGTTGGTTGCACAGAAAACTGACATTTCAGGTACAATATTTACAGGGTGCTGGGCCCAACCTTCACCCCCAGGCCAGGTCAGTGTCCACAAGTCCTGTTACTCCACTGCTGAAGCTCCCCAGGGGAGTTCTTGACAATTTTCTCCTTTTACTTCCTGCCTTTGGCTTGGTACAGGCTGGAAATTGAACCAAAAATGAAGGTGCTGTCTCAAGTACCTGTGCAAACATTTTTTTCCACAGCACCTGTCTAGCAGCAAAAAAAAAAGCAAAAAAACCCTCTTCTGGTGCAGTGAGATCACCTCAGTCATCAGGCTCTTCCTCAGAGAGCAGCAGATCTTTATCTGACAGCTGGTCTGTGTTACTGGTGCTGGTGGCATCCTCCTCATCCTCAGAGCTGCCGTCACAGGAGGTGTGGAACAGCCTCATCAGCTCCCTGAACCTGTGGGACACCTGAGAGAGGGAAGTGCAGGCTCAGAAGGGACCTCACGGGACTGGCATTGCACATTGCAGAGCCCAGGGTGCTCTGGAACACCAAAATAAATCAACACCACGGTGGCATTTCGCCCAGGATGGAGGCACAGAGGAAGAGCCCTGGGGTTTGTTTTCTCTGTGACGTTCTCCAGGTGAATCTGGCACTTTGGGAGCATTCAGAGACAAAAGCAGATTTGGGACAGGAGGAGAGGCCGAGTGGCAGCCACTGAAACAACTCCAAAAGTGCAGCTCAAACATCAAACATCAGCCCTGCCAGGGGGACCAGGGCACTCCTGGCACCACGAAATCAGAACAGACTTTGGCTTGCTTTTTTTTTTGTTTGAAAGTGAGATTTTTTCATCAAACTGAAGGTGGGGAGGCTGACAGGACAGCAGGCCCTCCCTCCCAGCCCCCTCACCTCACTGGCTGTCTTGTTGCCCAGTTTCTGGGAGATGGCCTGGAAGGTGTCCAGCTGGGCTCCCTTCTCCTGGCACGTGGTGAGGATGACTCTGTCAGCCTCCCTGCACAACAGAACCCCTGTGAAACACCCCAAAACCAGCAGCACCCCCAAAAACTGCAACACCCCCAGCAATCCCTGAGCAAGGCTCCTCCTGCCACCCCAGCCCAGGAACCCTCGCCAAGCACAGCTCCTTCAGCCTGCAGGAGGTTTGTGAAGCAGGTTTTAAGGGTTTTTGGAGGAACCTTCTGAGAAGGTTTTAAGGGTTTTTGGAGGAACCTTTTGAGAAGGTTTTAAGGGTTTTTTGGAGGAACCTTTTGAGAAGGTTTTAAGGGTTTTTTGGAGGAACCTTTTGAGAAGGTTTTAAGGGTTTTTTGGAGGAACCTTTTGAGAAGGTTTTAAGGGTTTTTGGAGGAAACTTTTGGAAAGGTTTTAAGGGTTTTTTTGAGGAACCTTTTGGAAAGGTTTTAAGGGTTTTTTGGAGGAACCTTTTGAGAAGGTTTAAAGGTTTTTTTGAGGAACCTTTTGAGAAGGTTTTAAGGGTTTTTGGAGGAAACTTTTGGAAAGGTTTTAAGGGTTTTTTTGAGGAACCTTCTCAAAAAGTTTTAAGGTTTTTTGGAGGAACCTTTTGAGAAGGTTTTAAGGGTTTTTTTGAGGAACCTTTTGGAAAGGTTTTAAGGGTTTTTTGGAGGAACCATTTGAGAAGGTTTTAAGTTTTTTTGAGGAACCTTCTGAGAAGGTTTTAAGGGTTTTTTGGAGGAACCTTCTCAAAAAGTTTTAAGTTTTTTTGGAGGAACCTTCTCAAAAAGTTTTAAGTTTTTTTGGAGGAACCTTTTGAGAAGGTTTTAAGTTTTTTTGAGGAACCTTCTGAGAAGGTTTTAAGGTTTTTTGAGGAACCTTTTGGAAAGGTTTTAAGGGTTTTTTGAGGGACCTTTTGAAAAGGTTCTGAGTTTTTTTTTTGAGGAACCTTCTGAGAAGGTTTTAAGGGTTTTTGGAGGAACCTTTTGAGAGGTTTTTTCCCCAATCTGAAGTGCCCCAATAAGAGCCCTGCCAGGAGCATCTCATGGGGCCAAACTGACGGACAGAGCAAGGTCCAGAGGGAAGGGTCACAAAATAAGGACACAAAATAAAAAGAAATAATAAATAATAATAAATAATAAAAAGCAAGAGCTGGAGCCAAGCAGGGCACAGGAAGGGCCGGGGAGCAGCAGTACCTGGTCCAGAGCACAACCTTCTCCCCGGTGGAGCTGACCTTGCTGTTCTTGGCACACACGGTGGCCTCTGTCACCCGCTGCTGCTGCTGCTCCTCCTCCCTGTGCCGCGGGGCGCGGGGCTGCAGCTGCGCAGGGGGCTGCAGCAGGGAGCTGCTGCTGCTGCTGCTGCTATCTGTCCTGGGCCTGCCCTCAGGAGCAGCCCCAGTGCAGCCTCTGTGCTGCGGCTGCAAGCTGCAGTGCCCAGGGGAGCCTGAGCTGCAGCTCTGCCCTGCTGCTGCTTTGCTGCTGCTCCCCTGCTCTGCTGCATCTCTGCTGCTCCCCTGCCCTGCAGCTCTGCTGCTCCAACGCTGCTCCCCTGCAGCTCTGCAGCTGCACCCCTGCCCTGCTGCTTTGCTGCTCCAGACCTGCTCTGCTGCATCTCTGCTGCTCCCCTGCCCTGCTGCAGCACTACAGCTGCTGCCCTGCTCTGCTGCTGCTTTGCTGCTGCTTCTCCCCTGCTCCCCTGCATCCCTGCTGCCGCTCCAGCCCCCTGCAGCTGTGCACTCCCCTGCAGCTCTGCAGCTGCACCCCTGCCCTGCTGCTTTGCTGCTCCAGACCTGCTCTGCTGCATCTCTGCTGCTCCCCTGCCCTGCAGCTCTGCTGCTCCAACGCTGCTCCCCTGCAGCTCTGCAGCTGCACCCCTGCCCTGCTGCTTTGCTGCTCCAGACCTGCTCTGCTGCATCTCTGCTGCTCCCCTGCCCTGCAGCTCTGCTGCTCCAACGCTGCTCCCCTGCAGCTCTGCAGCTGCACCCCTGCCCTGCTGCTTTGCTGCTCCAGACCTGCTCTGCTGCATCTCTGCTGCTCCCCTGCCCTGCTGCAGCACTACAGCTGCTGCCCTGCTCTGCTGCTGCTTTGCTGCTGCTTCTCCCCTGCTCCCCTGCATCCCTGCTGCCGCTCCAGCTGCTCCCCTGCTCCGCTGCATCTCTGCAGTTCCTGCCCTGCTCCGGTGCAGCTGTGCAGCCCCTGCCCTGCCCTGCAGCAGGCTGCAGCCCCTCAGGCTCCCCTGGCAGCCCCCCTGCAGCCCCCCCGGGGCAGGGGCACTCCTTGGACTCCCGAGGCAGCTCCAGAGCAGCTCCCTGCAGCGGCGCGCAGCCGGGGCCGCCAGAGCCCGCGGCTGCAGCGGAACCTTCCGGAAGCCGGGCAGCAGCAGCAGGGGCAGGCTGGGCACAGGGGCTGCTGCACGGCTGCCTGCCCTCCTGGGACCCTGCGGGACACAGAGCGCTGTCAGCAGCTGCAGCCTGCCCTGCACAGGGGCCTCGCTGTGCCCCATAAACGTGCACTGACAGTAAATACATTTCAATATATAAATATATATATATAGAGACAGATATTATAGATATTTAAATTTTAAAAAAATATCACACCTGCAGGGCAAGGAACAGTCACCCGCAAGGCACAGTCACACCTGCAGGGCAAGGTACAGTCACACACCTGCATGGCACAGTCACACACTGCACAGCACGGCACAGTCACACACCTGCAGGGCAAGGAACAGTCACCGGCAAGGCACAGTCACACCTGCACAGCATGGCACGGTCACACACTGCACAGCATGGCACAGCACAGTCACACACCTGCAAGGCAAGGCACAGTCACACCTGCACACCCAGGCACAGTCACACACCTGCCCTGTGCCCACTGCTGGGCTGCCCAGGGCTCACCTGACATTGGTTTGCTTTACAAACTCTAAACAGTCACCTGCAAGGAACAGTCACACACTGCACAGCAAGGAACAGTCACACACCTGCAAGGCACAGTCACCTGCAAGGCACAGTCACACCTGCACACCCAGGCACAGTCACACACCTGCAGGGCAAGGAACAGTCACTGGCAAGGCACAGTCACACCTGCACACCCAGGCACAGTCACACACCTGCCCTGTGCCCACTGCTGGGCTGCCCAGGGCTCACCTGGCATTGGTTTGCTTTACAAACTCTAAATAATTTATTATTATTATTATTATTATTATTATTATTATTATTATTATTACTACTACTATTATAATTATCATTATTATCATCATTATCATCATTATTATCATTATTTTACTTGTATTATTATTAATAATGTTAATATCATTATCATTATTATCATCATTATCATCATTATTAGCATTGTTATCAATATTATCATCATTATCATCATTATTAGCATTGTTATCAATATTATCATCATTATCATCATTATTATCATTATTTTACTTGTATTATTATTAATAATGTTAATATCATTATCATTATTAGCATTATTATCAATATTATCATTATCATTATTATCAATATTATCAATATTATCATTATCAATATAAATATTACCAATATTATCATTATTACCATTATCATTATCATTAGTAATTATTATTGTTGTTGTCATTATTATTGCCAATATTAATACTATTATTATTGTTATAGTTATTGTATTTTTGTATTTTATTATGTATTTTATTATTGTTATAGTTATTGTATTTTTATTAATTTATTATTAGACTCATTACTAGCACTGTTATTAACACCATTATTATTGCTATAGTTGTTCTATATAATTATGTTATATTTAGTTATAATTATGTTATACATGTATATATAGTTATCATTATCACTGTTATCAACACCATTATTACTGTTACTGTTATTTTATTTATATTGTGGTTTTATTGTTATTGTTATTAATATAATCATTATTACATTTTATTTTATTTTTCATTATTATTGTTATTGTTATCATTATAATTGTTATTAATACCATTAACATTGCTGCTATGTTGTTATTACTGTTACAGTTATGTGATGATGATGATGATGATGATGATTATTATTATTTTTAACAGAAATTGATCTTTTCACATAGTGTAATTGTTATTAATACCATTAACATTGCTGCTATGTTGTTATTACTGTTACAGTTATGTGATGATGATGATGATGATGATGATGATTATTATTAACAGAAATTGATTTTTCCACATAGTGCCATGCCACCATCATCCACTCAACAAATCAACCAGAACACCAAAATTGCAATAATTTGTGAGGGCAAGGAGGGGAGGCAGAAAGTGAGGAGGGGGAGAGGGGAGGGGGCTCCTCTGGATGGATTCCCCTGCTCACCCCAGGGTTTGGGGGATCCCGGGGGGTCTCCCTAGGGTTTGGGGGGTCCTGGGGGTCCCCAGGATTTGGGGGGATCCACAGGAGGGTCCCCAGGTTTGGGGGGTCCTGGGAGGGTGCCCAGGGTTTGGGAAGATCCCTAGGAGGGTCCCCAGGGTTTGAGGGATCCCGGGGGGTCCCCAGGGTTTGGGGGGTCCTGGGGGGGTCCCCGGGGTTTGGCAGGTGTGACCTCATCTGGGGGGTGATTTGGGGTCAGTTTGGATGATTTTAGGTCAATTTGGGGCCATTTTAGGTCAATTCGGGGCCATTTTGGGTTAATTTGGGGCAGTTTTGGGGTTACCTGTGGGGCCAGGTGTGGCTTCACCTGGGGACAGGTGTGGTGGCACCTGGGGACAGGTGTGGCCTCACCTGGGGGGTGGTTTGGGGTCAATTTGGGGGTTTTTGGGGCAATTTTGGGGGGTTTCGGGCTCAGTCCCGGGGCAGTCCCGGGGGGTCCCGGGGGGGGTCCCGGGGGGGTTCCCAGGCTCTGGGGGTCCCCAGGGTTTCGGGGGATCCCGGGAGGGTCCCCAGGCTCTGGGGGTCCCGGGGGGTCCCGGGGGGTCCCCAGCCCCGCTGACCTTGCTCCCGCAGTGGCTGCAGCTCCTCCTCTTGCCCTTCCTCAGCCTCAGCTCGCTGCCGCCCTCGCGGCACGAGCACGAGCACGAGAGTTCCTTCAGCTCCTTCAGCCCCTCGGCCCACTCGGCCTCCTGCGGACAGACAGACCGACCGGCTGACAGACTGACTGACTGACTGACAGACCGGCTGACAGACTGACTGACAGACAGACTGACTGACAGACCGACCGGCTGACAGACTGACTGACAGATGCTGACTGACCCAACTGCCTGACTGACTGACAGACAGACCGACCAGCTGACTGACTGACAGACCCAGCTGCCTGACTGACTGACAGACAGACCGACCAGCTGACAGACTGACTGACTGACCCAACTGCCTGACTGACTGACAGACAGACCGACCCCGACCGGCTGACAGACTGACTGACAGACCGACTGGCTGACAGACTGACTGACTGACAGACGGACTGACTGACAGACCGACCGGCTGACAGACTGACTGACAGACCGACTGGCTGACAGACTGACTGACTGACAGACGGACTGACTGACAGACCGACCGGCTGACAGACTGACTGACAGACCGACTGGCTGACAGACTGACTGACTGACAGACGGACTGACTGACAGACCGACCGGCTGACAGACTGACTGACAGACCGACTGGCTGACAGACTGACTGACTGACAGACGGACTGACTGACAGACCGACCGGCTGACAGACTGACTGACAGACCGACTGGCTGACAGACTGACTGACTGACAGACGGACTGACTGACAGACCGACCGGCTGACAGACTGACTGACAGACCGACTGGCTGACAGACTGACTGACTGACAGACGGACTGACTGACAGACCGACCGGCTGACAGACTGACTGACAGACCGACTGGCTGACAGACTGACTGACTGACAGACGGACTGACTGACAGACCGACCGGCTGACAGACTGACTGACAGACCGACTGGCTGACAGACTGACTGACTGACAGACGGACTGACTGACAGACCGACCGGCTGACAGACTGACTGACAGACCGACTGGCTGACAGACTGACTGACTGACAGACGGACTGACTGACAGACCGACCGGCTGACAGACTGACTGACAGACTGACAGACAGACTGACTGACCCAACTGCCTGACAGACAGACTGACAGACAGACCGACCCAGCTGCCTGACAGACAGACTGACTGACCCAGCTGCCTGACAGACAGACTGACTGACCCAGCTGCCTGACAGACTGACAGACAGACTGACAGAACCCCAGCTGACAGACAGACTGACCCAGCTGCCTGACAGACAGACTGACTGACCCAGCTGACAGACAGAGCCCCAGCTGACTGACAGACTGACAGACTGACAGACTGACAGACAGGGGCCATGGGGGCTCCAGCAGAGAACGGCAGCGCTGCTGGCCAGCAAAGCACAACAGAGCCAGCCCCACCCCAATTCAATCCACATTTAATCCAAATTCAATCCAAATCTCACCCAAATTTAATCCCAATCTCCCCCAAATTTAATCCAAATTTAACCCAAATTTAATCCAAATCTCACCCAAATTTAATCCCAATTTAACCCAAATTTAATTTGCTCACAGCTGAGAAACACCAGCGAGGTGCCCCAGACCAAATGTAATCCAAATTTAGTCCCAAATTAATCCAAATTTAGTCCCAATTTAACTCAAATTTAACCCAATTTCATCTGCTCACAAGTGAGAAACTCCAGGGACATGCCCCAGACCCAATTTAACCCCAAATTGAACCCAAATTTAATCCAAATTTAACCCAAATTTAATGCAAATTTAACCCAAATTTAATGCCAATTTAACACAAATTTAATGCCAATTTAATCCAAATTTAATCCCATTTAAATCTGCTCACAGGTGAGAAACAACAGGGAGGTGCCCCAGCCCCAATTTAATCCAAATTTAACCACATTTAATTGCAATTTAACCCAAATTTAACCAGATTTAATTGCAATTTAACCCAAATTTAACCCAAATTAACCCAATTTGACCCCAGTTTCAGCTGCTCCCAGGTGAGACACTCAGGGAGGTGCCCCAGCCCCAATTTAATCCAAATTTAATCCCAATTTAACCACATTTAATTGCAATTTAACCCCAAATTAACCCAAATTAACCCAAATTCACCCAACTTAACCCCAGTTTCAGCTGCCCCAGCCCCACCTTGTCGTGCTGCTGGCCTCCCATCTCCTTCCTCCTCTTGTTCCTGGTGGCTCCGTGGATTTTGGGTGGCTCATCCTCCTCCTCCACATCTGGCAGAGACACCTCCTCGAAGCCATCAAACTGCAGCACGAGAAACACACAACAAAATTGTTATTTTCTGGGGTTTTTTTTAAAAAAAATTAATTTTTTTATAAATTTTCTGGGTTTTTCCCCCCTGAAAATCAAAACACTGCTCAAAAAATCCAAAGGGCTTGCTGTCCCACCCCTCTGCTGCTGGAATTCACCCTCTGAAATGGAGATCTTGCAGGTGAAATGTGATTTTTATCTGTGCCTTTGGCAGGTATTTTGGTTTCAGGGAGACCCCTGCACCTCGTAGTCCTTCTCTTCCGTCCAGTTGATCTCCTCGAAGTCTCCCATGCGGCTGGCGCAGGGCCTCAGGTGGTCGAAGAAAACCGAGAACTCATCCTGCAGGTGGTCGTGGCCCTTCAGGAGCTGCCACACCTGGGCCTTCAGCTGGAGGGGATCGGAGAAATGGAGATCGCCTGGGCTCCGGGCCGCGGTCAGCGCGGCCGCAGCGGGGTGGCAAACGCGGGGAGGGAGGGGAACATCGGGGTGGAAATTAAAGGAAATTAGGCGGGAAATTAGAGCAAATTAATCTGGGATTAAAGCAAATTAATATGGAAATTAGATAAAATTAACCTGGAAATTCAATACAACTAATCTGGAAATTAAATCAAATTAATCTGGAATTAAATCAAATTAATCTGGAATTAAATCAAATTAATCTGGAATTAAATCAAATTAATCTGGAATTAAATCAAATTAATCTGGAATTAAATCAAATTAATCTGGAATTAAATCAAATTAATCTGGAATTAAATCAAATTAATCTGGAATTAAATCAAATTAATCTGGAATTAAATCAAATTAATCTGGAATTAAATCAAATTAATCTGGAATTAAATCAAATTAATCTGGAATTAAATCAAATTAATCTGGAATTAAATCAAATTAATCTGGAATTAAATCAAATTAATCTGGAATTAAATCAAATTAATCTGGAATTAAATCAAATTAATCTGGAATTAAATCAAATTAATCTGGAATTAAATCAAATTAATCTGGAATTAAATCAAATTAATCTGGAATTAAATCAAATTAATCTGGAATTAAATCAAATTAATCTGGAATTAAATCAAATTAATCTGGAATTAAATCAAATTAATCTGGAATTAAATCAAATTAATCTGGAATTAAATCAAATTAATCTGGAATTAAATCAAATTAATCTGGAATTAAATCAAATTAATCTGGAATTAAATCAAATTAATCTGGAATTAAATCAAATTAATCTGGAATTAAATCAAATTAATCTGGAATTAAATCAAATTAATCTGGAATTAAATCAAATTAATCTGGAATTAAATCAAATTAATCTGGAATTAAATCAAATTAATCTGGAATTAAATCAAATTAATCTGGAATTAAATCAAATTAATCTGGAATTAAATCAAATTAATCTGGAATTAAATCAAATTAATCTGGAATTAAATCAAATTAATCTGGAATTAAATCAAATTAATCAGGAAATTCAATAAAATTAATCTGGAAATTCAACCAAATTAGGCTGGAAATTAAATCTAATTAATCTGGAAATTAAATCAAACTAGGCTGGAAATTAAATCAAATTAATCTGGAAATTAAATCAAATTAATCTGGAAATTAAATAAAATTAGGTTGGAAATTAAATCAAATTAGGCTGGAAATTAAATAAAATTAATCTGGAAATTAAATCAAATCAGGTTGGAAATTAAAGCAAATTAGGCTGGAAATTAAATCTGATTAATCTGGAATTAAATCAAATTAATCTGGAAATTCAATCAAATTAATCTGGAAATTAAAGCAAATTAGGATGGAAATTAAACAAAGTTTGGCTGGAAATTAAAGCAAATTAATGTGGAAATTAAATCAAATTAGGCTGGAAATTAAATCAAACTAATCTGGAAATTAACTCTAATTAATCTGGAAATTAAATCAAATTAATCTGGAAATTAAATCAAATTAATCTGGAAATTAAATCAAATTAATCTGGAAATTAAATCAAATTAATCTGGAAATTAAATATAATTAATTTGGATATTAAACCAAATTAACCTTGAAATTAAATAAAATAATCTGGAAATTCAATAAAATTAATCTGGAAATTAAACCAAATTAGTCTGGAAATTAAGTCAAATTAGGCTGGAGATATTCCTCCAGAATTCCAGAATTAAATTGGGTCTGGGGCACCTCCCTGGTATTTCTCTCCTCTGAGCAAATGAAACTGGGATTAAATTTGGATTAAATTTGGATTGAATTTGGATTGAATTTGGATTAAATTGGGTTAAAATTGGGCTGGGGCATCTCCCTGGTGTTCCTCACCTCTGAGCAAATGAGATTGGGATGGAATTGGGATTGAATTGGGATTAAATTTGATTAAATTGGGTTAAATTTGGATTGAATTGGGATTAAATTTGGATTAAATTGGGTTAAAATTGGGCTGGGGCATCTCCCTGGTGTTCCTCACCTCTGAGCAAATGAGATTGGGATGGAATTGGGATTGAATTGGGATTAAATTGGGAATAAATTGGGATTGAATTTGGATTAAATTGGGCCTGGGCACCTCCCTGGTATTTCTTATCTGTGAGCAAATTAAATTTGGATTAAATTGGGATTGAATTGGGATTGAATTTGGATTGAACTGGGATTGAATTGGGATTAAATTCGGGTTAAATTTGGATTAAATTGGGATCAATTTGGGATTGAATTTGGATTAAATTTGGATTAAATTGGGTCTGAGGCATCCCCCTGATACTTCTCAACTGTGAGCAAATTAAAATGGGATGAAATTTGGATTAAACTGGGATTGAATTTGGATTGAATTGGGATTAAATTGGGAATAAATTGGGAATAAATTGGGAATAAATTGGGAATAAATTGGGAATAAATTGGGAATAAATTGGGAATAAATTGGGAATAAATTGGGAATAAATTGGGAATAAATTGGGAATAAATTGGGAATAAATTGGGAATAAATTGGGAATAAATTGGGAATAAATTGGGAATAAATTGGGAATAAATTGGGAATAAATTGGGAATAAATTGGGAATAAATTGGGAATAAATTGGGAATAAATTGGGAATAAATTGGGAATAAATTGGGAATAAATTGGGAATAAATTGGGAATAAATTGGGAATAAATTGGGAATAAATTGGGAATAAATTGGGAATAAATTGGGAATAAATTGGGAATAAATTTGGGATTAAACTGGGCCTGGGGCACCTCCCTGGTGTTTCTCACCTGTGAGCAGATTAAATTGGGATTGGGCAGGGTGGAACCCCAGCCTGGGCAGCTGCAGGGATGCACTGACAGAACTGCCCTTTGTGTCCCTAAAAAGGGAAAAACCCACAAGTTCCTCTCCTCAGACACCTCACAGGAGCTGGGGAGGCCACCCCAAACTGAAGGACAGGAAACTGGGCAGGGGACTGAGCAATCCACTAGAAAAAGAAGAGACTAAAGGAAATAATCCCTTTTGTGGGGTGTTTTAGCAGGAGCAAGAACCTCTTGCCCTGGCTCAGTTTTTCTCTGCAGAGTTTTGTTATTTTGCCTTTTACTGAAACCTTTCTGTTTCCCACACCACCCCAGGAGCCATCCTGCTGATTTTCTGCCTTCTGAGGTGGCTGAGCTACCCTGGGTGTGAGATAAACCCCCAGGAGCTCACAAAACCTGGCTCAGAGACCCCGATTTCAGGCAGCCTCTGCAATCCCCCTGAAGCCCAGGCTTGGGTGGGAGCTGCAGAAACCTGGCCTGGAGGGAGGTGTCAGACAGACAGACAGAGGTGGAATGAGATGGCCTTTAAGGCCCTTCCCAACCCCAATCATTCTGTCATCAACCAATGCATGGATTTGATCACAACAGCTTTTTTTGATTGGATTTAATTCAATTGGAAATTGATGAAAAACGTGCTGGGCCAGCTCCTGTGGTCTGCAGGGGGACAGGGACAGGCCAGGGACAGCACAGGGACAGGGACAGCACAGGGACAGCACAGGGACAGCACAGGGCAGGGAAGGAGGCTGGCTGGCAGGAAAGGCTCCCTGTTACCTCTGCAATCTCCTGGGGCACACAGTCTGCACAGCTCTGCAGGACTTTGATGATCTTTTGGTGGTGGGCAGGATTTTCAGCAAAGCAGATCTCCAGCTGCCTGAGGAACTTCCTGCTCTTCTCAAAGGCTTGCTGCTCCTCAAACTGGCCAAAAGAAAAGAGATTCAAGCATGTTCAAAAATGAAAAAGATTCAAGTGTATTCCTAAGCATCTGGAATTGACTTAAACAAATAAAATTCACTGGGCTTGGTTTTCCATTGTGTTGATGCCATTCACAAAATTGGGAAGAGGCAGAGAAACACCACTTTGTATAATCAACATTTATAAAGTTTGGCTTTGCTCACAAATCAGGGAAATTCAGGAGGAATGGGAGAGGTGAAACCTGAAAAATTCAGGAAAAATTGAAGAGATTAAACCTCCATCCTGCAAAATTCAGAAGGAATGAGAGAGGTGAAACTTTCATCCTGCAGAATTCAGGAAGAATGGAAGAGGTGAAACTTCCATCCTGCAGAATGGAAGAGGTGAAAGCTCCATTCTCCAAAATTCAGCAGGAATGGAAGAGGTGAAACCTGCAAAATTCAGGAAAAATTGAAGAGGTGAAACCTCCATCCTGCAGAATTCAGAAGGAATGGGAGAGGTGAAACCTCCATCCTGCAGAATTCAGGAAAAATTGAAGAGGTGAAACCTGAAAAATTCAGGAGGAATGAAAAAGGTGAGAATGGAAGAGGTGAAAGCTCCATTCTCCAAAATTCAGCAGGAATGGAAGAGGTGAAACCTGCAAAATTCAGGAAAAATTGAAGAGGTGAAACCTTCTTCCTGCAGAATTCAGGAAAAATTGAAGAGGTGAAACCTGAAAAATTCAGGAGGAATGGGAGAGGTGAAAGCTCTACCCTGCAGAATTCAGGAGGAATGAAGAGGTGGAAGCTCCATCCTGCAAAATTCAGGAATAATAGAAGAGATTAAACCTCCATCCTGCAAAATTCAGGAAAAATTGAAGAGGTGACAGCTCCATCCTGCAGAATTCAGGAGGAATGGGAGAGGTGAAACCTCCATCCTGCAGAATTCAGGAAAAATTGAAGAGGTGAAACCTGCAGAATTCAGGAGGAATGAAGAGGTGACACCTCCATCCTGCAGAATGGAAGAGGTGGAAGCTCCATCCTGCAGAATTCAGGAGGAATGGGAGAGGTGAAACCTGCAGAATTCAGGAGGAATGGGAGAGGTGAAACTTCCATCCTGCAGAATTGAGGAGGAATGGGAGAGTTGAAAGCTCTACCCTGCAGAATTCAGGAAAAATTGAAGAGGTGAAACCTGCAAAATTCAGGAGGAATGAAGAGGTGGAAGCTCCATCCTGCAAAATCCAGGGGGAATGGGAGAGAAGAAACCTCCATCCTGCAGAATTCAGGAGGAATGGGAGAGTTGAAAGCTCTACCCTGCAGAATTCAGGAGAAATGAGGAGCTGACAGCTCCACCCTGCAGAATTGAGGAGCTGACAGCTCCACCCTGCAGAATTGAGGAGCTGACAGCTCCACCCTGCAGAATTGAGGAGCTGACAGCTCCACCCTGCAGAATTGAGGAGCTGACAGCTCCACCCTGCAGAATTGAGGAGCTGACAGCTCCACCCTGCAGAATTCAGGAGAAATGAGGAGCTGAGGAGGAATGAAGAGGTGACACCTCCATCCTGAAGAATGGAGGAGCTGACAGCTCCACCCTGCAGAATTGAGGAGCTGACAGCTCCACCCTGCAGAACTGAGGAGGTGACAGCTCCACCCTGCAAGTGCACCGCAGGTTTGGAGCAGGGGAACCACTGCCCGTTTGCTCTGCTTGGTGTCTCTGCAGCCGAGTGGCAAAGGCTGACCCTGCACAGCCACGCCGAGCAGGAGGTGCACAAACACCACCCAACTCCAACTCTGATCCCCAAAGCAGCAATGCAAACTTGCAGCAGGTCAGAACTGATCACTCTGCCGCTCTTCTTGCCTTTGGGAAGAACCCACCCTCCACTCCCACAAACTTCAACATCACTTCCAATCCTCCCTCCTCCTCTCGCTCCACCTACCAGCCCGCACTCCAAGGCTTGCTCTGGCAGAAGGAAAGCTGCAAAATCTGTCAGCAGCTGTGGCCAGTCGTGCAGCAGCTGCTGCAGGGTGCAGTAGAGATCCACGGCCGTCCGCGCGTCCGCGCCCACCTCGAACTCGTAGATGACGCGAAGGAAATCTTCGTATTTGCCCGGGATGTGCTGCAGGGTCTCACGGACCTGGGGGCACGTTTTGGTTTAGGATACATTCAGGAGAGGATTTGTAAAGGTTTTTTTGAGAAAAGTAGATTTAATTCTTTTTTTTTTTTTTTTTTTTGGTGAAAAGCGGAAAAAAATTGATTTAAACAAATAACATTTAAACAATAAAACTTCAACGATAAAAGTTTTTGTTGTTCTAAAAGAGATGACAAACTGGGAAAAAGTTCTCTCCCCGGGTTGCAGCTTGGTTTTCTTAAGTTTTTATGAGTTTTTTAGTGTTGGAAATGCTGTGGCCCAGGGTTATAGGTGAGAGTTGTTTGTGGTTTTTGGAACAAAAAAGAAAAAATTATAGTTCAGGCAACTTTTTTTGCTTCAGTTAGTTAAAACTAATTAAAAGTCAAGGAGAGTTTTGTTTTGCTGTTTGTTAATTTGCAGACAACAACAGTTTAGGAGTAGGAATGTGGAGGAGTGAGTGCAGTGCCTGAAAACAAATTCTGCTTTTTATTTTTATTTTTTACCTTTTGGAATAAGTTTTAAAGTTGCAAGAGTTATTATTTAGCATGAATAGAATAAGACAACTGGGGATAAAAGTATCATATAGTTAATTTAGGATACTGGACAGCAGGTGACACCCAGGAGGAGAAAGAAGCTGCTCACAGAGTGTTTGTGCTGGAAGGGATCTCAAAAATGAGCTCATTCCAAGCTTTTTTGGGCAATTTCCACCATCCCAGGTTGCTCCAAACCCTGTCCAGCCTCACCTTGGGCAGTCACAGCTGCTCTGAGCACCTTCCCAGGGAGGAATTTCTCCCTAAATTCTTTTAATCCACTAATTTTTGATCTCCCCTACTCAGAACTTACACAGTATTTGCAGTTTTGTTTTCCTGCAGATAAAGCAAAGGTGCTCAGCAGAGGAGGCAAGGTCAGGAATTCAGGAATTCAGGAGTTTCTGCTGCTGTGAGCACCCCCAGCCCCTGAATCCTTCACTTCCAGCTCCCCCTCCTAGCACAGGGGAGGGAGGAGGAAGAGCCAGAGCTGGAAATCAGCAGCAATCTGCTGAAATTTAACTGTGCAGGGACAATTTTGGGGTTTGAATGAACAAAATCCTTTAGTTGGGCAGGTGCTGATTTATGAAATCTAGATGCAGTGAGGAATCTGCTGAAATTTAATTTTGCAGGGACAATTTTGGGGTTTGAATTACCAAAATCCTTTAGCTGGGCAGGTGCTGATTTATGGAATTGGCTGCTGTGAGGAATCTGCTGAAATTTAATTTCACAGATACAATTTTAGGGTTTGAATTAACAAAATCCTTTAGCTGGGCAGGTGCTGATTTATGGAATTGGCTGCTGTGAGGAATCTGCTGAAATTTAATTTCGCAGGTAAAATTTTGGGGTTTGAATTCTCTTCCTTAACAAAATCCTTCAGCTGGGCAGGTGCTGATTTATGGAATTGGCTGCTGTGAGGAATCTGATGAAATTTAATTTTGCAGGTAAAATTTTGGGGTTTGAATTCTCTTCCTTAACAAAATCCTTCAGCTGGGCAGGTGCTGATTTATGAAATCTGGATGCAGTGAGGAATCTGCTGAAATTTAATTTCACAGATACAATTTTAAGGTTTGAATTACCGAAATCCTTTATCTGGGCAGGTGCTGATTTATGGAATTGGCTGCTGTGAGGAATCTGCTGGAATTTAATTTCACAGATACAGTTTTAGGGTTTGAATTAACAAAATCCTTTAGCTGGGCAGGTGCTGATTTATGGCATTGGCTGCTGGATGCAGTGAGGAATCAGCTGAATGATCTTAAACCAAACCATAAAATAAAACAATGGCATTTTTTTGGTTATTTCTAAGGAGACAACCAAAAAAATCTGACTTGGCTTGCAGCAGAGATTTAAACCAAGAAGAGAACTCCCAGGTAAAAAACCTCTGAGCCTGAGGAAGAGCCTCTCTCCTCCTCCTCACCTCCAGCAGCCAAACTTCGGGAAGCGAGTTTCTGTGCCAGAAAACCCCAAATTCCTGCAGTTTTTGGGCTGCCTTACCCTGGTGAGGTAGGCCTGGGCAAAGGCCAGGTCCTTCTGCTCCCGCAGGGGATCCCTCTCCAGGATGTCCTCGTCGTAGAGCAGCAGCAGCTTGGAGCTGTCCTTGCTGCCACGAGCTCTGCCCCTCTTGCTCCTGGTCCTGTGCGAGCCCCTGCTCCTCCCCGGGGCTTTCAGGCTCTCTCCTGTGGAGGAACACGAGCTCAGCTGGTGGCAGAGCACCCCCGAGGGAATTGGGGAGGAATTTGGGGAAAACGTGAATGCGCGGAATTCCCAGCGTCAATTCCCATCATCAGTGGTGAGTTTCTGTCACTTCCCACGGGTCAAACTGGGAAAAAATCCTAATTTTGCTGCTTGTTTCTGCAGTGTCTGACTGGAAATAATCCCTGGGTGCAGCCACAGGTTCAGCCCAGGTTTTTTTTGGGGTTAAAAAATGCTGCGCACATCAGGGCAGAACGGCCAGGAGGGGAACAGAATATCTGAATAAATTCAGATAATTATTCAAATAATAATTCAAACCACAGATAAACACCTGGTGCCACACAACAGGGAATTAAACAGGGCACTGAGAGGGGCTACATCCAGGTTTTTGTGGCTTTTTTTTAGGAATCTGTTGATTTAATGGGCTGAAAGTTCACTGCTCAAGGTCATTCAGCAGTTGGCTTTTGTTTCATTTCCTCTTCCCCAGCCAGATCTTGTCAGACAAAATTCAGCTCAGCCAAGGTTTGGGTATTTAATGTTGTTCTGAAATGACCAGCTGGCACAAACCATGGAGGTGTGTGCAAGAGAGCTGTGCCTGGGCCCTGGAATTGCAATTCCAGCTGGAAAAGCTGGCCCAGAAACAGCCAGGGAATTAAAGCCAGAGAGAACCCCCAGGGCTCTGGGTTCCCTGCAGAGAGCAGCTCCACATGCCCACAAGCTGTCCAAAAACCCCACAGAACTCACCTGCTGGCCAAAAAAACCCCAAAAAATCACCTGCTGCCCAAAAAAAACCCAAAAAAATCACCTTCTGCCCAAAAACCCCACAGAACTCACCTGCTGCCCAAAAAACCCACAGAACTCATCTGCTGGCCAAAAAACCCACAGAACTCACCTGCTGCCCAAAAAAACCCCAAAAAAATCACCTGCTGCCCAAAAACCCCACAGAACTCACCTGCTGGCCAAAAAAACCCCACAGAACTCACCTGCTGCCCCAAAAAACACCAAAAAATCACCTGCTGCCCAAAAACCCCAAAGAACTCACCTGCTGACATCAAAAAAACCCCAAAAACTCACCAGGTGTCCAAAAAAACCCCAAGAACCCACCTGGTGTCCAAAATTAACCCAAAAAACTCACCTGGTGTCCAAAAAAACCCCAAGAACTCACCTGGTGTCCAAAATTAACCCAAAAAACTCACCTGGTGTCCAAAAAAACCCCAAGAACTCACCTGGTGTCCAAAAATAACCCCAAAAATCTCACCTGCTGACATCCAAAAAGCAGAAAATTGACATTAGTTGTGAAGGTTGGCGCCTTCCTCCTCCTCCTCCTCCTCGGAGTTCTCCTCCTGCGAGTTCTCCTCCTCCGAGTCTCCCTCCTGGCTCAGGCGGCGCTCGGCCGCCAGCCACGTCAGCTTCTCCATGGTCTCCTTCAGGGGTGCAAAAATCACATTGTTCCATTGCATCTGACTTTATTGTACTTATTTATTTTATTTTAGTTTCTTGTATTTGACTTTATTTTACTCATTTTATTGTATTTGCTCTATTTTAATTTTTTATTTTATTTAATTTATTTAATTTATTAATTTTATTTTATTAATTTTATTCATTTTATTTTATTTATTTTTAAATTTATTTTTAAATTTAATTTATTTCATTTTATTCATTTTATTTTACTTTATTTTATTCATTTTTTACTTTATTTATTTTATATATTTTATTTTATTAATTCTATTTATTTATTTTATTTTACTTTATTTTCCTTTTTATTTTAATTTATTTTATTAATTTAATTTCATTCCATTTTCTTGTTTGCTTTAATATCATCCAGCAGCTTCCCACAGCCAATTCCATAAATCAGCACCTGCCCAATTAAAGGATTTGTTAATGAACAGGACCCAAACCTTTCCAGAGCTGCCTAAAATTGTAACATTAAATTTCAGATTCTGCCATTCAGCAGATCAGGCTTTCATTTAGAAGGGATTAATTAATGATTCCTTAATGATCATCTCAGCTCTCAGATTGCTGAAATTCGCACCTGCAAAGTCATTTTAATTTGGAATAATTCTTGGAGAGAAACCTCACTGAGGAGTCCTTGAACTCAGCAGAGTTTAAATCTGCATCAGGGCTTAATTTGGAAGGGATTAATTAATGATTCCTTAATGATCTCAGCTCTGAAATTGCTGGAATTGTGACTTGTTCCTGCAATCACTGTCAGAGAGCAGCCCCACCGAGGAGGGCCTGCAGAGTTTAAAGCTGCACATTTGCAATAATTTGCAATAATTTGCCATAATTTGCCATAATTTGCCATAATTTGCAGTAATTTGCCATTTTTCTTAGTCTGGGTTTAAAACGTGCCCAGGAAAAATGGGATTTTTGATTTCTGAGTGAGCAGAACAGCGGCAGGCTGTGAGAGAGATCAGCCCAGCTGCCAGGGGTCCCGGGGGGGGTCCCAGAGGAATTCCCAGGGGGTCCCAGGGGTGCCCAGGGGGTTCCAGGGGTGCCCAGAGGAATTCCCAGGGGGTCCCAGGGGGATTCCGTGGGGAATTCCCAGGGGGATGCCAGGGGGTCCCAGGGGGTTCCAGGGGAGTTCCCAGGGGGGTCCCAGAGGGTGCCCAGGGGGGTGCCCAGAGGAATTCCCAGGGGGTTCCGGGGGGTTCCAGGGGGGTGCCCAGGGGGGTCCCAGGGGGGTGCCCAGGGGAATTCCAAAAGGGATTCCCGGGGGATGCCCAGAGGAATTCCCTAGGGGGTCCCAGGGGGTCCCAGGGGGTTCCGGGGGGTTCCCAGGGAGTTCCCAGGGGGGTGCCCAGGGGATCTCCCTGGGGAATTTCCAGGGGGATTCCCAGGGGGGTGCCCAGGGCGTTCCCAGGGGAATTCCAAAAGGGATTCCCAGGGGATGCCCAGAGGAATTCCCTGGGGAGTTCCCAGGGGGTCCCTGACCCCTCAGGCTGTTAGAGTGATCAGCCCACCCTCCCCAGGGGTTCCAGGGGGGTTCCCAGGGGGTCCCAGGGCGTTCCCAGGGGATCTCCCTGGGGAATTCCCAGGGGATTCCAGGGTATTCCCAGGGGGGTTCCCAGGGGGGTTCCAGAGGATTCCAGGGGAGTCCCAGGGCGTTCCCACGGGAATTCCAAAAGGGATTCCAGGGGGATGCCCAGAGGAATTCCCTGGGGAATTCCCAGGGGGTCCCTGACCCCTCAGGCTGTTAGAGTGATCAGCCCACCCTCCCAGGGGGTTCCAGGGGATCCCAGGGGGGTCTCCAGGGGGTCCCTGACTCCTCGGGCTGTTAGAGAGTGATCAGCCCACCCTCCCAGGGGGATCCCAGAGGGGTCTCCAGGGGGTCTCTGAGTCCTCGGGCTGTTAGAGTGATCAGCCCACCCTCCCAGGGGGTTCCAGGGGATCCCAGGGGGGTCTCCAGGGGGTCTCTGACTCCTCGGGCTGTTAGAGTGATCAGCCCACCCTCCCAGGGGGTTCCAGGGGATCCCAGGGGGGTCTCCAGGGGGTCCCTGACTCCACAGCTGTTTCAGGACACCCACAGCTGCCCCTTTTTCCATTCAAGTTTTATCTTTACCTGCAGCTCTGGCACTGACAGAACGGACTCTTCTGAAGCCGACGACATCTCCTCATCCTCATCTTGTGTGAAATAGTCAAAATCATCCTCCTCCTCCTCCTCCTGCCCCTCCCTGTCCCCGGCAGCCTCGGGGCCAGCTGGGGTCCCCACGGACTGCCCGTCGATGCTGGAGGAGTCCTCTGGCCTCCCTGGGGGGCTGCTGAACTCTGCCTCCCTCTCGGCTGGGTACGGCAGGGGTTTTGGGGAGCCTGGGGGCTCCCCCTGGGGAGGGGAGGGCACAGCCTGGCGCTCCTCCTCTCCCTTCTCCTCGCGGTGCTCCTTCCTGGGCTCATCCCCGCAGGAACACGCGGCCTCCACGCTCAGCTCCTGGCCGAGGCCCAGCAGGAACTCCTCCTTCCTTTCAGCACACAAAAGATCTCTTTTCTGCGCCACGCCGGCTTCTTTGGGAGCATCACCTGAATCTTCAGACTTGATTTCCACCGATTCATCAGGGCCTTCCACGTGAGGCAAGAGCTCCACCACCGGCAAAGGCTCTGCTGCGCCGCCATCCCCCTCTGCCAGCGCCCAGCTGCAGCAGTCACCCTCGTTGCCCTTGTCCCCGGTGTCCCCAAGGGCAGGGCTCGTGCCACTCTCCTCCTTTGGGGACAGGCTGGAGCAGGGCACAAAGAGCTCCGGGGGCTCCGCCTTGGGCTCCACCTTGGGAAAAGCCGGCGGAGCAGGGAGCAGGGTCAGCTGCTCCTCCCCTTCACCCCCGGCGGGAGCGGCCAGACCAACGGGGCTGGGAGAGACAATCAGGGACGGGATGGAAGAGGTCACCAGGGGCTGGCTCAGGGGGCAGGGGAAGGTGGAGGGGTTCACCAGCAGCGTGGTGACAGGGATGGCCTGAGCGCCCCGGGCCACGGCCGTGTTCAGGGGCTGGATCATGTTGCAGCCATTGCCGATGTTCAGCACCTTCACCGTGGTGGCAGGGACGGTCAGGATGACGGGGGAGGGCTGGATCAGAGGGGAAGGTTTGATCACCGGGGCACACCTTGTCCCTTTTTTCCTCTGGTAGCCCTTCCGCACGCACGGCTTGCGCGCCTTCACGCCGGCCGCCGTCGGCAGCATCAGCTTGGGCTGGAAAGCCACCTGCTCTGAGGGCACCAGAGCTGGGGCTACAGCAGCTGGGAAGGCTTGTCTGGAGCTCGGCTGGCCGGTGGGAAGAACGCTCTGGAAGTCCAAGGCATCCCCAGCCGGCAGCACGGCCGGCACGCCGAGGGGCGGCGGCGCGGGCTGGATGGGCCGAGGCACGCGGAGCCGCGCCCTGCCGGGGGCAGCCTCTGCCTGGGACAGCTTCTGAGCTTTTGGGACACTCAGGGGGCTGGAGCTGGGCTGCACGCAGGGACTGGGACGAATCAGGACAGGCTTCAGAGCTGAAGACCTCTGTCTCCTCCAGGCCCTCCTGGAGAAGCGGTTGCCCAAAGGTTTCAGGGTGAGCACGAGCCCCTTGGGCATCAGCAGAGGGTATTTGTCATCTCCTGCCCTGCCCGGAGTCTCCTTTTCTGGCCCCAAAAGGGCAGGTTCTCCATCAGCTGAAGCTGCTGTCTCCTTGGCATCTTCTGCCAGCTGCTTCAGCTCTTCCTGGATGGAGGGCAAGCTTGCCTGAAGGGAGCAAGAATTCGTTATTGGAATTTATTCTTTATTACAGGTTATTTCTGTATTCCCACCTTCACAAAGCAACAGAGCTTCTTCCACCTGCTTCTTTCTTCTAACTTCTTCCACCTCCTTCTTCAAGCAGGATTTATTTCCTTTAACTACTTTAATAGCACTTTAAACTCATGAGTTGCACTGCAAAGCCTTTAGGAGACCCTGAGATCCTGAGAAAAAGGTGGGGTTTTTTTGCTTTATAAAGGTTGGTTTAGTGAACACAAGGTTTTGTGGGAAGGAAAGTTCCCTGTGCAACAGGGGGTGATCAAGAGAAATGGATTTGATGGCATCTGAGTTGTTCCCTTGGGCACAGTCCTGCCCTGACTCACAGGAATGATCCCTGTGCCTCCAAAAAACCCCCACAAAACCAAATAAAACCCCCAAACAATGAAGCAGACAGCAGCAATACCTTCAGCCAGAAGGGCAGGCAATGCTCCTCCCTGTCCACTGGAGCTCTCCACTCGTGGGGCTGGATTTCCTCACAGCACTTGACCAGCACCGGCAGCTGCTTCGTCTTCTTGTAGAACTGTGGGGACAGGACACAAGGTGACACGAGGTCACTGTGCTCGGGGCACCTGCTGGGCCCCCCGCGGTGCTCATGTGAACAAAACACTCCTTTGGTAAGGTGCCACCCCCAGGAACGTGAAAAATCAATAATCGAGGCTCAGCAGGAGCTCACTGCCACCCCGGCTGCTCACAGCTTCAGGCAGCTTTCCAGATCAGTTCTGTCTGGCTTTATGCAGCTGTTGTTTTATGCAGCTGTTGCTTTATCTGGTTTTGTTTTGTGCAGGTGTTGCTTTATCTGGTTTTGTTTTATGCAGGAGATGTTTTATCTGGTTTTGTTTTATGCGGTGTTGTTTTATGCAGATGTTGTTTTTTCTGGTTTTGTTTTGTGCAGGTGTTGCTTTATCTCATTTTGTTTTATCCGGTTTTGTTTTGTGCAGGTGTTGTTGGGTGCAGGTGTTGTATAAAACAGGTGTTGTTTTATGCAGCTGTTGTTTTATCTGGTTTTGTTTTATGCAGGTGTTGTTTTATGCAGATGTTCTATCTGGTTTTGTTTTATGCAGGTGTTGTTTTATCTGGTTTTGTTTTGTGCAGGTGTTGTTTTGTGCAGGTGTTGCTTTACCTGGTTTTGTTTTGTGCAGGTGTTGCTTTATCTCATTTTGTTTTACCTGGTTCTGGTTTATCTGGTTTTATCTTGTGCAGCTGTTGCTTTATCTGGTTTTCTGGTTTTGTTTTGTGCACAGGTGTTGTTTTGTGCAGGTGTTGCTTTACCTGGTTTTGTTTTGTGCAGGTGTTGCTTTATCCCATTTTGTTTTATCTGGTTTTGTTTTATGCAGGTGTTGTTTTATCTGGTTTTGTTTTATGTGGTGTTGTTTTATGCAGATGTTCTATCTGGTTTTGTTTAATGCAGGAGATGTTTTATCTGGTTTTGTTTTATGCAGGTGTTGTTTTGTGTACCTGTTGTTTTATGCAGGTGTTGTTTTGTGCAGGTGTTCTGTGTGGTTTTGTTTTATGCAGGTGTTGTTTTATTTGGTTTTGTTTTGTGCAGCTGTTGTTTTATCTGGTTTTGTTTTATCTGGTTGTGATTTATCTGGTTTTGTTTTATCTGATGTTGTTTTATTTGGTTTTGTTTTGTGCAGCTGTTGCTTTATCTGGTTTTGTTCCCAGCAGTTTATGGGACAGGGTCACTGCCCAGCTGCCTGCAAACAGAACTTTTGTTTCAATTTCCCTACTCAAAAGCTGATTTGGATGAATTTTTATCAGGATCACTGAGTTTCACCTGGATTCTAAGGAGCCAAATCAGTACCTAATACTGCTTTGCTGGCTGCAAAGAGAACTTTTGTTTAAGTTTTGCTACTCAAAAGCTGATTTGGATGAATTTTTGTCAGGATCACTGAGTTTTATCAGGATTATCTGCACTCTAAAGAGTCAAATCAGTACCTAAATACTGCTTTGCTGGCTGCAAACAGAACTTTTGTTTCAATTTTGCTGCTCAAAAGCTGATCTACTCAAAAGCTGATCAGGATCACTGAGTTTCACCTGGATTCTAAGGAGCCAAATCAGTACCTAAATACTGCTTTGCTGGCTGCAAACAGAACTCTTGTTTCAATTTTGCTGCTCAAAAGCAGATTTGGATGAATTTTTGTCAGGATCACTGACTTTTACCAGGGCTCTAAGGAACCAATCAGTATTTGAACACCTCCCAAGTGCTTTTACCAAGACAAATAAAAGGCTAAATCCTCGCTGCTGCCAGAAGATGCCATTTTACCAGAAGGAGAAGAGGAGCAGGGCCAGGAGCAGCCCCTTACCCTGATGATGTTGTCAGGGGCCCTGTTCATGGTCAGGTTCTTGATCCTCACTGCCAGCTGATGGGCAGTTTTGGTGGGCAGCAGATATTTGCTGATCAGAGGCTTGGGGAACTCCGTCCCTTCAAAATGCTTCAGCCCTAAAGCCAGCAAGCTGCAGAGGGAAAAATCAAGGAGGGGAGGAGGTGAGAAAGCTCCCAGGGAGCTGCTGCAGCCCAGAAACTCTCCTTAATTCTCCCCAATTTGTACAGTGATTAAAGCACCTACTTGTCCTCTGCCTTGGTGAAGACAATCTTGTCTCGGGGAGGGTTTGCTCTCAAGGCACAGATGGGCAGCAGCTCTGGGTACATGAAGACCTTCCTGGTTGCCAAAATCCAGGCCACTTGCTTTGGCAAACAGCAGAATTCGTTTGCTGTGGACAGAAGTCACGGGGAAGGACAGCTGTGTGTGTGGGTGGAGGCTTTCCAAAACTCACTGCCTGAAAACACTGCTTGTTTTAACTGCAGAAATAAGAATTCCCTCCTGCTTTTACAATCTGCACATTTCCTGCTTTACACCACCAAAAGGTAAAATTCTTTTCTCCTTCCATCTATTTTTTTTGTTCTGTAGCAAAGCAAAGAACAAGAGGCCAATCTGAGCCCCCCCAAATGAGCCCAGGGGGGACATGAGGCCAGGAGGGGCTTTTAGTGTGTTGTAATTAGGAAATAATTAGCTCCTGATTGGAATGGCAGGAATTAAAACCTCTCTCTATATATAAAAATAAAAATATTAATATATATAAATATCCCTATAAATATATAAAATATATAATACAATATATAATATAATATTATATATATAATTTTTTATATATATATATATACACACACACATTATAAGCTGTGAGAGCTGCACTGCCCCACCCTTCACACGAGACTGCAAACACACTAAAAGCCCTTTAAAGCCCCATTTTGGGTGAGAACAGGCCACCCCTCCCTTACCACTCTTCACAGCCTTCCTCGGGCTGCAGTCCACGGGCACCCGGGCATGGAAATCCTGCAGGAGCTGCAGGGCCCCCTGCAGGTTGCAGGGCTGGAACATGGTCTGGAACCTGGGGTTCTGGGGCGCCTGGTGCAGGGTGGAGCTGCAGGCAAAGCTGCCCAGCTCGCTCTGCAGAGGCACAAATGCAGCAGAGGTGCAGCAATCGCATCAGCAATCCTGCCCCAGCCAGCAGGGCAGGCACGGCCCGGGGGCTCACACTGCCCTCCCTCCTGGGCCTTCCCCCGGGGGTACACCAGCAGAGGTAAAATTCTCGGCCCCCTGCAGGTTGCAGGGCTGGAACATGGTCTGGAACCTGGGGTTCTGGGGCGCCTGGTGCAGGGTGGAGCTGCAGGCAAAGCTGCCCAGCTCGCTCTGCAGAGGCACAAATGCAGCAGAGGTGCAGCAATCGCATCAGCAATCCTGCCCCAGCCAGCAGGGCAGGCACGGCCCGGGGGCTCACACTGCCCTCCCTCCTGGGCCTTCCCCCGGGGGTACACCAGCAGAGGTAAAATTGTCCTCCTTTCCCATCTTCTCCCTTCTCATCTCTTCCTTTCCCATCTTCTCCTTTCTCATCTTCTCTAAATACTGCTTCTCCCCTTCCATCTCTTCCTTTTCCATCTTTTCCTTTCCCATCTTCTCCCTTTCCATCTTTTCCCCTTTCCATCTTTTCACTTCCCACCTTTTCCTTTCCCATCTCCTCCCTTCCCATCTCTTCCTTTTCCACCTTTTCCTTTCCCATCTTCTCCCCTTCCATCTCTTCCTTTCCCATCTTCTCCCTTCTCATCTCTTCCTTTCCCATCTTCTCCCTTCTCATCTCTTCCTTTCCCATCTTCTCCCTTTCCATCTTTTCCCCTTTCCATCTTTTCACTTCCCACCTTCTCCCTTTCCATCTCTTCCTTTTCCATCCTCTCCTTTCCCATCTTCTCCTTTTCCATCTTCTCCCTTCCCATCTTCTCCCCTTCCATCTCTTCCTTTTCCATCTTTTCCTTTCCCATCTTCTCCCCTTCTCTCTTCTCCCTTTCCATCATTTCCCCTTTCCATTTTTTCCTTTTCCATCCTTTCCCTTCCCACCTTTTCTATATTTTCCCTTCCCATCTTTTCCCCTTCCATCTTTTCCCTTCTCATATTTTCCTTTTCCATTTTCTCCCTTTCCACCTTTTTGTTTTCCATCTTTTTCCTTCCCACCTTTTCCTTTTCCATCTTCTCCTTTCCCATCTTCTCCCTTTCCATCTTTTCCCTTCTCATATTTTCCTTTTCCATTTTCTCCCTTTCCACCTTTTTGTTTTCCATCTTTTTCCTTCCCACCTTTTCCTTTTTCATCATCTTCTCCCTTTCCATCTTTTCCCCTTCCATCTTTTCCTTTTCCATCTTCTCCCCTTCCCTCTTCTCACTTTCCATCATTTCCACTTTCTATTTTTTCCTTTTCCATCTTTTCCCCTTTCCATCTTTTCTTTTTCCATCTTTTTCCCTTTCTATCTTTTTCTTTTCCATCTTTTCCCCTTCCATCTTTTCCCTTCTCATATTTTCCTTTTCAATTTTCTCCCTTTCCATCATTCCCCTTTCCATCATTCCCCTTCCCTTCTTTTCTTTTTCTATTTTTTCCCTTCCCATTTTTTCCCCTTCCCATCTTCTCTTCCATTTTTCCCCGGGACAGTGGAACTGTTTAATTACTGGAATTCAGTGGAAATTGGGGGGATGACTGAATTATTTCCTTAGTGCAAGGTGCCCCTGGTGCTGCTCTCAGGTGGAACTGAGCTTTAAGGTCCCTCCCCACCCGAACCACTCTGGCATGCCATCATTTTATTTTATTTTTCACTGCCCAGAATTCCAGTATTTGTCCCACTAAACCCATCATCCATCCCAATATTTATCCCATTAACTGAAAATTAAGGATTTTTTCCAGAACTTTAGTTCTCAGTTTAATGAGATAAATAAAAGAATTAATCTAAGTGAATAAATGATAAATAAATTAATAATTTCCCAGTTTGCCCAGGCCAATATTTATCTCCTTAAACCCATTATCCATCCCAATATTTATCTCATTAAACTGAAAATTAATGTTCCTTTCCAGAACTTTACTTCTCACTCTAATGGGATAAATAAAATAATTCATTTTCCTAAGTGAATAAATGATAAATAAATTAATAATTTCCCAGTTTGCCCAGGCCAATATTTCTCCCACTAAACCCATCATCCATCCCAATATTTATCCCATTAAACTGAAAATTAAGGATTTTTTCCAGAACTTTAGTTCTCAGTTTAATGGGATAAATAAAATAATTCATTTTCCTGAATAAATGATAAATAAATTAATAATTTCCCAGTTTGCCCAGGCCAATATTTATCTCCTTAAACCCATTATCCATCCCAATATTTATCTCATTAAACTGAAAATTAATGTTCCTTTCCAGAACTTTAGTCCTCAGTTTAATGGAATAAATAAAATAATTTTTCTAAGTGAATAAATGATAAATAAATTAATCTAAGTTTGACCTGACCGATATTTATCCCACTAAACCCATTATCCATCCCAATATTTATCCCATTAAACTGAGGACTAAAGTTCTGGAAAAAACGCTTAATTTTCAGTTTAATGGAATAAATAAAATAATTTTTCCACGTGAATAAATGATAAATAAATTAATCTAAGTTTGACCTGACCGATATTTATCCCACTAAACCCATTATCCATCCCAATATTTATCCCATTAAACTGAGGACTAAAGTTCTGGAAAAAACGCTTAATTTTCAGTTTAATGGAATAAATAAAATAATTTTTCCACGTGAATAAATGATAAATAAATTAATCTAAGTTTGCCCAGACCAATATTTATCCCACTAAACCCATTATCCATCCCAATATTTATCCCATTAAACTGAAAATTAAGCATTTTTTCCAGAACTTTACTTCTCAGTCTAATTCAATAAATAAAATAATTCATTTTCCTAAGTGAATAAATGATAAATAAATTAATAATTTCCCAGTCTGCCCGGGCCAATAGTTATCCCCTTAAACTCATTATCCATCCCAATATTGATCCCATTAAACTGAAAATTAATGTTCCTTTCCACAACTTTAGTCCTCAGTTTAAGTATTGAATAAATAAAATAATTTTTCTAAGTGAATAAATGATAAATAAATTAATCTAAGTTTGCCCAGGCCAATATTTCTCCCACTAAACCCATTATCCATCCCAATATTTATCCCATTAAACTGAAAATTAAGGATTTTCTTCCAGGACTTTACTTCTCACTCCAATGGGATAAATAAAATAATTCATTTTCCTGAGTGAATAAATGAGAAACAAATGAATCTTTGTGTGTTTGCCCAGGGAGCAGCAATAATTTGAATTTCTGGCTGGTTTGGGCCATTCCTTACCAAAAACATCTGGGTGGTGTTGGCCTCTGAACTCAGAGCAGGGTTGAAGCTTGCCAGGAGATGGATTTGAGTCAGGAGCTGGACGTGCTTGGGGAATAAAACCAGACAAATTTAGGGTTTTTTTCACTTTATCACAAATCCAAAGAACTGGAAAGAGCAAGCCTAAAGGCACAAGAAATATTTCCTGAGCAAAAAAATCTTAAAAGCAACAGAAAACTGAGGGGAAACTTCAATACCCACTGGCAGAAAGTTTATTAACCAAATTCTGAAGGCATCAGCTGTTGGAGTCTTTGAGCAATTTCCCACTTTTTGTGCCAAACTCATCACGACCAACACAGAAATTCATTTTTTCCTGCATAAACACATAATTATTTCTTTAGCAACAGCGATTTCAGCTCTCAGATTTCTGAATTTCTACAGATTTACGTGGTGGCAGGAAGAAAAAAAAAAAAGAATTCAAGCTAGACCAAGAACAATATCCTCAGACAGCAATAAAATGGATAAAAATTGGATTTTTGCAGCATAAAACATTAATTACCTGCTGCATTTGCTGCTGGAGCCTCTTCCTTTGGGCACTGTCCAGGACAAGGCTCTGCAGGGGTTTTTCATTTTGGGATTTGGATTTTTCAGCCTCCTGGGGGGCTTTGATTGAAGATTTTTTAATTCTCAGCTGCTCCAGCTGCTCCTTCACTGTCTGGTGCTGCTTGTTCAGCAGATTGGCCAGAGGCTCCTCAAATCTGGTGGGAAATGGAAGAAAAATGTGATACAAAACAAAAAAAAATACAAAAATGTAATAAATCTCTGATTTGATAATGTTTGTTTAGGACATTCGTGTTCTAAATACATTTATGTTTATTTATAATATTTTTATTTATTTAGAACAGTTTATTTCTTATTTACTTAGAACACTATTTTTATTTATTTAGAACACTATTTATTTTTATTTATTTAGAACACTATTTATTTTTATTAATTTAGAACACTGTTTATTATTTTATTTTTATTTATTTAGAACACTTTATTTATTTTTATTTATTTAGAACACTTTATTTTTATTTATTTAGAACACTTTATTTTTATTTATTTAGAACACTGTTTATTTTTATTTATTATAATATTTTTTATTTATTTAGAACGCTGTTTATTGATTTATTTTTATTTAGAACACTTTTGCTAATTTATTTTTATTTAGAACACTATTTATTTTTATTAATTTAGAACACTGTTTATTATTTTATTTTTATTTATTTAGAACACTTTATTTTTATTTATTTAGAACACTATTTTTATTTATTATAACATTTTTTATTTATTTAGAACTCTGTTTATTGATTTATTTTTATTTAGAACACTGTTTGCTAATTTATTTTTATTTAGAACATGGTTTATTTTTTTTTATTTGTTGTCTATTTATTGTTTAAATATTGTTTATTTATTTCATTCCCTGTCTGGTTTGCACACTTTGGTTTTGCCAGCCCTGTACCACAAAGACCACACACTGCCTCAAATCCTGCTACTTTATTAAAAATTAATTTAAAATATTGAAAAAAATTAAAATATTTACGTTTTAAAATATTTAATTATAGTCTTATGTTATATAATTATTTTTATATTTAATTATAACTTTATTCTTGAATTATTTTAAATATTTATTTCCCAGCTTTATGCTGAGAACTCTACAGAGATCCTGCAGTAAGAGCAGGAGTTCATGATTTCATTGTTAATTATTTGATTTATTTTAGCTGTATTTTATGTGATTTATTTTAGCTGTACCAGTTGATCTGGTGATCAGCTTCCCTTCTGCACCAGACCTGAGGTTACTTTATTTAAAAACTAATTAATTATTACCCAGCCTGATGCTGAGAACTCTACAGAGATCCTGCAGTAAGAGCAGGAGTTCATGATTTCATTCTTATTCATTATTTGATTTGATTTGATTTATTTTAGCTGTACCAGTTGATCTGGTGATCAGCTTCCCTTCTGCACCAGCCCTGAGAATTGTTCCACGCTGCTCCTAATTCAAGGTATCATAAAACCAACAATAAATCCAGCAAATAATGATTTTTTTTTTCCTTAAAGAATCCTGCACACAGATAAAACCAGGGAAGAAACCACTGAGAGAAGTGACCCACCAAAAAAAAAGAATAAAGCCAATATTATGAAAGGCAGATGAGTGGAAATAAAGCACAAAGGTGCCTGGGTTTGAGACTGTGGCTGGTTTTAGAGCTGCTGCTCCCCTCTGGCACTGCTCAGCCCAGAGGGAGCTCCACAAAGGCCAGCTTTGATTTCAGCTCCTTCCCAAACAGACTCAGCTGCACCTCGAGCTGATCTGCCCCACGAAGCAGGAGCCAGCTGCTCTGCAACCTGAGAGAAACCACAGAATTATGGAATAGTTTGGGCTGCAGGAACCTGAAAATTCATCTCATGCCATCCTCTGCCACGGCAGGGACACCTTCCACCACCCCAGGGACTCCAACCTGCCCAGCCTGGCCCTGGGCACTGCCAGGGCAGCCCCAGCTTCCCTGGGAAATCTGCTTTGGTTTATTTAATCCAGAGACTGGGGAGCTCAGGAGTTTCAGCTCCTCACCCCCCAGTTCAGGTGCAAGGGGATTTTTGGGCAGTGCTCTCACAGAGCCATGCCATGGTTTGGGTTGAAACAGACCCAAAATCTCCTCCAGTGCCATGGCAGGGACACCTTCCACCATCCCAGGGTGCTCCAAGCCCTGTCCAGGGATCCAGGGCAGCCCCAGCTGCTCTGGGAAATCTGTTTGCATGTATTTAATCCCAAATATCCAATATTGGGGAGCTCAAGAGTCAGGAGTTAGATCCTCACCCTCCAGGTCAGGTGCAAGGGGATTTTTGGGCAGTGCTCTCATAGAGCTGTGAAATAGTTTGGGTTGAAACAGATTTTAAAACTCATCCAGCCCCACGAGCAAGGACATTTTCCACCATCCCAGGGTGCTCCAAGCCCTGCCCAGCACTGCCAGGGATGCAGGGCAGCCCCAGCTGCCCTGGGAAATCTGTTTGCATGTATTTAATCCCAAATATCCAAAGTTGGGGAGCTCAGGAGTCAGGAGTTAGATCCTCACCCCCCAGTTCAGGTGCAAGGGGATTTTTGGGCAGTGCTCTCACAGAGCCATGCAATGGTTTGGGTTGAAATAGATTTTAAAACTCCTCCAGGGCCGTGGCAGGGACACCTTCCACCATCCCAGGGTGCTCCAACCTGTCCAGCCTGGCCTTGGATACTCCCAGGGGCAACCCCAGCTGCTCTGGGAAATCCATTTTAATTTATTTAATCCCAAATATCTAAAGTTGGTGAGCTCAGGACTCAGGAGTTAGATACTCACATCACCCCAGTTTTGATGCAGGGGGATTTTTGGGCAGTGCTCTCACAGAGCCATGCCATGGTTTGGGTTGAAACAGACCCAAAAACTCCTCCAGTGCCATGGCAGGGACACCTTCCACCATCCCAGGGTGCTCCAAACTGTCCCACCTGGCCTTAGGCACCTCCAGGGATCCAGGGGCAGCCAGAGCTGCTCTGGAAAATGTTTTGATGTGTTTAATCCCAAGCATCCAAAGATTATTTAGCTCAGGAGTTTCAGCTCCTCACCCCGTCCCAGTTCAGGTGCAAGGGGATTTTTGATGGGGGCAATGTGCTCACAGAACCACGAGAACCATGGAGTGGTTTGGGTTAAAATACTTTAAAATTCACCCAGTGCCAAGAGCAGGGACGTTTTCCACCATCCCAGGTGTCCAGCCTGGCCTTGGGCACCTCCAGGGATGGAGCTGCTTCATCCCTTTCCTCTTTGAGCTGCTGCCATGTATAAACCCAAAAATAACAATCCAAACTTCCCAGACATCTCATTCCTAGGCAGGAATTTTCCTTAAAAATGGCCCACACACATCCCAGGTGTTTAATTATTTAAAGAGAAGGTGACACACTTGGAGCAAGCAGCTCCCCAAGCATCTCCAGCAATGTCAGGGCAGCAAGGGAGCCTTGCCACACAAAGAAAATTGGATTTTTCTGCCATGATGCTGCATCCTCCAGCCAGCAGCAGAGTGAGGAGGGGCAGCCACTGAGGTGGGACAATCTCTGCCCAGCTCCTGCAGAGTTCTGATCCCTCACCCAGCAGATCCAGGCTCTCTGCTCACCTCCTGGGGGAATCACCCCTCATTTGTGTCACCTCCTGCCCTCTGAGCACTGCCAGGGACAATTTCACATCGTGAGAGGACACAGGAATGGGTTTCAATTAGCAAATGAGAGATGCAAATTAGGTTTTTGGGCAGGAATTGATCCCTGTGAGGGTGGACAGACCCAGGCACAGGGTGCCCATCCCTGGCAGTGCCCAAGGCCAGGCTGGACAGGGCTGGAGCAGCCTGGACAGGGGAAGGTGTCCCTGCCATGGCAGAGGTGCAATAAGAGGAGTTTTAATCTCCCTTCCAACCCAGTCCATTCCATGATTACAGAGCACAGAGTTTGGGGAAGCAGGGACAGAATGCCCCCCTGCAGAAGCTGCTTTTTGGGGCACATTCACACATCTGTATTTTCAGCTGAAACAAAGAACAGCACCAACCTCAGTGCAGGCACTTTTGCTCTTTCTGTCCCTTTTTTCATTGCTTTTCATTTTCAGGTGCAAGCAGATTTTGAGATGACAAGCAGCAAAGCCAACAGTGGCAAACAGAATAAAAAAAATCAACTGAATTGTCCAATCCCACGAAGAAAAATGGCTCAGAGCTTTCAGAACTGCTGCCAGGACAGTTTTTCTCTTTGGTGCTGCCACAGAGGTAAGCAGAGGCTTTTCCTCAGAAGAAATCAGGACAAAATCAAAATTCTCCTACCTGAGGGCCTGGGGGGTGTTAAAATTTGGCCGAGGTTCTGTAACAGCATCTTCATCTTCTGGCCTTTCCTCTTTCATGCTGGAGAAACCCATCTCACCCTGGAACTGGCAGCAGACATGGAGCAAGTCAGGAGGAGAAAGCTCAGGGAAGAAATTTACCTTTGGCTAATGATGATGATGATGATGATGATCTGCTCAGCACAAGCTTCACTTCAGGAAATCCCTGCAAATCTTCACTTGAGGAAATCCCTACAGAGCTTCACTCCAGGAAATCCCTGCAGACCCTCACTTCACAAACCCTCACTTCAGGAAATCCCTGCAGAGCTTAATTTTAGGAAATCCCTACAAATCTTCATTTTAGGAAATCCCTACAGAAACCAGGAAATCCTTACAGACCTTCACTTTAGGAAATCCCTGCAGACCTTCACTTCAGGAAATCCCTACAGCTCTTCACTTTAGGAAATCCATATAGATCCTCAGGAAATCCCTGCAGACCTTCACTTACAGAAATCCCTGCAGACACTTCAGGAAATCCCTGCAGACAGCTCAGGAAAACCCTACAGAGCTTCCCTTCAGGAAATCCCTAGAGAGCTTCACTTGAGGAAATCCCTAGAGAGCTTCACTCCAGGAAATCCCTAGAGAGCTTCAGTCCAGGAAATCCCTGCAGATCCTCCCTTCAGGAAATCCCTGCAGACACTTTTGGAAATCCCTGCAGATCTTCATTTTACAGACCTTCACTCCAGGAAATCCCTGCAGATCCTCACTTAAAGAAATCCCTGCAGACAGCTCAGGAAAACCCTACAGAGCATCACTTCAGGAAATCTCTACAGATCTTCAGGAAATCCTTACAGACCTCCAGGAAATCCCTGCAAATCTTCACTTTAGGAAATCCCTATAAATCTTCACTTTAGGAAATCCCTACATACACTTTTGGAAATCCCTGCAGATCTTCATTTCACAGCCCTTCCCTTCAGGAAATCCCTGAAGACAGCTCAGGAAAACCCTACAGAGCTTCCCTTCAGGAAATCCCTAGAGATCTTCAGGAAATCCTCACAGGCCTTCAGGAAATCCCTGCAAATCTTCACTCCAGGAAATCCCTGCAAATCTTCACTCCAGGAAATCCCTGCAGACCCTCAGGAAATCCCTACAGACCTTCAGGAAATCCCTGCAAATCTTCACTTTAGGAAATCCCTATAAATCTTCACTTTAGGAAATCCCTACATACACTTTTGGAAATCCCTGCAGATCTTCATTTCACAGCCCTTCCCTTCAGGAAATCCCTACAGACTTTCAGGAAATCCCTACAGACCTTCCCTTCAGGAAATCCCTAGAGATCTTCAGGAAATCCTCACAGACCTTCAGGAAGTCCCTGCATATCTTCACTTCAGGAAATCCCTGCAAAATCTTCACTTTAGGAAATCCCTACATACACTTTTGGAAATCCCTGCAGATCTTCATTTCACAGCCCTTCCCTTCAGGAAATCCCTACAGACTTTCAGGAAATCCCTGCAAATCTTCCCTTCAGGAAATCCCTGCAGATCTTCATTTCACAGCCCTTCCCTTCAGGAAATCCCTACAGACTTTCAGGAAATCCCTGCAAATCTTCCCTTCAGGAAATCCCTGCAGATCTTCATTTCACAGCCCTTCCCTTCAGGAAATCCCTGAAGACAGCTCAGGAAAACCCTACAGAGCTTCACTTTAGGAAATCCCTACAGATCTTCAGGAAACCCTTACAGATCTTCAGGAAATCCCTGCAAATCTTCACTTGAGGAAATCCCTGCAAAATCTTCACTTTAGGAAATCCCTATAGACCCTCCCTTCAGGAAATCCCTGCAGACACTTCTGGAAATCCCTGCAGATCTTCATTTCACAGCCCTTCCCTTCATGAAATCCCTGCAGACAGCTCAGGAAAACCCTACAGAGCTTCACTTTAGGAAATCCCTAGAGATCTTCAGGAAATCCTCACAGGCCTTCAGGAAATCCCTGCAAATCTTCACTCCAGGAAATCCCTGCAAATCTTCACTCCAGGAAATCCCTGCAGACCCTCAGGAAATCCCTACAGACCTTCAGGAAATCCCTGCAAATCTTCCCTTCAGGAAATCCCTGCAGATCTTCATTTCACAGCCCTTCCCTTCAGGAAATCCCTACAGACTTTCAGGAAATCCCTACAGACCTTCCCTTCAGGAAATCCCTACAGACTTTCAGGAAATCCCTGCAAATCTTCCCTTCAGGAAATCCCTGCAGACATTCCCTTTTTAAGGCTGAAAATGCCCCATCTGTGGCAGAGCCCCTGGCACTCCCCCAGCCCTGAGCCACCCTTCAGGTGGCACAAGTGACACTTCAGTGCCACCCTCAGTTCATCACTCACTGTCTCAAACAGCTCCTCCATCAGCTCAGTCACTTCCTTTTCTGCAAGTAAAATTAAAAATTATTATGAAGAAGCCTTTTTTCAAGAAACACTCAGCAATCCTGTCATGATATCAACTCAGGGAAGGGATTTCTCTCACAAAGGGAAATCCTCCTCCTGCAAACAGGGGACCAAAAAAGAAAAGCCCTGATAATTCCTTTTTTAATGTTGGGCCCAAAAATAACTTGAGCTGAGATTGTCTGGGTTCTAAAATATCACATAAAAACTCGTTTTCATGATTAAATTTAAAGTTATGTAAATCTGCAGTAAGACCTAAAGCAAGTGTGGCTTTTTGCAGAGACAGAAAATGACATGTTTGTAAAACCAAGCTGTGAGGACTTCAAAAATCTAATTAAATTCAATCACAAGGCAAGCATTCAAGTCTGGAGTGCCTGAAGCTTTCAGCAGGTGACACACTTGGAGCAAGCAGCTCCCCAAGCATCTCCAGCAATGTCAGGGCAGCAAGGGAGCCTTGCCACACAAAGAAAATTGGATTTTTCTGCCATGATGCTGCATCCTCCAGCCAGCAGCAGAGTGAGGAGGGGCAGCCACTGAGGTGGGACAATCTCTGCCCAGCTCCTGCAGAGTTCTGATCCCTCACCCAGCAGATCCAGGCTCTCTGCTCGTTTCCTGGGAGAAATAAAACCTCATTTCAGGTTTTGTTGTCACCTAAATATTGCAGCAGCTCAACCCAGATCCTTCCAGGCACTCCCAAAAGCTGACCAAACCAGCATGGAGATTTTTATTCAATGTCCTACACTGCAAAAAAACCCTTCCAAGAAAACATTTCCCAAGGAATTACTGCTGCCAGCAGGAGGGGAACTTACTGGTGATCCTCACAGCACGGTCATTCCTGAAATCTTCAGTGTCTGGCTCATCCAGATCTTCCAGGAAATTGTACTCAGGGTCATCATCATCATCAGCTTCATCTACAAAGGAGCAGCTTTTGAGGAGGTCTGGCCAGCAGCCTGCCCCAGCAGCAAGGCAGGAGCACAGGCTTGCTCAGAGCCACAGGCAGGGCTGGGATTGCTGCTGGAAATGAGAAATGGATTCATGGAAGCAACAGCAAAGCCTTGCTGCTCCCAAGGGAGCTGCCTGAGCTGCAGCCATTCCCATTCTTGAGCCTCTGGGATCCGAGTTTCTGCTGAATTTAGGAAGAGCCCGCTGCTGGCATTTCAGTTCCTGGTTTATATTCAATCTGCACAACTGTGAGCAAGCAGGAAATGCAGGGAAAAAAGAGGCCAGGCCACAGAGCTTGCTCCTGTTTCTTCTCAAAAATAAAATAACTGTTTCTACCCCTAAAAAAAACCCCAAAAAGTGAATGTGGCCCAAACAAGGAGTACAGCACACTGGGACTGAGGGGAATCAGGGGTTAAACCCACCACTGCCCTTTTGGGTGCCAGTTTTGTCATATTGACAGGATATTGCAAAAATATCTGCAAGTGACACACCTGAAGTTTAAACAAAGGGCAAGAGGAGAAAAATTGATTGCAAAACTAATGCAGGGGATTAAAATATTAATGGTTACAGACAAAATATAATGTATAAATAAAAAACCCCAAAATTTCATATTTACAGGATATTTGCATAAATATTTACAAGTGAGACACCTGAAGTTTAAACAAAGGGGAAAATGAGGAAAGCTGATTGCAGGACTCATGTAGGGGATTAAAAACTGAATGGCTGCAGACAAAAATATAATGTATAAATAAAAAAACAGCTTCATATTTACAGGATATTACACAAATATTTACAAGTGAGACACCTGAAGTTTAAACAAAGGGGAAAATGAGGAAAGCTGATTGCAAGACTCATGCAGGGGATTAAAAATTGAATGGTTGCAGACAAAAATATCATGTATAAATAAAAAAAACAAAGCTTCAGGCTTTCAACAAACAATCAGGGAATGGTTTGGGTGGGAAGGAACCTGGGAACACAAGTCCTGCTGATAGTACAGGGATAAAATGTTTCTAAAATCAAATTTGGGGAACTAGAAAGAAATTTAGGCTGAGTAGGCCCTGGGAAATGTTAGGGCTTGGGTTTGCCAGGTCATGTGAAACTGCACTGAGGAACCAGAATATGATAAATTATTTAATTGTTAGATGGGATGATTGCTTAGTAATTAGATGTAATTGTTGTTTAATCATCAGAAGAATCATGAGAAATTATGTTCAAGGGTTTTGAGGGGGATCATGAGAAATCCATCCTTGAAATCAGTAGAACAATGTGAACTTAATAATTAATTAATAATGAATAATAAATAATAATTAAAATTAAAGATCAACTGAGGCAGCTGGGGGTGTTTAGCAGAAGACTCAGGGGTGACCTCATCACTCCCAACAAGTTCTTGGAAAATTGCTGGAGTCAGGTGGGGCTGGGCTCTTTCTCCACACAGAATGAGAGGACACAGCCTCAAGCTAAAAAAGGGAAATTTAGGCTGGGTATCAGGAGAAAGTTCTTAATGGAAAGAAAATTCTGGAACTGTCTGCCCAGGGAGGTGCTGGTCTGGTTTAAAATAAGGGAAATTTAGGTTGGATATTAGGAGAAAATTCCATATTTTATCACCCTTTCTGTAAAAAACGATCTGCCCAGGGAGGTGCTGGTCTTGTTTAAAGCAAAGGGAAATTTAGTTTGGGTATTAGGAGAAAGTTTTTAATGGAAAGAAAATTCTAGAATTGTCTGCCCAGGGAGGTGGTGGTGTTGTTTAAACCAAGGGAAATTTAGGCTGGACATTAAGAGAAAGTTTTTAATGGAAAGAAAATTCTGGAATTGTCTGCCCAGGGAGGTGGTGGTCTAGTTTAAACCAAGGAAAATTTAGTTTGGGTATTAGGAGAATGTTTTTAATGGAAAGGGTGGAAGTCAGGTGGGGTTGGTCTCTTTCTACAAGAAGTGACAGAATGAGAGGACACAGCCTTAAACTCAAAAAGGGAAATTTAGGTTGGATATTAAGAGAAAGTTTTTTACAGAAAGAGTGGTAAAATATGGAATTGTCTGCCCAGGGAGGTGATGGTCTTATTTAAACTAAGGGAAATTTAGGCTGGATATCAGGAGAAAGTTTTTAATGGAAAGATGATAAAATTCTAGAATTGTCTGCCCAGGGAGGTGCTGGTCTTGTGTAAACCAAGGAAAATTTTAGTTGGATATTAGGAGAAAGTTTTTAACAGAAAGAGTGATAAAATATGGAATTGTCTGCCCAGGCAGGTGGTGGAGCCACCAACCCCGGACGCTTTTAAACAAAGCCTGGACGCGATTAACCGAAGATCAAAAAATCCCCAAAAAAAACCCCAAAACCCAACAGAAACAGAGGCTGGAGGTGGCAATTTGAACCCCAAGGAAGCGGGGCTTTCCAGAGCAGGTACCTTCGTTGTCCACATCATCATCCATGAGCCCCCTGAGCCACCTGGCCCAGTGCTCGTCGTCGCCCGCGCTGGGCTCGTACATGTCGGGGGTGATGTCAGGCGCGCGCAGCTCGGCCTCCAGCTGCCCCAGGGGCACGTCCTTCAGGGGCCTCTTGGAGCGGGTCCTGAAGGCAATCAGGCTGTCCTCCAGGGGCTGCGGGGAAAAAGCAGCGTGGGCAGCGTAGGGAAAAGGACAAAGAGGCAGCAGAAGGTCAGAGAGGGAACACCGGGGGAAACACCAGAACGGCGCGGGGAAAAACGAGGGAGTCCTCGCAGAGTGGCCCGGGAAAAGCCCAGAATGGCCCAGGAAAAAGCCCAGAACAAACCCCAGAAGGTCCCAGGAAAAAGCCCAGAACAAACCTCAGAAGGTCCCAGGAAAAAGCCCAGAACAAACCCCAGAAGGTCCCAGGAAAAAGCCCAGAACAAAGCGCAGAGCATCCCAGGAAAAAGCCCAGAACAAACCTCAGAATGTCCCAGGAAAAAGCCCAGAACATCCCAGGAAAAAGCCCAGAACAAAGCCCAGAACGTCCCAGGAAAAAGCCCAGAACACAGCCCAGAACATCCCAGGAAAAAGCCCAGAAAGTCCCAGGAAAAAGAAGCCCAGAAAGTCCCAGGAAAAGCCCAGAATGTCCTCCCAGAATGTCCCAGGAAAAACAACCAGAGCAAACCCCAGAACATCCCAGGAAAAAGCCCAGAACAAACCCCAGAATGTCCCAGGAAAAAGCCCAGAACAAAGCGCAGAGCATCCCAGGAAAAAGCCCAGAATGTCCCAGGAAAAAGCCCAGAACAAACCCCAGAAGGTCCCAGGAAAAAGCCCAGAACAAACCCCAGAAATTCCCAGGAAAAAGCCCAGAAGGTCCCAGGAAAAAGCCCAGAACGTCCCAGGAAAAAAACCAGAACGTCCTCCCAGAATGTCCCAGGAAAAACAACCAGAGCAAACCTCAGAACATCCCAGGAATAAGCCAAGAAAGTCCTCCCAGAATGTCCCAGAAAAAGCCCAGGAAAAGCTCAGGAAAAAGCCCAGGAAAAAGCCCAGGAAAAAGGCCAGAATGTGCCCCCAGAATATCCCAGGAAAAACCCGACAAAGTGCCAGGAAAAAACCCACAAAGTCCCACCAGAACGTCCCAAAAAAGCCTCAGAGCAAAGCCCAGAATGTCGCAGAAAAAAACCCAGAACATCCCAGAAGAAACACCAGAACGTCCCAGGAACAAACCCAGAAAGTCCTTGCAGAATGTCCCAGGAAAATCCTCAGAACATCCTAGGAAAAAGCCCAGAACATTCCAAGGAAAAAAACCCACAAAGTGCCAGGAAAAAAATGCACGAAGTCCCCCCAGAAAATGCACAAAGTCCCAGAAAAAAACCCAGAACAAACCCCAGAAAAAAACCCAGAAAAAACCCCACAAAGTCCCTGGAAAAAGAATCCACAATTCCCAGGAAAAAAAACCCACAAAGTCCCAGAAGAAAACGCACGAAGTCCTAGGAAAAAAAACCCAGAACGTCTGTCCAGAAAGTTGCAGAAAAAGCCCAGAATGTCCCAGGAAAAAAACCCACAACATCCCAGAAAAAAAAAACCCAGAACATCCCAGGGAAAAAACCCAGAACATCCCAGGGAAAAAACCCAGAACATCCCAGGAAAAAACCCAGAACATCCCAGAAAAAAGGCCCGGGATGTCCCAGAAAAAAAGAGAAAAAAAGCCCAGAAGAAAAAAAAAAAAGAAAAAGAAAAAAAAACCCTGAAAAACCCAGAAATTGCCCTCCTCTCCCTAAAACCATCCCCAGGAAAGGCAGCAGCACCTGGTAGGAGTCCATGCAGACAGGGCTGGAGGCCAGCTCCTCATCCACGGCGTGCAGCTTCTCCATGAAGGTGCTGTCCTTGCTCTGCGGGGGCTTGGGGGGTGGTGGGGGTCCCATGGGAACCACTTCTGCACTGATGTGTCTAACAACAGGCGGGGTGACCTTCTCCTGCTGAGGAAAAAGGTTAAAAGGTTTTATTCTGGACAGGTCATTCCAAGGACAGAGTGAATTTGGTTTTCTGCTTGGGGAGAAATGGGAGAATTGGTCTCTTGAGTGGTCAGAAATGGGAGAAATGCTTCCCAGAAGGATGTGGAATTTTCCTAATTACATTCATACGTTTATTCTAATTCACACAATTACATCACATCCTAATCACTTTGCTTTTCAGGAAGTACAAAGAAATAGGAAGATTTTCTGGAGACACTTGGAAGATCTGAGTATCATTACCAGCATTATCAGAGTTGATAAACCTGAACACCAATTATGTGTTCAGGTTTATTGTGGCAGAATCCTCCCAAAAACAAACTGATGGTGAGCAGGACGTGGAACTATCAGTAAAATATTGCTGGTTTTGATGCCATGTCACTTCCCAGGGGTTTCTGATTCTTCTTTGCTGATCCCTGGCCTGCACCTCCCCCTGCCTTGATGCTTTCACCAAACTGATTTCTGCTCCTAAGCCAAGCACAGGAAGCCATGCTCTGCACTCCTCAGAAATTACCAGAAAAATAATCATTATCTAAGGAACTGACCACAGTTTCCATGCCCACAGCTTTATTTTAGACTCAGCCCTTCTGCAAGGGAACGTGGCAGTGGGACCCCAAATGCACTGGCAGCTGGAATGTCCCCCAACCTCAGGAATTGATTTTTTTGGGGGGTTTGGATGGATAAATCAGGAAGAGCTGCTTGCTGCAGCTTTACCTCACAGAGGGTCCCTCCCTCCTCATCAGAGGAACGCCTGGTCCTGGACCTCTTGGCTCCACGAGGAGAAGAAGCTGTGCTCTCCACGTCGCTCTCCAGCAAGCTCTGCAGGGCAAGAGGTGCAAAACCCTCTCCAAAACCATCCTGCCACAAGCAGCAACTGCTCCAAATAACATTTCAGAGACTCTCTTCCAGCCAAACGAGTGGAGCACTGGAGGATGATTGCTGGAGGATTTACAGGTGTCCATGTGTTAAAATAAATGGTGTTTTGCTGCCTCAGACACAAACTGGATTTACCTCTTCTGCAGTCTCATCCTCCTCTTCATCATCAGGCTGGTATTCTTCATCAGAGGAATCATCTTCCTCCAGGGGGATGTCCACAAACTGAGGGGGCTGCACACAGGAGAAAGAGGGTGAGCACAGTCAGAGCAGGTGTTTCAAAAGGAGGAAACACCCTGAAGCTCAGAAAGGAAATCCTGAAGAAAGGAAAGAAATAAATAACTGAATGATTGGAAAAGGAAAGCAAGGGGAAAAAAAATCCAGAAAAAGCCCAGAAAAAACACCAAAAAAAAAAAAAAAAAAAACCAAAAAAAAAAACCAAAAAAAAAAACCAAAAAAAAAAACCAAAAAAAAAAAAAAAAACCCTGGAAAAACACACACAAAAAAATAAAAATTAAAACAGGAAAAAAAACAGGCAAAAAAAAAAACAGAAAAAAAAAACACAGAAAAAAAACCACAGGGGGAAAAAACCACAGGAAAAAAAACAGGAAAAAAAAACAGGCAAAAAAAAAACAGGAAAAAAAAACACAGAAAAGAAACAACACAGAAAAAAAAAACACAGAAAAAAACCGAAAAAAACCACAGGAAAAAAAACACAGGGGAAAAAAAAAAAAACACAGAAAAAAAGAAACAAAAGAAAAAAAAAAGAAAGAAATTAGAAAAAACCCCAGAAATTCTCCTCCTCTCCACAAAATTGTTTGAGAAGGTGCAAGAAGAGCCAGAAATAATTTAGTATTTATATTCAGCATTACATTTATTTCCATTTGTTACATGATGGAAGCTGCACGAGCAGACACCAGCTCAGAGATGGTTTTAGCACACAAATCTGCTCCAGCCCTCCCAAAGATCTCAGCCTCAGCAGGAAGCTCCAGGCTGATCTCCCCTTTCCCAGCAAGAATTCACTCACCTTCACCTCGTTTGCCTTCTTAATTGGAGAAATATTCCATGTTGGAATCACCTGGGGACAGCAAAAACACCCAAAAACCCTTGGGCTGGGTCAGTGAGCTCAAATAAAACCCCCAAATCTCCCGTGGGGTCTCCAGGAAATGAATCTGGGGCGTTGGACACTGGGAGTTCACTGTCCCTGCCAAGCCTGAGCTGCCTCTGTGCTGCTCAGCTCAAATCAATCCTTTGTCACTTCTCAACTCCTTCTCCACATTTCAAGACTCAAAGCACATTTATGCTTCTCTTAGAGGGTCACTGACAGAACACCAGGACAGGCTGAGCTGGAAGGGACAAGGATCATGAGTCCATGCACACAGCCTCACCCTGGGCATCCCTGGAGCACTGTCCAAACTTTCTGGGGACTCTGGGACATTCCCTGGGCTCCCCTGGGTGAAGAACCTTCCCCAGACCCAGCCCAAACCTCCCTGGGCTCCCCTGGGTGAAGAACCTTCCCTGCACCCAGCCCAAAGCTCCCTGAGCTCCCCTGGGGAAGAACCTTCCCCAGACCCAGCCCAAAGCTCCCTGGGCTCCTCGGGGTGAAGAACCTTCCCTGCACCCAGCCCAAACCTCCCTGGGCCCCTCTGGTGAAGAACCTTACCCAGACCCAGCCCAAAGCTCCCTGCACAGCTCCAGCCCTGCCCTGGGTGCTGGCCCTGGCACTCAGAGCAGATTTACTCACCCCTCCTTTCTCCACCACCTCCTTCAGCTTGGAACGAGTCATTTTGGGCTCCTGAGAGTTGAAAACAAAACAATAGCAATAAATTCAGTCCTTTGCTTAGGGACAGGCTTTTCCCCAGCAGCTCTTCACTGTTACTAAAGTACCATGAGTAAAGTTTAGCTTACTATGAAGCTTTTCTCTTCTTTAAAATTCATTACCTTTATATTCACTGCCTTTAAATTAATTACCTTTCAGACATCACCAGTGTGACCTCAACAACAACTCCTCCCATTTCTGTTTTATAATTTACTACTCACTTCATCCAGGTGGCAAATCTGATAATGAAACCTAATTACTCTAAAGTTTTTATAAATTTTATAAATTCCTTTTTTGTTCTACCTCTTCTCCCCACATTCCCATTATGGCCCAGGAAGGCATTTGGAACAACAAAAATAAAACAAACTTGAGCAAGATTTTGACTTACAAACAAAGGAATATCTTCTGTCTCACTGATGGCTGCTTTCACCATGGCCACCACGTGTTCATTTGTGATCACCTCCTAAAGGAACACACAAAACCAGGATGTTTAGCAAAGAGAAACAGACAAAACAACAAATGTTGGAATAAACTACCTGGAAATACAATGGGGAAACACTCAGTGTACAACAGGCTTTGTAATTACACTGCAGCAAAATGATTGTTCAGAGATCAGACAGTAAAATTTAAATTAATTCATTTTAAAATAAATGCATTAATTAAATTTTTAATGTAAATAAATTAAGTAATTTAAAATCTAAATCACAGCAGTGATTCAAACATTTGCACCACATTCTCTGTGAATGGTACCCAGCAGGGAGAAAGAAAATAACCAAAACAAAAGCCCAGACCAGTTTCCCTGGTATCAGTAACCAGCCAAATGTGCTGATCCCAGGCACAGGAGGAATGCTGCTGTGGAGCTGCAAGAGAAAAACTCAATCTTGATTACACTCCAATCTTTCAGCACTCACAGGCTCCCAAATCTCTGGAGAAAGTCTGGATGCTTCCCAGTGTGGAATGTGTGAATCTCTGGAGGAAGTCTGGAATAATATCCAGTATGAATTATGTGAATCTATGGAGAAAGTCTGGAATAATTTCCAGTATGGAATATGTGAATCTTTGGAGGAAGTCTGGAATGATATGCAGTGTGGAATGTGTGAATCTATGGAGAAAATATGGAATGATACCCAGTATGGAATATGTAAATCTCTGGAACACTTTCCAGTATGGAATATGTGAATCTCTGGAGGAAGTCTGGAATGATATCCAGTGTGGAATGTGTGAATCTATGGAGAAAGTGTGGAATACTTTCCAGTATGGAATATGTGAATGTCTGGAATAATATCCAGTAAGGAATATGTGAACCCCTGGAGAAAGTCTGGAATGATACCCAGTATGGAATATGTAAATCTCTGGAACACTTTCCAGTATGGAATATGTGAATCTCTGGAGGAAGTCTGGAATGATATCCAGTCTTTAAAACATTTCCCTGCTGCATTCCAGAAAATTTGAGAGGAACAGGGGAAGGCAGGAGAGAATCCAATCCCATTTTCTGCTTGCCCCATGAGGCTCCAGGGAAGGCAGGTGGCTCTGAGGGACCTCCAGTCCCCCCCCAGCAGCACATGATACAGAAATTAATTAATTTGGGGCACTTGCAGAGAATCCACTGGTGAATCTGCCTGGAAGAGCCATGGCAGTGCCCAGGATGTCTGCCACAAAAAGGGAAAGTGCCTGAGATTACCTGGATTTGAGCAGTTCTGGCTGCAGGGAAAGGAAAATTTTGATTTTTGATAAATACTATTGCTCTCCAGATCATATTTTGGGATGAACTGAAAAGGCTCAAGAGAGGTGCAGAGTTAGAGATTCACTCCAAAGCTGTGACAGCACAAATATTCTTCTGGCAGCTCCTCTCTGAGGGTTGTGTGATGGACATTAACCCAAAGTGATGCATTTCTGTCAGCACCACTAGAATTCCACCAGAATCCCATGAGGAAACAGCTCGTTCAAAAAAGGAAACAGAGTTCACAGCCTACACCTGCTCACGTGGCCCAGGAGGATCATTTCAGTTCAGTTATTCCTGCTGCAGCTGCCCAGGAAAAGCAGGAGAGGCCCAACAGCTTTGCTCCAGGTGGGTGGCAGGGACACCAGCAGCCCCCAGCCCCACAGGTTCAGTCACTGGATTCCCTCTGGACAGGTTTATTGGCAGGGATCAGGATGTGGGGGGTTTTTTTGGCTTCCTTTTTCTGCCTCTGTTGAGCACTGGAGATGGTATTTCATGCTCAGACTCGGGTGTTTATTATTTTTTACCTGTGTTACAGTCTCACAGCTGTGAGTTCTGCAGCCTTTCATTAACCAGGCACAAAATGGTTAACTAGCTCTTGTTACAAGGTCTTTTAAGGCTGAACTATCCAGTTAAGGGATGACACCTAAATTATTTTCACTTTTAAGCCAATAACTGATCACTCAAAGTCCACAGGGTGGACTTTTCTGTCCAATTAAAAAATACCACCCAAACCCATGGAGAAGGAAAAGGGGAGGAAGAAGAAGGAGAACCAGAAGGAGGAACCAGAAGGAGGAGAAGGAACCAGAAGGAGAAGGAGAAGGAACCAGAAGGAGGAGAAGGAACCAGAAGGAGGAGAAGGAACCAGAAGGAGAAGAAGAAGAAAGAACCAGAAGGAGGAGAAGGAACCAGAAGGAGGAGAAGGAACCAGAAGGAGAAGAAGAAGAACCAGGAGGAGGAGAAGGAGAAGGAACCAGAAGGAGAAGAAGAAGAAACCAGAAGAAGAACCAGCCTCCACCCTAAACCCTCCATCTTGCTTCATATTTATGTCTATATTCTAAAACCCCAAACCCTAAGTTTTCCCCCCTGTGACATTCCACCCTTCTAACCAAACTCCACACCCATAACCCCGGTGCCATCACTCCATTTTAGAGGCCTTCTCCACGGCCTCAGCTCAAATGCAGTGCTCTCCTGGGAGCCAGAGTCTGTCAGCACAGAAAGCCTCAACTCCTCAGCATCCAGAACTCCAGGCACGGATTCTGCTGAGCAAGACAGAGGAGCCCAAGGGCCAGCAGCCCTCCCAGTGCCCCACTCACGTGCAGGATGTTCCTGACGTTGACCACGGTCAGGTTGTGCTGCTTGGCTCCGTCCTCCAGGGTGCGGTCCAGGGACTCGTCCAGTTTGATGTCGCAGGACAAGGAGCCCTCTTCTTCCTGGCTTTTCCCTTCTCTCTTGCGTTTGGTTGCCTTCCTCCTCCTCTTCCTCCTCTCCACGTCCTCCCCGTCCTGCTCCTCTGAAAATCAGCAGAAATGGAACCTAAAAACCTCGGCTGCTTCGCGTCCGGCCCGTGGTGAGAGGATGAGTTTGGAATAAACACAAACCAGAATTCTGCAGAAAACTTGCAAAGATTCCCCTTGCAAGATTCTCCTTGCAAAGATTCCCCTTGCAAGACTCTCCTTGCACAGATTCCCTTTGCAAGATTCTTGCAAAGGGCTCCCCTTGCAAGGCTCCCCTTGCAAAGATTCTCCTTGCAAGACTTTCTGTGCAAAGACTCCCTTTGCAGGATTCTCCTTGCAAAGATTCCCCTTGCAAGACTCTCCTTGCACAGATTCCCTTTGCAAGATTCTTCTTGCAAAGGCTCCCCTTGCAAAGATTCTCCTTGCAAGACTTTCTGTGCAAAGACTCCCTTTGCAGGATTCTCCTTGCAAAGATTCCCCTTGCAAGACTCTCCTTGCACAGATTCCCCTTGCAATGATTCCTTTGGCAAGATTCTTCTTGCAAAGACTCCCCTTGCAAGATTCTCCTTGCAAAGATTCCCCTTGCAAGACTCTCCTTGCACAGATTCCCATTGCAGGATTCTCCTTGCAATGATTTCTTTTGCAAGATTCTTCCAGCAAAGGTTCCCCTTGCAAGATTCTCCTTGCAAAGGAGAAGGAGAAGGAACCAGAAGGAGAAGAAGAAGAACCAGGAGGAGGAGAAGGAGAAGGAACCAGAAGGAGAAGAAGAAGAACCAGGAGGAGGAGAAGGAGAAGGAACCAGAAGGAGAAGAAGAAGAAACCAGAAGGAGAAGAAGAACCAGCCTCCACCCTAAACCCTCCATCTTGCTTCATATTTATGTCTATACTCTAAAACCCCAAACCCTAAGTTTTCCCCCCTGTGACATTCCACCCTTCTAACCAAACTCCACACCCATAACCCCGGTGCCATCACTCCATTTTAGAGGCCTTCTCCACGGCCTCAGCTCAAATGCAGTGCTCTCCTGGGAGCCAGAGTCTGTCAGCACAGAAAGCCTCAACTCCTCAGCATCCAGAACTCCAGGCACGGATTCTGCTGAGCAAGACAGAGGAGCCCAAGGGCCAGCAGCCCTCCCAGTGCCCCACTCACGTGCAGGATGTTCCTGACGTTGACCACGGTCAGGTTGTGCTGCTTGGCTCCGTCCTCCAGGGTGCGGTCCAGGGACTCGTCCAGTTTGATGTCGCAGGACAAGGAGCCCTCTTCTTCCTGGCTTTTCCCTTCTCTCTTGCGTTTGGTTGCCTTCCTCCTCCTCTTCCTCCTCTCCACGTCCTCCCCGTCCTGCTCCTCTGAAAATCAGCAGAAATGGAACCTAAAAACCTCGGCTGCTTCGCGTCCGGCCCGTGGTGAGAGGATGAGTTTGGAATAAACACAAACCAGAATTCTGCAGAAAACTTGCAAAGATTCCCCTTGCAAGATTCTCCTTGCAAAGATTCCCCTTGCAAGACTCTCCTTGCACAGATTCCCTTTGCAAGATTCTTGCAAAGGGCTCCCCTTGCAAGGCTCCCCTTGCAAAGATTCTCCTTGCAAGACTTTCTGTGCAAAGACTCCCTTTGCAGGATTCTCCTTGCAAAGATTCCCCTTGCAAGACTCTCCTTGCACAGATTCCCCTTGCAATGATTCCTTTGGCAAGATTCTTCTTGCAAAGACTCCCCTTGCAAGATTCTCCTTGCAAAGATTCCCCTTGCAAAGATACTTCTTGCAAAAAAATCTCCTTGCACAGGCTCTCCTTGCAAGATTCCTGCAAAAATTCCCCTTGCAAGACTCTCCTTGCACAGATTCTCCTTGCACAGACTCCTTGCAAGATTTTCCTTGCAAAAATTCCCCTTGCAAAAATTCCCCTTGTACAGATTCTCCTTGCAAAGATTCCCCTTGCAAGATTCTCCTTGCAGGACCCTCCTTGCAAATAATCCCCTTGCAAGACCCTTCTTCCAAAGGTTCTTGCAAGACCTTTCTTGCAAAGGTTCTCCTTGCACAGACTCTCCATGCAAAGACTCCCTGCACAGATTCTCCTTGCACAGACTCCTTGCAAGATTTTCCCTTGCAAGATTCTCCTTGCAAAAATTCCCCTTGTACAGATTCTCCTTGCAAAGATTCCCCTTGCAAGATTCTCCTTGCAGGACCCTCCTTGCAAATAATCCCCTTGCAAGACCCTTCTTCCAAAGGTTCTTGCAAGACCTTTCTTGCAAAGGTTCTCCTTGCACAGACTCTCCATGCAAAGATTGCCCTTGCAAAGATTCTTCTTGCACAAATTCCCCTTGCAAATTCCCCAATTTGCAAAGACCCTCCTTGCAAAGATTCCTCTTGCACAGATTCCCCTTGCAGGACCCTCCTTGCAAAGATTCCCTTTGCAAAAATTCCCCTTGCAAAGATTCCCTGCAAAATTCCTGCCAGAAACATCAGAACTTCCCTCAGCTGATGCAAGAGCACCCAAACAGAAACAGCCACGAGAGCTACAAAGTCTTGTGAGTGATGGATTCCAGTTCTGCAGGGCCTGAGTTACTCGAGCACACCAAGGTCATGCAGCTGCCACCTCCTCCAGAATGATTTCTAAAATGGCCTCAGCAGCCTTTTTACACCTTTAATAATGCTGTAAACTCCAGGTACCACACAGCAAGAACAGTTTCCAGGACTTAAAAAGTGTTTTCCTGCTTTGTTGAGTCTGAGAAAGAAAAGAATCTTCATTTTCTCTGAAGCAGAGCAGGGATTTTTTAGTAGCCAAAAACTGCAGAGATCAACTCCAGCAAGTTCCACTGAATTATGGAGCACAAGATGAAAATTAAAAACAAAACCCTGCACCTACACAGCCCCCACCATCTTCACAATTCCAGAGTTTGCTGTATCAGTCAGATTCATCCAAACCAGCCCCAAACCCAAATTTTCCTCATCACTCTGCTGGGAGCACTCACCAGCTCTGGAGCTCTTTGGTGGCTTCATGGTGGTGGGATTTCTGGCAGCAGAAACCTGCAGGGAGCTTCTCCCTGGAGACTCTGGCACTGCAGCAGGGTTTTCACCTGGATACAGATCCCTCTGAGAGCTCACTTCCACCTCTGTGTACAGCTTGGGGATTTTCCCTGCAAACAGAACACCCAGCTGCAGGCAGACACACCAGAGCAAAGACAACACACCAAAGTGTGTGCTCCACCTTATAAATTAATTTCCCATTGAATTTGCCATTCAAACACATCAAACCAACATCAGCCACAGGTGTGATGCAGCTCCATCCTGCTGGAAACAGCCCCCTTAAATTAATTGTGTATTAATTTCCCATTAATTTACCACTCAAACACATCAAACCAACATCAGCACAGGGCAGCAGCAGCCCCATCCTACTGGAAACAGCCCCCCTATATTAATTTATTTATTTCCTACTGTATTTCCCAATCAAGCACATCAAACTAGCATCAGCACAGGGCAGCAGCAGCCCCATCCTGCTAGAAACAGCCCCCCTAAATTAATTTTTTATTAATTTCCCATTGCCCTTGCCATTCAAACACATCAAAGCAACATCAGCCATAGGTGTGATGCAGCTGCACAGGGCAGCAGCAGCCCCATCCTACTGGAAACAGCCCCCCTATATTAATTTATTTATTTCCTACTGTATTTCCCAATCAAGCACATCAAACTAGCATCAGCACAGGGCAGCAGCAGCCCCATCCTGCTGGAAACAGCCCCCCTAAATTAATTTTTTATTTATTTTCCATTGCATTTGCCATTCAAACACATCAAACCAACATCAGCCATAGGTGTGATGCAGCTCCATCCTGCTGGAAACAGCCCCCTTAAATTAATTTTTTATTAATTTCCCATTGCACTTGCCATTCAAGCACATCAAACCAACATCAGCACAGGGCAGCAGCAGCCCCATCCTGCTAGAAACAGCCCCCCTAAATTAATTTATTTATTTCCCATAGAATTTGCCATTCAAACACATCAAACCAACATCAGCCACAGGTGTGATGCAGCCCCATCCTGCTGGGAACAGCCCCCCTAAATTAATTTTTTATTTATTTCCCATTGCATTTGCCATTCAAGCACATCAAACCAACATCAGCACAGGGCAGCAGCAGCCCCATCCTGCTAGAAACAGCCCCCCTAAATTAATTTATTTATTTCCCACTGAATTTGTCATTCAAACATATCAAACCAACATCACCCATAGGTGTGATGCAGCTCCATCCTGCTGGAAACAGCCCCCTTAAATTAATTTTTCATTCATTTCCCATTCAAACACATCAAACCAACATCACCCATAGGTGTGATGCAGCTCCATCCTGCTGGAAACAGCCCCCTTAAATTAATTTTTTATTCATTTCCCATTCATTTCCCATTCAAACACATCAAACCAGCATCAGCACAGGGCAGCAGCAGCCCCATCCTGCAGGGAACAGCCCCAGGCACAGAGATCCCACTCCAGCTCTTTGCTCTCTCACTATCAGCTGGGCACAGCCACGCTCAAACCCAGCCCTGTCACATCAGCCAACTGCCAGAACCTGGAGATGTCTCCAAAACGTGTTTGCAGTCCCTGCTGTCCAAGTGCTCCTGCCACAGGAGGGGCAGGCACAGCCAGGGCTCATTCCCAGCTGGAGCAGCAGCCCTGGGATGAATTTCCATGGTCACCCCGGGCTAATGAGCCCACATGGCTGCAGGGGTGGCTGCAAACCCTCCAAACCTTTCCCCTCCTGCTCTGGGCAAAGCCACAGCCAAGGAAACAGCTGGGAACTGCCCCACTCCACCTCCTTCCCTGCCACAGGCTCAGCTTTCAGTCACATCAGGGAGCTCAGCACAGCAGCACGAGGGGCAGAGGTGATTCCCACGGGGAATCACAGAGGGGCACCTGTACCACCCTGCCCAGGCAGGGCACAGCCAGGCAGGGCACAGCCAGGTGGCTCTGGCTGCCCAGGCAGGGCACAGCCAGGCTGCTCAGGGCTGGCACTGCCCAGGGCAGCAGCTCTGCCTCCTGGGCAGGGGCAGCTCCTGGGCTCAGGCCCTGCCCGTGGCTCTGGGCAGAGCTGGGGCACAGTGGGACAGACACAGGGACACACTGGGGACAGATGGGGACAGACAGAGGGACACAGGAACAGCCAGGGACACTCAGGGACACTCAGAGCCCCCCAGGTTCCCCCAGGGGTGGTCCCTCTCAGCCGGGCCCCCCTCAGCTGAGCAGCCCCAGCTCCCCCAGCCTGTCCCTGTGACAGAGATGCTCCAGTCCCCGCACCCCCGGCCTCACGGGGGCTAAGAAACACCCACGGAGCCTTTCCCACACAATCCCAGAACGGTTCGTGTGGGGAGGGAACACAAATCCCATCCCAGCCCTGCCACGGCAGGGACACCTTCCACCTGGACACTGCCCGGCATGAGAAAACAGCGGGAAAACCTCATTTTCACTTTAATCTGTAACACTTCCTGAGGGAGAAAAAATAAAAACCAAACCAAAACAAACACAAACCCGCCCCTCCCGGTACCTTCCGCCGCCGCCGGGCTGCCGGGCCCCGCGGGCGGCTCCTGCCCGGGGCTCGGGGCCGCTCTGCCGGGGGTTTTCCTCCCGCTCTTCGGCGAGGCCTCCCCGGGCCCTCTCCCCGCGGGCCTGGCGGAGCCGCCTCCATCGGGCAGCTCCGCGTCCTCCCCGCGCTCCCGCGGGCTGGGCGGCCCCGCCGCCGCCGCTCTGCGCTTCTTGCAGGGCAGCATCTTCAGCGCCAGCGCCATGGCGGCTCCAGGGCCGCTCCGGTGCCGCTCCGGGCCCGCTCGGGCCGCCCGGTGCCGCCGGTGCCGCTGAGGGCCGCCCGCCGTCCAGGAAGCGGAAGCGCCCCGCTCTCGCCCCGCGCATGCGCGACCGGGGCCGGTCCCTGAGGGGGTCCCGGTGAGGCGGGGCCGGGGTGGGGGGGGCCACCGAGCGCGGTCACCGCCATCTTCGCTGGGCGCCGCCGCCGCGGCCCGTCACACACACAGAGACACGCTCCCACACCGCGCTGCCCGCCGCCAGCCCCCGCTGCCGTGCTGCAGCACAGCGCTCCGCCCGCTGCTGCCGTTGTCTCCCGGTGGGAGCGGGGCTCGCACGCAGCCGGGCACACGCCCCGCGGCTCCGGAGCCCCGGCAGTTGCCGAGTCACCGCCGGGCGGGGCCGCGGGCGGGGCGGGGCCGGGCGGGGCGGGCGCCGCAGCGGGAGCAGCCGGCAGCTCCTGCATCCCGGCCGCCAGCATCCTCCGCTCCGGGCCCCGCTCCCGCGGGGCGGCCTCGGCGGGGCCATGGCCGAGATCACCAGCGTCCACCCCGGCTTCGGTGAGTGCGGCCCGGCCGTCCCAGTGGAGCGCCGAGAGGCGCCCCCGGGGCCGGGCCGTGCGCTGTGCGCCGCTGCGGCCCCTCAGCATCGCCCGGTCCCTCAGCATCCCCCGGTCCCTCCGCACCCCGCGGCCCCTCGGCATCGCCCGGTCCCTCAGCATCGCCCGGCCCCTCAGCATCCTCCGGCCCCTCCGCACCCCGCGGCCCCTCGGCATCGCCCGGTCCCTCAGCATCGCCCGGCCCCGGCCCCTCCGCACCCCGCGGTCCCTCAGCATCGCCCGGCCCCTCAGCGCCTCTCGGCCCCTCAGCATCCCCCGGTCCCTCCGCCCTCGAGGCCGGGCCGTGCGCGGCGAATTCGGCCCCGCTGTGGCCGCTCGGGGATGGGAGCGCCGCTGCGGGGCCTCCACACGCCACAGCCCCTCAGCATCCCCCAGCCCCTCAGCATCCCGCAGCCCCTCAGCATCCCCCAGCCCCTCAGCATCGCCCGGCCCCGTCCCCTCAGCATCTCTCGGCCCCTCAGCGTCTCTCGGCCCCTCAGCATCGCCCGGCCCCGTCCCCTCAGCATCCCGCGGCCCCTCAGCATCCCCCAGCCCCTCAGTATCTCCCGGTCCCGGCCCCTCAGCATCCCGCGGCCCCTCCGCCCCCGCGATGCCGCTCCCGCCGCGGCCTCCGCCGCTGGGCCGGTGCCAGCGCTCGGCCGCGCTGGCGGGGCCGGTGCCGGCGGTCGCAGGCGGAGCGGGCCCGGTGGCAGGTGCAGCCCGGGCCGATGACGTGATGTCTGTGCCGGGCCGCGCCGCGCCCCGGCCTTTGTTCGCGCTGCCCGGGGCGGCTGCGGCACCGGCGCCACCAGGCGGGGCTGCCCGGGCCACCGGGGGATGCTCGGGGGCGGGCAGGGGGAACCGCTACCGGGAGCGCCGCGGGGGCGGTGGAGAAGCTGCGAAGTCGCTGAGCCCCGTGCGGGGCCAGCCCGGCGGCGGCGGGCCCAGAACCGCTGGGGTTGGGATGGTTTTGGGGCAGAGAACCGCTGAGGTTTGGGATGGTTTTGGGGCTCAGAACTGCTGGGGTTGGGGATGGCTTTGGCACCCAGAACTGCTGGATGATTTTAGGGCCCAAAACCGGTGAGGTTTGGGATGGTTTTAAGGCTCAGAACTGCTGGGTTTGGGATGGTTTTGGGGCTCAGAACCGCTGGGTTTGGGATGATTTTAGGGCCCAAAACCGGTGAGGTTTGGGATGGTTTTAAGGCTCAGAACTGCTGGGTTTGGGATGATTTTAGGGCCCAAAACCGGTGAGGTTTGGGATGGTTTTGGGGCTCAGAACTGCTGGGGTTTGGGATGGCTTTGGCACCCAGAACCAGTGAGGTTTGGGGTGGTTTTGGGTCTCAGAACCATTAGGGCTTGGTTTCAGCCAGGACAAGGGGAATTGTGAGTAACTGAGGCATGAACAAGCACTGGATGAGATGATATTCAGGGTTGAAATAATATTCAGAGTTGAAATAATTTTTAGATTTATGGAGAGAAAAGATGTATTTGGTGCTTTCTGGGTGCTGCTTCTGTAATTGTTCCATCAGAGGTGCAAGAAATGAAGGTGCAAGAGTTGATCCTGTGAGGACACAATAGGAACAAAACACACACCAAGAATGAGAATAAAAGAATAAGAATAAGAACAAGAATAAGAATAAGAATGGGGTGTCAGCATTTTTTTTACACATCCACCAAATTCTTCTAAGCTGAGTTGTCTCCAATAAAGATCATTTGCCTCATATCAAAGAGGGAACATTAAATAACAGACTGAAGTTGGGTTTTTGGGGCGGTGTTTTGTCAATATTATGAATTTTTCTTGCTTTATTTAACTCAGTCCCAGGCTCTGCAGTGAGACCTGGGCCAGGTTTCTCTGTGGACTCAGCCAGAGATTCCAGCTGCAGCTCAGAAGGGTTTCTGTCTAGCTAAAAATGTTTTTTCCAGTTTTGGGAGCAGGCAAAATAATTTTCCCTGGGTCTGTCAGGTGCTCAGCTTACAGCCTGTTAGCCTCAGTAAATGGTGATGTGGGAAGAACAGAGAAAATCCAAACTCATGGTGCTCTCTGCAGCTTCAAGGATGAGGTTAGAAGATTATTTCCTCCTGACTGTGGTACAGAATGAAGAGGAAAACGAGCCAAGTTCACATTTTTTAAAATCAGCTGTCTCATTTGGGTGCTGCCACGATTGTCATGCCAAGGGTTTTGGTAAGGGAGTGATTTGGACAATTTGTGGAAGAAATAAACATAGGGTTAGAGGGCTTTTTGGTTTTTTATTTGTTTGTTTGCTGGCTTCCAAAAAATAAAATAAAGTGGCTTTAAAACCAGGAATACAAAAATAATTTACATGAAATTTAAACCTTCCTAAAACCTCCCACCACAAAACTGAAGAGAGCAAAAAATCTCCTCCTGTTCCTCCCCTTTTCAGACTGAACAGCCCCAGTTGTTTTTGCCTTGGTCAAACTTCTCCAAAGTCATCCATCAGCAAATGAGCAAATCAAAATGAACAGTTTTTAGGGGTTTTTTTAAATTTTTTTAATTATTATTCTGCCTTGCCATTGCTGATTAACACAGTTGGCATAAAATCTAGCAAATATCAGATAATCCCTAAATCCAAGGCCAGGATTTTCTGTCTCTTGGTTTGGATTTTCACGGGAGATTTCATCCACAAAGGCCAAGGGCAAAACAACCATTTCAGGGCAAAGGGATATTTTAAAAATGGTTAATGAAGGATATCTCAAATCCAGCACTATGGCCGTATTTATTACTCCCTCCCTGTTGTGGAAACAGAATTGTGTAACGTTCCTGAACAGGGCATTAAAAAAATAAAAGAAAATGCTTCCTGCAGATCAAGAGGCAGCGTTCCTATGGAGATGCTGGTGATGCAGGAGCTGGGTTTGGCAAGATAAGGCAATCAACAGTTTGAGCTCCTTAGCTCAGGGAACAGGTCAGGCATGCCTCAGGAGTGTGAGAATAAATTTAGAGATGGGAGTGATGTCTGGGGAGGCTGTGACAGGCAGATCCCAGAATTAGGAGTGTGACAGCAGTGTGTGGATCTGCAGCCAGGTGTGCTGCTCCTCACTGCCTTCCACAGATGTGTCCCTCGTGGTGGCAGGACAGAGATCATGGAACAGGTCAGGCATGCCTCAGGAGTGTGAGAAATAAATTTTGGGGAGGCTGTGACAGGCAGATCCCAGAATTAAAACTGTGACAGCAGCGTGTGGAGCTGCAGCCAGCTGTGCTGCCTTGTCTTCCCACAGATGTGTCCCTCGTGGTGGCAGGACACAGATCCTTACTTAGGTCATGGAAAACAGGTCAGGCATGCCTTAGGAGTGTGAAAAGTAAATTTAGAGATAGCAGTGATGTCTGGGGAGGCTGTGACAGGCAGATCCCAGAATTAAAAGCAGGAGTGTGTAGGTCTGCAAGGCTGCTCCTCACTGCCTTCCACAGATGTGTCCCTCATGGTGGCAGGACACAGATAGCTCATGGAACAGGTCAGGCATGCCTTAGGAGTGTGAGACACGAATTTTGGGGAAGCTGTGACAGGCAGATCCCAGAATTAAAACTGTGACAGCAGCGTGTGGAGCTGCAGCCAGCTGTGCTGTGTCTTCCCGCAGATGTGTCCCTCATGGTGGCAGGACAGAGATCCTTACTTAGCTCATGGAAAACAGGTCAGGCATGCCTTAGGAGTGTGAGACACGAATTTTGGGGAAGCTGTGACAGGCAGATCCCAGAATTAAAAGCAGGAGTGTGTGGAGCTGCAGCCAGCTGTGCTGTGTCTTCCCGCAGATGTGTCCCTCATGGTGGCAGGACAGAGATCCTTACTTAGCTCATGGAAAACAGGTCAGGCATGCCTTAGGAGTGTGAGACACGAATTTTGGGGAAGCTGTGACAGGCAGATCCCAGAATTAAAAGCAGGAGTGTGCAGATCTGCAAGGCTGCTCCTCACTGCCTTGTCTTCCCACAGATGTGTCCCCCGTGGTGGCAGGACTCATTGGAGCCACTGTGCTGGTGGTTTCTGTCTCAGTCACAGTCTTTGTGTGGACATGCTGTCACCAGCAAGCAGAAAAGAAGCACAAAACCCCCCCCTACAAATTCATTCACATGCTGAAAGGCATCAGCATCTACCCGGAGACCTTGAGCAACAAGAAGAAAATCAACCGCATCCGGAGAGACAAGAGCGGCACGGCCAAGGAGGGGGGCAGCAGGGGCAACCTGCTGCTGGATGCTGCTGAGGCTGGCCTGGGGGACCCCAACAAAGCTCCAGGTGGACCCCCCCAGGTCGACCAGCTCCCCATCAAAGTCGATTACGGAGATGAACTCAGCCCGGATCAAAGCCTCACTCCGGGAGGGAGTAAAACCTCCTCTCCCTCTTCCCCCGGTGACGACGTCACGCTGGGAGACCTGACCTTCTCGGTGGACTACAACTTCCCCAAAAAGGCCCTGGTGGTCACCATCCAGGAGGCCCACGGGCTGCCAGTGATGGATGAGCACACCCAGAGCTCTGACCCCTACATCAAGATGACAATTCTGCCCGACAAGAGGCACCGCGTGAAGACCCGCGTGCTGCGCAAGACCCTGGAGCCCGTTTTTGACGAGACCTTCACCTTCTACGGCATCCCCTACAGCCAGCTGCAGGACCTGGTGCTGCACTTCCTGGTGCTCAGCTTCGACCGCTTCTCCCGGGATGATGTCATTGGGGAGGTGATGGTGCCCCTTGCAGGGGTGGATCCCAGCACTGGCAAGGTGCAGCTCACCAGGGAGATCCTCAAGAGGAACATACAGGTGAGCACGGTCACCCTGCTGCCTCGCTGGGTCACTCTGTGGTCTGTGTTTGACCCCAGAGATTCTGATCTGGGAGCCTCAGATCAGGAATGATGCACATCCCCAGCCACAAATTCTGGTTTTCCCCCAAATTCATATTTTTGGTGTGATACATCCGCCTTTCACGGGTGGATCCCAGCACTGGCAAGGTGCAGCTCACCAGGGAGATCCTCAAAAGGAACATACAAGTAAATATCTTCTGTGTTTGGTGACTCTTTGGCCTGTGTTTGTCCACAGAGATTTTGATCTGGAAGCCTCAGATCAGGAATGATGCAGATGCCCAGCCATAAATTCTGTTTTTTCCCCAAATTCATATTTTTGGTGTGATACATCCACCTTTCAGGGGTGGGTCCCAGCACTGGGAAGGTCCAGCTGACCAGGGAGATCCTCAAAAGGAACATACAAGTAAATCTCTTCTATGTTGGGTGTCTCTTTGCCCTGTGTTTGACCCCAGAGATTCTGATCTGGAAGCCTCAGATCAGGTATGATGCAGATGCCCAACCATAAATTCTGGTTTTTCCCCAAATTCATATTTTTGGTGTGATACATCCACCTTTCACGGGTGGATCCCAGCACAGGGAAGGTCCAGCTGACCAGGGAGATCCTCAAAAGGAACATACAAGTAAATCTCTTCTATGTTGGGTGACTCTTTGCCCTGTGTTTGACCCCAGAGATTCTGATCTGGAAGCCTCAGATCAGGAATGATGCAGATGCCCAGCCATAAATTCTGGTTTTTCCCCAAATTCATATTTTTGGTATGATACCCTCAGATCAGGAATGATGCAGATGCCCAGCCATAAATTCTGTTTTTTCCCCAAATTCATATTTTTGGTGTAATACATCCACCTTTCAGGGGTGGGTCCCAGCACTGGGAAGGTCCAGCTGACCAGGGAGATCCTCAAAAGGAACATGTGAGTGTGTTCACCCTTCTTCCATGATGAAGAAGGGTGACTCCTTGGCCTGTGTTTGATCCCAGAGCTTTTGATCTGGAAGCCTCATTGGTTTAACCAGCAGGAATAATGCAAATCCTCAGCCATAAATTCTGGATTTTGCACAAATGCATATTTTTGGTGTGATATGGCTGTGTTTGACCCCAGAGCTTTTGATCCAGGAGCCTCCATGTTTTACAAGCAGGAATAATGCAGATCCTCAGCCATGAAACCACAAAAAATCCGTGGAATTTGAGCTCCTAAACCCCTCAGAGCCCCCACGGCAGCCTTGGTGAGACCTTCAGGACACTCCTGAAGAGAGGCTCAGCTGCTGAAGATCCACAAAGGAATTTGAGCTCCCAAACCCCTCGGAGCCCTTTGGTAACAGATCCCCCAAAATCAGTGGAATTTGAGCTCCTAACTCCCTCAGAACCCCAAAGGGAGCCCTGGTGAGACTTCCAGCAGTCTCCTGGAGAGCCTGAGGGGCTCTTTGTGAAGATCCACCAAAAAATCCGTGGAATTTACGCTCCTAAAGCCCTGAGATCCCCCAAGGCAGCCTTGGCCTCTCCTCTCTCAGAAGCTCCCACCAAGTTTTCCCCTCCTAGAAATGCAGATTTCCTTGCTTGGGGATGCCCCAGCTGTGGGATGAACACTTCCCCTTCTGCAGCTGAGACACCTGGGGCTCATTTCCCAACTTTTCAAGCATTTCACACGAGGGGAGGAAGCTCTGGGGACCTCCCTGTGTGGAAGAGCAGCCTTGCTCAGGAGCTGTGTGTGTTTCTCTGGCAGAAGTGCATCAGCAGAGGGGAGCTGCAGGTGTCCCTGTCCTACCAGCCCGTGGCACAGAGGATGACTGTGGTGGTGCTGAAGGCCAGGCACTTGCCAAAGATGGACATCACTGGCCTCTCAGGTAGAAGCTATTTTCTCCACCTTTGAAAAGCACAAATCCCCCAAATTCTCTTTTCCTTTGTTTTAGCTGGAGATTTTGGCTGTGTATATATATATTTTCCTCAAATTCTTCTTAAGGGTTTTGGGTTGCTCTGAGTGCTCCATCACTCAGCTGTGATGGAGCTCCTAAACCCCTCAGGTCCCCCAAGGCAGCCTTGGTGAGACCTTCAGGACACTCCTGAAGAGCCTGAGGGGCTCACTTGGTGAAGATCCACAAAAAATCAGTGGAATTTGAGCTCCTAAACCCCTCAGAATTCCTGAAGGGCCTGGAGGATTCCTGAGGGAGCTGGAAAAGGGATGGAGAATTTCTGTGGGAGCTGGGAAAGGAGAAAAGGAGTCTCAGGGGAATTTCTGGCTCTGCACAACCCCTGCCAGGAGGGGACAGCTGAGGGGGGTCAAGTTCTGCTGCCAAAAGTTCTGGTTTTGGGTGTTTTTGTTCTTGCTGTGCTGTTTGAAGAGAGGAGAGCAGCTGTTCTGCCTTTGCTGTTCCAGTGGTTTTCCCACTCCTCAATCCCCTTGGCAAATTCTCCTTCAGGATTGTGGGGAAATGGTTGGGATCAAATTCAGGTTCTGTAACTGAGAGCAAACCTAGTCCTGGTTTTGCAGGGACTCAGAGGCAGTGCACAACAGGCTGAGTTATTGTAGGCCTTACATTTCACTCTTCAAGGACAGAAAAAAGAAAAAACTGTGCTTGTGTAGTCTCCAAGCACAGGATAAAATCTGCAGTGATGTTCTACCTGCAGATTCTTGTGACTAACACTTTATTTATATGATCTTTGTGTTATGCACATTTTACAGCCCATTTCAGCTGGGAAAAAAAAAAAAAAAAAAAAAAAAAAAAAAAAGGGCCTTCAAAACTTGTGTGGAATGAAAAGAAAAAAAAATCCCTCAGTGCCTGGTGCTCTGCAGATTCTTGTGACTAACACTTTATTTATATGATCTTTGTGTTATGCACATTTTACAGCCCATTTCAGCTGGGAAAAAAAAAATAAGGGGCTTCAAAACTTGTGTGGAATGAAAAGGAAAAAAAAAAATCCCTCAGTGCCTGGTGCCTTGATTGTAATCCTCAGCAGAGTCTGCATAAAGAGCAGCTGGGGGAAAAGGGAGGCTTTGTTTTAAACTTTGTCCTTTCCCAGTACCTTCTGCTGGCAGCAAAGCGTTGCAAATGAATTAAAATCCTTTGCTGGGCTCCTGGGCGAGGGTGGGAGCTCAGGGTGGGGAGCAGAGGGGTTTGGGGTGACCCCACTGGGGCTCCCAGTGCTGCAGGGACTGGCACTGTGTGCGAGTGCCAGGCAGGGGGATCTGGGGCAGCAATCCCTCCTGGCAGCCTGGGCAGGGCCTGGCACAGGTGCCACAGCAGCTGGGGCTGCCCTGCATCCCTGGCAGTGCTGGGCAGGGCTTGGAGCACCCTGGGATGGTGGAAAATGTCCTTGCTCGTGGGGCTGGAGGAGTTTTAAAATCTATTTCAACCCAAACCATTCCATGGCTCTGTGAGAGCACTGCCCAAAAATCCCCTTGCACCTGAACTGGGGGTGAGGATCTAACTCCTGACTCCTGAGCTCCCCAATATTGGATATTTGGGATTAAATACATGCAAACAGATTTCCCAGAGCAGCTGGGGCTGCCCCTGCATCCCTGGACAGGGCTTGGAGCACCCTGGGATGGTGGAAGGTCCCAGTTCCCCCCATTTCCCCCCACCCCCCGTGCCCCGGGCCGTGTCACTGGGCCGTGTCTCCCCGCAGACCCCTACGTGAAGGTGAACGTTTACTACGGCCGCAAGCGCATCGCCAAGAAGAAGACTCACGTGAAGAAATGCACGCTGAACCCCGTGTTCAACGAGTCCTTCAGCTACGACATCCCGGCCGAGCTGCTGCCCGAGCTCAGCGTGGAGTTCCTGCTCATCAACCTGGAGCGCAGCACCAAGAACGAGCCCGTGGGCCGGCTGGTGCTGGGCAGGCACAGCGCCAGCGCCGCGGGCAGCGAGCACTGGCAGCAGCTGTGCCACGGGCCCGGCCGCGCCCTGGCGCGCTGGCACAGCCTCAGCGAGTACTGAGGGCGGCAGAGCCCCCCGGGGGGCTGCGGGCTCCCGGGGGGCTGCGGGACGCGCAGCGGCCGCGGGGGAGCCGTGGGGAACGGGCTCTGGGCGCGGAGGGGCCGCGACACTAACAGCAGTGCGCGGGGGGGAAAGGGTTAACGTTGTGCTGGGGTGGGGGGGTCTGTAGGGCACGAGATCCCGTGATAACAAATATTCATTAATGATAGGGGAAATCATTTAAAAATTGCCTTTAGTCGGTGGGGTTCTGTAGGGCACGAGATTCTGTGACAACAAATATTCATTAATGATAGGGAAAATAATTTAAAAATCATCTTTAGGTGGTGGGGTTCTGTAGGGCACGAGATTCTATTGCAAAAAATATTCATTAATGATAGGGAAAACTAATTCTAAAATTGTCTTTAGGTGGTGGGGTTCTGTAGGGCACGAGATTCTGTGATAAAAAATATTCATTAATGATAGGGAAAATAATTTAAAAATCATCTTTAGTCGATGGGGTTCTGTAGGGCACGAGATTCTGTGACAACAAATATTCATTAATTATAGGGGAAATAATTTAAAAATTGCCTTTAGGTGGTGGGGCTCTGTAGGGCACGAGATTCTATGGCAAAAAATATTCATTTGTGGTAGGGAAAATAATTTAAAAATTGCCTTTAGGTGGTGGGGCTCTGTAGGGCACGAGATTCTGTGACAAAAAATATTCATTAATGATAGGGAAAACTAATTCTAAAATTGTCTTTAGGTGGTGGGGTTCTGTAGGGCACGAGATTCTATTGCAAAAAATATTCATTAATGATAGGGAAAACTAATTCTAAAATTGTCTTTAGGTGGTGGGGTTCTGTAGGGCACGAGATTCTATGACAAAAATTCATTCATGGTAGGGAAAATAATTTTAAAGTTGTCTTTAGGTGATGGGGTTCTGTAGGGCACGGAGATTCTACAACAACAAAAATTCATTCATGGTAGGGAAAATAATTCTAAAATCATCTTTAGGTGGTGGGGTTCTGTAGGGCACGAGATTCTGTGACAAAAAGTATTCATTAATGATAGGAGAAATAATTTAAAAACCGTCTTTAGGTGGTGGGGCTCTGTAGGGCACAGAGATTCTACGACAAAAATTCATTCATGGTAGGGAAAATAATTTTAAAATTGTCCTTAGGTGGGGGGGTTCTGTAGGGCACAGAGATTCTATTAAAAAAATATTCATTAATAATAGGGAAAACTAATTTTAAAATTGTCCTTAGGTGGGGGGGTTCTGTAGGGCACGAGATTCTGTGACAAAAAATATTCATGATAGGGAACACTAATTTTAAAATTGTCCTTAGGTGGGGGGGTTCTGTAGGGCACAGAGATTCTACGACAAAAATTCATTCATGGTAGGGAAAATAATTTTAAAGTTGTCTTTAGGTGATGGGGTTCTGTAGGGCACGGAGATTCTACAACAACAAAAATTCATTCATGGTAGGGAAAATAATTCTAAAATCATCTTTAGGTGGTGGGGTTCTGTAGGGCACGAGATTCTGTGACAACAAATATTCATTAATTATAGGGGAAATAATTTAAAAATCATCTTTAGTCGATGGGGCTCTGTAGGGCACGGAGATTCTACGACAAAAATTCATTCATGGTAGGTAAAATAATTTAAAATTGTGCTTAGGTGGGGTGTTCTGTAGGGCACGAGATTCTATGATAAAAAATATTCATTAATGATAGGAAAAATAATTTTTAAATCGTCTTTAGTCGATGGGGTTCTGTAGGGCACAGAGATTCTACAACAAAAATTCATTCATGGTAGGGAAAAGAATTTAAAATTGTGATTAGGTGGGGGGGTTCTGTAGGGCACGGAGATTCTATTAAAAAAATATTCATTAATAATAGGGAAAACTAATTTTAAAATTGCCTTTAGGTGATGGGGTTCTGTAGGACACGGAGATTCTATGACAACAAATATTCATTAATGATAGGGGAAATAATTTTTAATAGTGTTCTGTGACAACAAATATTCATTAATGATAGGAAAAATAATTTTTAATAGCAGTCTCTTTAGTTGATGTGGTTCTTGCAGGGCACGAAGGTTCTATGACAAAAAGTATTCATTCATGATAGGAAAAATAATTTTAAAAAAATCGTCTTTAGTTGATGTGGTTCTGTAGGGCACGGAGAATCTACAACAACAAAAATTCATTCATGATAGGAAAAGTAATTTTTAAAATCGTCTTTAGTTGATGTGGTTCTTGCAGGGCACGAAGGTTCTATGACAAAAAGTATTCATTCATGATAGGAAAAGTAATTTTTAAAAACGTCTTTAGTTGATGGGGTTCTTGCAGGGCACTAAAATTCTACAACAACAACAACAACAAAAATAAAAGGGGAGTAAATGATAAGAAAAATAATAAAACAAAAAGGGTCTCTTTAGTCGATGTGGTTTTCAAAATCCTACAGAAAGAAAAGGTGAATAAATGATAAGGAAGAAATAATCAGAAAAAAATTGTTCTCTTTAGTTGATGTGGGTTTTGCAGGGCATTAAAATTCTACAAAAAAAAAAGAAAAGATGGGGAATAAATGATAAAATAGAGATGAATAAATGATAAGAAGGAGATCATTTTAGAACAGGTTCTCTTTAGCCGATGTGGGTTTTGCAGGGCACTAAAATCCTACAACAAGAAGAGAAATAAACCATGGGGAATAAATAACAGTAAATAAGAATTACAGAAGAAGAAATGAACACCACAAAAGGTAGCACAGACATCCATGAGTGTAATCACGCTGTTGCATGCCTGCTGCAATCGGAGCCGCTCGTGCCGTGTCCCTTGGAGCTGTGCTCGTGCCCGGCCCGGCCTCCTCTCCCTTCTTCTTTTGCTGCCCTTGTTCTTGCACTTCTGTTCCGAGCTGGGCCGCGAGTCCGGCCGCGTTTCCAGTGGAGCTGGAGGGAATTCTGCACTGGCACGGAGGGAAAATACGGGAAATGGCGCTGGGCTGCGGAGAGGAGCCGTGCTGCTCGGGCAGCGGGGCCTCGTGCTGCTCCGGGGCACGGAGGCAAGGCTGGATCCAGGATCCAAACCCAAATCCAGGGTTGGATCCAGGATCCAAACCCCAACCCAAGGCTGGATCCAGGATCCAAACCCCAACCCAAGGCTGGATCCAGAATCCAAACCCAAATCCAGGGCTGGATCCAGGATCCAAACCCCAACCCAAGGCTGGATCCAGGATCCAAACCCAAATCTAGGTTGGATCCAGAATCCAAACCCCAACCCAAGGCTGGATCCAGAATCCAAACCCCAAAGGCAAGGTTGGATCCAAAATCCAAACCCAAAATCCAAGGTTTGATTCAAAATCCAAACCCAAATCCAGGGTTGGATCCAGAATCCAAACCCCAACCCAAGGCTGGATCCAGAATGCAAACCCAAAATCCAGGATTTGATCCAGGATCCAAACCCCAGTCCAGGGTTTGATCCAAAATCCAAACCCCAGTCCCGGGTTTGATCCAGAATCCAAACCCAAATCCAAGGTTGGATCCAAAATCCAAACCCCGACCCAGGTTTGGTCCAGAATCCAAACCCCAACCCAAGGTTTGATCCAGAATCCAAACCCCAATCCTGGGTTTGATTCAAAATCCCAGGTTTGATCCAGAATCCAAACCCCAATCCCGGGTTTGATCCCAAATCCAAACCCAACAAAGTGATCCCGTTGTTTTTGCCACCTGGGGGTCACACAGGCTGTGGGAACTGGGAAATCCTGCTCAGTTTTGTTTAACTGAATTTAATTTCATCCTCTCTGTGTGTGGAGGGCTCAAAAACCCCAGACCCTGAAGTGTCATTGGTTGGAAACTTTTCAACATTACACAGCAAATTCTGATCACGCCTGAGAATTAATTCCTGATCATTTTTTGATAATTTCTGGTAATTAATTCCTGATAATTTTCTGATAATTTCTGACAATTAATTCCTGTTAATTTCTGTTCATTCCTGATAATTTATGATAATTAAGTCATGATAATTTCTGATCATTCCTGATAATTTCTTACAATTAATTCCTGATAATTTATGATAATTCCTGATAATTTATGATAATTAAGTCCTGATAATTTCTCATAATTCCTGATCATTTATGATAATTAATTCCTGATCATTTTCTGATAATTTCTGACAATTAATTCCTGATAATTTCTGATCATTCCTGATAATTTATGATAATTTATGATAATTAATTCCTGATAATTCCTGATCATTTTCTGATAATTCCTGATCATTCCTGATCATTTTCTGATAATTCCTGATAATTAATTCCTGCTAATTTCTGTTTGATGGCAGCACAGAGCTGAGCCAGGCAGAGGCCCTGGAGGCAGAGCTTGTCCATGCAAGGTGACAAAGCTTCCCCTGATCCATTCTGGAGCCAGTTTGATCAGAAATGATCCTGCAGCCACCTAAACACGGGGCAGCTGCCGAGACAGGGCACAGCCTGGCACCCAAAATGTGCCAGGGCTGGATTTTGGGGCAGCCCTGAAGTGCTGGCTGTGCCCCCAGCCCTGGGGATTGTGCTCAGGGCACGGGCAGAGGTGGCAGCAAATCGTTCCTGGTGAATTGAGCTGCATTGATTTAATTCAGATTGTTCTGAGCTCTCCAGTGCAGATGGAGAAGCAGAATTTGGGTTTGCAGAGAGGCTCCTCAGCAGCCCCAGGAGAATCTTGGGTTGCTCCCAGGCTGCTCTGAGCCCTCTGGGATGCAAACAGGAATGCAAATAACAGATTAAATTAAATTAAAAAAAAAATAAGATCATTAAACTACTTAAAGGAGTGGAGTGGTGAATTTTAGATCCCTGTTGGGAAAATGATCCTTTTCACCTTTTCTGCCCCGAAATGGGAAGGAGTGAGCCAGGCTCTCCCGTTCCCAGGGCTCTCACCTTCCCAGCTGCCCCCCTTTGGCATCTCCTTTCTTTTTGGGAAGTTGTTTTTTCTCTCCTGCAGCTCCATCTCCCCCAGACTCCAGCGTGGATCCCCTCCCACCCCCACGAGCAGGATTTCTGCCTGGGCTTGCAGTGGGTTTTATCAGTGAGGTTCTGGTGGATTTATCCGTGGCTTAAACTCTTTCTGGCTCAAACTCTGTGGCTCAGAGAATGAGCTCCCCCCCTTTTGGAAATTAAATCTCTTTCAATCCTGATTTTTTTGCACTAAGCAATTGTGTTGCTGCAATTCAAGCAACTTTTCCTCAGAACATGCTTTCCACCAGCACTCCAAAGATCTGACCAGGACCAAGAGCAGCAACAAAATTCCCTTCTCCCCTTGGTGTGAAAAGCATGATTAAGCCTAGATGATCTTAAGATTCCTTTAGTTGCAAAGGAAAGATGAATTTCTTGTCAAGGAAACATGCTCAGGGTAAATAGACTTAGGTTATTGGGCAGGTAGGAGTAGCTCCAACACTCTTCTGGAATAATAGGGAACTGAAAATGTGCAGATTTATATTTTTTAAAACATAAAATAGACAGTAAGTGACAGCAGACTCACTGTAAAATCTCCCGGGTGTGGTTATTCTTTACCTTGTGTCTTCTATTGTAAAATGAACTTGGACAGTTACAACTTTGTGTGGAAAAAAAAAATAATAATAAAAAAATAAAAATAATAAAAGGCAAAAAAACCTAACTCAACCTGTGTGAAACTGCATAATGCTACAAGCTAACCTACATTCTGTAATGCTACCTTGTATGTTGAATTTGTTAATGCACATTGAGCGTGCAAATAAAAGTTAAATCACTTTAATCTGGCTGCCTGTGCCGTGTGTGACGCCGAACCCCGAGGGTTTGCTCCCACAAATCTGCACTCCTGCTGGAAAAGTGCATTTAATTCCCAGCAGCACAAAGTGCAGCAGAACCCTGCAATGCACGCGAGACACGAAATGGAAGCAGGTCTGGAAGGGAGAGGGGCTCGGGGTGAGCTCGTGCGAGCGTGCTGAAGGAGCCAGGCAGGGGGATGGAGAGAAATTATTTATAAAAACCGCAGTGCCAGGACACGGGGAGAGGGGGGTGCACGAGGGGTTTGGGGCAGGAATCCCCCCGGACCCCCGGCAGTGCCCAGGCCGGGCTGGGACAACCCGGGCTGCTGCAAGGTGGGGCTGGACGAGTCTTCAGGTCCACTTCAACCTAAACCATTCCAGAACTCTGGGCTAACACTTTCCACTTAAGCCTTGCTTTTCCACTTAAGCCTTGCTTTATTTTTCACTTAAACCTTGCTTTATTTTCCACTTAAGCCCTTCCCACCCCAACCCGTGTGATGCTGCAAGGTGGGGCTGGACGAGTCTTCAGGTCCACTTCAACCTAAACCATTCCAGAACTCTGGGCTAACACTTTCCACTTAAGCCTTGCTTTTCCACTTAAGCCTTGCTTTATTTTTCACTTAAGCCCTTCCCACCCCAACCAGTGTGGGATTTTTTTGGGCAGACGTTCAGAGCTGATGCCCAGTCAAACACAGACGTTTATTTAACGCTGCCATTTCCCCTTCGTTTCCACGTTTCAGGATGCTCCGACCCTTTCAGTGATTTATAAACACATATAATGAGTTTATCAGGGAAATAATCAGAGTTATTGAGCGGTTGGCTGAAACTATTCAATCGCTGATTATCTGCTACTTCTGGGGCGGAATGTGAAAGGGAAACGTGAAAGGGAAACGTGAAAGGGAATCTCTCTCCACCCTTCTCTGCTGGACTCCCGCATCCAGCCTTTCAAAACCCGCGCGTTTCAGGTTCTTGCCCCATTCAGCCGGCCAGAAACAAAAGGATTTGCATCATAAAAAGAGGAAAAAAAAGAAAGAAAAAAGCGTGAACAGAATGGGTTCACAAGGCGTGAAAAGAGAAATGGTTTCGCGGAGGGCGTGGAAGCTCAGCCCCGGCTCTCTTCCCACTGTGGGGAGGGGTGAAATTTGACAAGAAAGTTTCTTCTGTATCAAAAGTTCCATCTCCATTTCGTTCTCAGGTTCTGCATTCAGAGCTTTCTGCCCCATAGATCCTGACATCCTGCCCCATAGATTCCTTCTGCCCCACAGATCGTGCCCTATAGATCTCCTCTGCCCCATAGATCCATCCTGCCCCATAGATCCTGACATCCTGCCCCACAGATTCCTTCTGTCCTATAGATCCTGCCTTATAGATCCTCTCTGCCCCATAGATCCTGAAATCCTGCCCCATAGATCCCTACTGCCCCACAGATCTGCCCTATAGATCCCCTGTGCCCCACAGATCCATCCTGCCCCATAGATCCCTTCTGCCCCATAGATCCTGCCCTATAGATCCATCCTGCCCCATAGATCCTGAAATCCTGCCCCATAGATCCCTACTGCCCCACAGATCTGCCCTATAGATCCCCTGTGCCCCACAGATCCATCCTGCCCCATAGATCCCTTCTGCCCCACAGATCCTGCCCCACAGATCCCTACTGCCCCACAGATCTGCCCTATAGATCCCCCGTGCCCCATAGATCCCTTCTGCCCCATAGATCCTGCCCTATAGATCCATCCTGCCCCATAGATCCTGACATCCTGCCCCATACACCCCTTCAGCCCCACAGATCCTGCCCCACAGATCCCTTCTGCCCCACAGATCTGCCCTATAGATCCCCTGACCCCACAGATCCATCAATCCTTCCCCACAGATCCTGACCCACATATCCTGCCCCATAGATCCTGCCTTATAGATCCTCTCTGCCCCATAGATCCCTTCTGCCCCACAGATCTGCCCTATAGATCCCCTGAGCCCCATAGATCCATCAATCCTTCCCCACAGATCGTGCCCCATAGATCCCTTCTGCCCCACAGATCCTGCCCCATAGATCCCTACAGTTTTTAAAATAAATGTTTGTTGTTTTTTTTTTTAATTAATCTTTTGAGCACGCACGGAGCGCGTCACTCATTTATCGGAGCCATTTTTGACAAATGTGGGTTTCACATTTTGGAGCCCCAAACCCTCGAGGTGCCCCCTCCCTTTTCCACCCTCACCCAGCTGCATTTGGCTTCTGAAAAAATTCCAGCAGGAAACCCCAGAGGAACAGAAATTTAAGAAATAAATTTATTATATTTAAAAAAAAATATATTTTTATAAAATAGAAAAAATATTTTAAAATATAAAAATATTTAATTTCTATTTCATTTGCTATTTATATTATAAATATATATATTTATATATATAAATATATAAATATATAAAAATATATTTATAAATATATATTTATAGATATATATTTATAAATATTTATAAATATATAATTATATATTTTATATAGGTTTAAATATTTTTATATTCATATAAATACATAAAATAGATTTATTATACATTTCTATTTCTATTAATGTAAATAATTTATATTTATATTTTATATTTATGTATTTATAATTGTTCATATTTTTATAATATGTTATTATATTTTGTCTCACCCATCCCAGTACAGTTTTTAAAATAAATGTTTGTTGTTTTTTTTTTTAATTAATCTTTTGAGCACGCACGGAGCGCGTCACTCATTTATCGGAGCCATTTTTGACAAATGTGGGTTTCACATTTTGGAGCCCCAAACCCTCGAGGTGCCCCCTCCCTTTTCCACCCTCACCCAGCTGCATTTGGCTTCTGAAAAAATTCCAGCAGGAAACCCCAGAGGAACAGAAATTTAAGAAATAAATTTATTATATTTAAAAAAAATATATTTTTATAAAATAGAAAAAATATTTTAAAATATAAAAATATTTAATTTCTATTTCATTTGCTATTTATATTATAAATATATATATTTATATATATAAATATATAAATATATAAAAATATATTTATAAATATATATTTATAGATATATATTTATAAATATTTATAAATATATAATTATATATTTTATATAGGTTTAAATATTTTTATATTCATATAAATACATAAAATAGATTTATTATACATTTCTATTTCTATTAATGTAAATAATTTATATTTATATTTTATATTTATGTACTTATAATTGTTCATATTTTTATAATATGTTATTATATTTTGTCTCACCCATCCCAGGAGATTAAAAATAGAATAAAAGTTTTTTAAAATGTCCCTCAATTGCCCCATTTCTGGGTCAGTAAAGGCTCCTCCTGCCCTCCTTGGAAAATCACCACAAAGAAAAGCAAGAAAAGGTGGAAAATGTTCACATTTCAACAAACTAGCACCAGACTCACTGAAATTTTAGGCTTTGAATCACTTAAATGCCATTTTTTTCCCCCAAATTCACAAGCCCACAAAGAACTTTCCTCCCTCAGCACCCCCACCACAGACTGAGGCATCCAAAGCAAAGCTTTGTATTCAAAATTATATTTATTGTGTCAAATAAAACCATCGTTCTGTGTACAAATTTATACAAGACAAAAAATAAAACTCTTTGAATAACACTGTGTAAAAAAAAAACCCAAAAAAACCCAAAACAAAACCAAAAAAGTGCTGGCTGCTCTTCTGCTCTGTGAATTCTAGAAGCAACAGGAATTAGTAAACACCTCAACTGCACTGCAGGACTCGGGCAAGGCACAAAATCCCATTTTTTAGGGGTGGAAATGGTTTTGTTTTCCCCTGCCAGGCTCCTTTAGCTGATGGGATTTTAAGGAAAAGAACTGGAAAATTCAACATCAGCATCAGGGGCTGGATCTGAAGCTGACAGACCCAAAAATGCCTCAGAGCCTCTGCTCAGCTCATTCCTCCTCTGCTGCAGCTTTTGGCCTTTTATCTGAGTTTTATCTGAGTTTTATCTGAGTTTTAGCAGAGTTTTAGCAGAGTTTTAGCAGAGTTTTAGCAGAGTTTTATCTGAGTTTTAGGCAGCTTTTAATCCAAAAATGAGAACCTCAGTGATGGCTGCTCAGGGAGCCTGGAATTCTGAACAATCTGAATTCTCCTCAGTCATTTTTTTGCTTCAATCTGAATTTTCCAAGGCATTTTTTTGAGTCTGGGATTGCTGCCAGAGCAGCATGGCACAGGCAGGAGATGAAATGGAAAGCAATTTAAAGGTTCAGCTCATCACAAAGCAAATATTAAATGCCACACTTCTCTTTTGGTGAAGTTTTTCACAAAGGAAATATTCTTCAAACTGACAGGCACAGGATTTCCAGCCCTATCTTAGGTAACAAGGAGGTTTTTTTACATATATATATATATATTTTATGTATTTTTTTTAATCCTCACTTCCTTTACCAGCCCTTTCACACCTGGATTTTCAGGCTGGGGGCACTGGCAGAGCAGCCCAGACCTGACAGGGATCAGGAGGATCCCTTCAGTCTGATCAGCTCTTTCACCCTGAAGGATCCCAGAGAAATTTGCTGGAATTTTTCTCTGAATTTGGCTCAGAGAAATGAATTTTAAGCAGGTCTGAGTGAACCAGCTGGGATCTTGAACAGCAAAATCCTGAGGAGCTCCAGGCACTGCTCCCAAAAGTGCTGGAAAATCCAGAAAATCAAATCAGCTCCAGGACACAGAGTCCCCCCGTGGGGAGGATCTGCCTCACCAATAAATTCTTTTTTTGGAGCACCACAAGGAGCCTGGCTCTGAGCTCAGGAGCTGCTGGGTCCAGAGCCTCAGGATCAGCAATTTTCCCTGGAAAACCTCCCCAAAGTCACTGGTGCCCCAGGATGGCCCAGAAGGGGCTGAGGAAGGCAGGGCCCCGCTCCCAGCCGGATTTGGGGCAAGGCAGGAGCTGCAAGCTGGGCTGTGTGCAGCAGCCTGGGGCACTGACCCCAGAGGAATGTTCCAGGTGGAATCTGTGATTCTGCCTCACTGCAGCACTGATCTCTTGGATGCACTTGCACACGAGGATTCCACGTGGATTTTCCTGGAAAGAAATCACGAGGGCACGAGAAATTCTGGGACCCCAAGGCCACGACACTTTGTTCAGCCTCTCTCACTGTGGGCTGAGCAGCAAAATGCTCTTTTGCAGCTGGGAAAAGCACAGATTCAGTGAGGCTGCCTCCAACCCCAGCAGTGTTTGCACAGTTCAGCTCCCGGGTTGCTGTGACAAGGACAAACTCTCCCAAGTGCAGGGCCACCGACCCAGGGGCCTCGGTGGCTGGGGGCAGTGAAGAAATGACAACAAACAAAGCACGACTGTCACTGGGTGTGAAGTTCAACCCCCAGAATCAAGGCAACACGGTTCTAAACAAAAACAACCGGCAGGGCCAGGCAGTGCCCCCCAGAGCCCCCTCGGTGCCACCCAAGGTCACAGCTTTTGTCCTGATCTGCAGAGCAATTTCCTCTTCAAGTGACTGAATCCTTCTTCCTCCTGAAGGGGGACTTGAGTCTTTTCCAGACGCTGCTTTTGGGCTTGGACTTCCTCTCCAGGGCCACCACGGCCTCCCTGTCCTTGCGGCGGATCTCGCGCACCAGCGCGTGGAACACGTCGTCGATGAAGAAGCGGAAGGCGGCCGACGTCTCGAAGAAGGGGCAGCTGAACTCCCTGGCCAGGGCACAGCCTTCCTCCTTGGACACCTGGCAACGAGTGCACAGCCTGCTCAAGCCCCAGAGCTGGAAGCCAAAGCCCAGCAGTTCATTTCTCCTTCCCCTGGTTTGCCCTCTGTCCCTCTGCCCCAAGCTCGGATCGTTTCCACCCGGCCCCGAAGGTTTCCCCTGCTCAGGCAGAGCCTCCCTCCCCTTCCTCCCTGGACACTGAGTGCACACCCTGGAAGCCAAACCCCTGGAGTTTATTTATTTTCCTTTCCCTGGTTTGCTCTCTGTCCCACTGCTCCATTTCCACCCAGCCCCAAAGGTTTCCAGAGAATTAATTCCACCTGTGCTAAGAGAGATCTTTCCTCCTCTTCCTCCTTGGACACCTGGACACTGAGTGCACAACTTGATCAGGGAAGCCAAACCCCAGGAATTTGTTTCTTCTCCTTTCCCTGTTTTTCTCTCTGTCCCACTGCTCCATTTCCACCCAGCCCCAAAGGTTTCCAGAGAATTAATTCCACCTGTGCTAAGAGAGATCTTTCCTCCTCTTCCTCCACCCGGCCCCGAAGGTTTCCCCTGCTCCCCTCCCTCCCCTTCCTCCCTGGACACCTGGAAATGAGTGCACACCCTGGAAGCCAAACCCCTGGAGTTTATTTATTTTCCTTTCCCTGGTTTGCTCTCTGTCCCTCTGCTCCATTTCCACCCAGCCCCAAAGGTTTCCAGAGGATTAATTCCACCTGTGCTGAGAGAGATCCTTCCTCCCTGAGTGCACAACTTGATCAGGGAAGCCAAACCCCAGGAATTTGTTTCTTCTCCTTTCCCTGTTTTTCTCTCTGTCCCACTGCTCCATTTCCACCCAGCTCCAAAGGTTTCCCGAGGATTGATTCCACCCATGCTAAGAGAGATCTTTCCTCCTCTTCCTCCTTGGACACCTGGACACTGAGTGCACACCCTGGAAGCCAAACCCCAGGAATTTGTTTCTTCTCCTTTCCCTGGTTTTCTCTCTGTCCCTCTGCTCCATTTCCACCCAGCCCCAAAGGTTTCCAGAGGATTAATTCCACCTGTGCTGAGAGAGATCCTTCCTCCCTGGACACCTGGAAATGAGTGCACACCCTGGAAGCCAAACCCCAGGAGTTTATTCCTTCCCCTTTCCCTGTTTTGCTCTCTGTCCCTCTGCTCCATTTCCACCCAGCCCCAAAGGTTTCCCGAGGATTGATTCCACCCCTGCTCAGGCAGAGCCTTCCTCCCCTTCCTCCCTGGACACTGAGTGCACACCCTGGAAGCCAAACCCCTGGAGTTTATTCCTTCTCCTCTCCCTGTTTTGCTCTCTGTCCCTCTGCATGGACACTCCAAGCCCTAACAGAGAACGTTTCCACCCAGCTCCAAAGGTTCCACCTGCTCAGGCAGAGCCTTCCTCCCCTTCCTCCTTGGACACCAGAAATGAGTGCACAGCCTCAGGGTTCCATGAGTGCACACCCTGATCAAGGTTCCAGCAGAGTTTGTTTCTCTTAAACTTAAACTCTGAGTTCTTTACCATGTGATCATACACACTTATTTCTATTCAAACTACAGTTCTATCATTCTATTTTGGAAGGAGGTCAAATGCAGTCAGTTTTCTCTTGTTCTGTCAGCACAGAAATTCTCTTAATTTCTCTTAAACTAAGTTCTTTACTGTGTCATACTACACACTTCTATTCATTCCTCCTCTTCCTCCTTGGACACCTGGACACTGAGTGCACACCCTGGAAGCCAAACCCCAGGAATTTGTTTCTTCTCCTTTCCCTGGTTTTCTCTCTGTCCCACTGCTCCATTTCCACCCAGCCCCAAAGGTTTCCAGAGGATTAATTCCACCTGTGCTGAGAGAGATCCTTCCTCCCTGGACACCTGGAAATGAGTGCACACCCTGGAAGCCAAACCCCAGGAGTTTATTCCTTCCCCTTTCCCTTTTTTTCTCTCTGTCCCACTGCTCCATTTCCACCCAGCCCCAAAGGTTTCCCGAGGATTGATTCCACCCCTGCTCAGGCAGAGCCTTCCTCCCCTTCCTCCCTGGACACTGAGTGCACACCCTGGAAGCCAAACCCCTGGAGTTTATTCCTTCTCCTCTCCCTGTTTTGCTCTCTGTCCCTCTGCATGGACACTCCAAGCCCTAACAGAGAACGTTTCCACCCAGCTCCAAAGGTTTGCTGTGCTCAGGCAGAGCCTTCCTCCTTGGACACCAGAAATGAGTGCACAGCCTCAGGGTTCCATGAGTGCACACCCTGATCAAGGTTCCAGCAGAGTTTGTTTCTCTTAAACTTAAACTCTGAGTTCTTTACCATGTGATCATACACACTTATTTCTATTCAAACTACAGTTCTATCATTCTATTTTGGAAGGCTTCAGGTCAAATGCAGTTTTCTCTTGTTCTGTCAGCACAGAAATTCTCTTAATTTCTCTTAAACTAAGTTCTTCACTGTGTCATACTACACACTTCTATTCACACTGCACACTCCTAATCTCAGTTTTATTAATCCATTTTGGAAACTTTCTCCAGGGCCTCAGGTCAATGCAGCACCCTCTTGTGGGTCAGTGCCTTTAGGTACAGAAAGTTTAAAATCCTCAGTAACCAGAGTTTCAACAGACTTTGTCTCTCTTAAACTCTAAATTCTTTACTGTGAAGTTCCACACTTCTAGTCAAAATGCACACCCCTAATCTCAGGTTTATTAATCAATTTTGGAAGGCTTCAGGTCAAATGCAGTGTTCTGTTCTGGCAGCACAGGAGGTCTGAAATCCTCAGTAACCATGGTCCCAACAAGGAACAGACAGTCCAACAACTCTGTTCCTGTGACTGCCATTTTCACGGTGAAACCGTGGCCGCTCCCGGCACGGAAACACCGAAACACCAAAACAAGAGGGAAACCACCAATCCCTCCTGTCCCCCTCCCTCCAGGAGCACAGCAGGGGCCCCCAGGGCTCACCTGGCGCAGCTGGCTCAGGTCAGACTTGTTGCCCACCAGCACCACGGGGGTGTCGTCGGTGCGGCGCACGCGGTAGATGAGCTGCTTGAACTCGCGCACCTCGTGGAAGCTGCGCCGGTCCGTGATGGAGTAGCAGATGATGAAACCTTCCCCTGCCCTCATGTACTGGTCCCTCATGGCTGTGAACTCTGCCTGCAGACACAAAGTGCCATTGGGGCTCCATGCAGAGCCAGTGCTGCTTTATTTCCATGCAGTTCCAGTGGTGTTTTAGTTGGAATTTTCAATTGTAAATTGAATTGTAGGGATGTGCTCCCCTATTGATGGAGTGACTTCCACTATTCTGTGTCTGCCTAAAAAGGCAAAAAGCCCAGATATTCCTCTCCCAGTCCTGCTCCATTTCCACCCAGCCCCAAAGGTTTCCCGAGGATTGATTCCACCCCTGCTCAGGCAGAGCCTTCCTCCCCTTCCTCCCTGGACACTGAGTGCACACCCTGGAAGCCAAACCCCTGGAGTTTATTCCTTCTCCTCTCCCTGTTTTGCTCTCTGTCCCTCTGCATGGACACTCCAAGCCCTAACAGAGAACGTTTCCACCCAGCTCCAAAGGTTTGCTGTGCTCAGGCAGAGCCTTCCTCCCCTTCCTCCTTGGACACCAGAAATGAGTGCACAGCCTCAGGGTTCCATGAGTGCACACCCTGATCAAGGTTCCAGCAGAGTTTGTTTCTCTTAAACTTAAACTCTGAGTTCTTTACCATGTGATCATACACACTTCTATTCAAACTACAGTTCTATCATTCTATTTTGGAAGGCTTCAGGTCAAATGCAGTTTTCTCTTGTTCTGTCAGCACAGAAATTCTCTTAATTTCTCTTAAACTAAGTTCTTTACTGTGTCATACTACACACTTCTATTCAAACTGCACACTCCTAATCTCAGTTTTATTAATCCATTTTGGAAACTTTCTCCAGGGCCTCAGGTCAATGCAGCACCCTCTTGTGGGTCAGTGCCTTTAGGTACAGAAAGTTTAAAATCCTCAGTAACCAGAGTTTCAACAGACTTTGTCTCTCTTAAACTCTAAATTCTTTACTGTGAAGTTCCACACTTCTAGTCAAAATGCACACCCCTAATCTCAGGTTTATTAATCAATTTTGGAAGGCTTCAGGTCAAATGCAGTGTTCTGTTCTGGCAGCACAGGAGGTCTGAAATCCTCAGTAACCATGGTCCCAACAAGGAACAGACAGTCCAACAACTCTGTTCCTGTGACTGCCATTTTCACGGTGAAACCGTGGCCGCTCCCGGCACGGAAACACCGAAACACCAGAACAAGAGGGAAACCACCAAGCCCTCCTGTCCCCCTCCAGGAGCACAGCAGGGGCCCCCAGGGCTCACCTGGCGCAGCTGGCTCAGGTCAGACTTGTTGCCCACCAGCACCACGGGGGTGTCGTCGGTGCGGCGCACGCGGTAGATGAGCTGCTTGAACTCGCGCACCTCGTGGAAGCTGCGCCGGTCCGTGATGGAGTAGCAGATGATGAAACCTTCCCCTGCCCTCATGTACTGGTCCCTCATGGCTGTGAACTCTGCCTGCAGACACAAAGTGCCATTGGGGCTCCATGCAGAGCCAGTGCTGCTTTATTTCCATGCAGTTCCAGTGGTGTTTTAGTTGGAATTTTCAATTGTAAATTGAATTGTAGGGATGTGCTCCCCTATTGATGGAGTGACTTCCACTATTCTGTGTCTGCCTAAAAAGGCAAAAAGCCCAGATATTCCTCTCCCAGTCTGATAAAAAGACACCTCACAGGACTTTTGGGACTTCACCTCAGGCCTGGGGATGCCTGATCAGACAGAGGCCAAGAGGTAAAGCCTAGGTAAGGAGGACAAGAGGTCCAGCCTGGGTAATTCATTAGGAAAAGAAGATAATAAAGGAAATAATCCCTTTTGTGGGGTGTTTTGTGCTGTGAACTCTGCCTGCAGACACAAAGTGCCATTGGGGCTCCATGCAGAGCCAGTGCTGCTTTATTTCCATGCAGTTCCAGTGGTGTTTTAGCTGGAATTTTCAATTATAAATTGAATTGTAGGGATGTGCTCCCCTATTGATGGAGTGACTTCCACTATTCTGTGTCTGCCTAAAAAGGCAAAAAGCCCAGAAGTTTCTCTCCCAGTTTGGTACAAAGACACCTCATAGGACCTTTGGGACTTCACCTCAGGCCTGGGGCTGCCTGATCAGACAGAGGCCAAGAGGTCCAGCCTGGGTAATTTGTCAGACAGTAATTCACCAGAAAAAGAAGAGAACAAATGAAATAATCCCTTTTGTGGCATGTTTCAGCAGGAGCAAGGACCTCTTGCCCCTGGCTTGGATTTTCTCTGTAAGAACTTTGTTATTTTATCTTTTAATAAACCTTTTTCTGTTTCCAGCACTGCCTCAGAAGCCATCCTGCTCATTTTGTGCCTCCTGGGGAGCTGGGCTGTCTCAGGTGTGCTGGCTTCTCTGAGAGCAAAGTTTTGGGTTTATAGTTAGCAGTCTTGTTCTGGTTGTAATTATAATTTGTTATTTTTGTAGGTGCAAAAATTGATTCTCTTTTATTGGAACAGGTAAATTGAGGAGTGTTTTTTGAATGCTGAAAAACCACTTTTTAAAGCTGATGACAACAAGAGGTTAGTTTCCTGGAATTACAGAAAGAGAAGTCTAGCTTGTAGATATCTCCTATTTTTTATGGTTTTGGTGATTTTCTTGAGGTGCTGCTGGCTCAAGCCCTGAGTCTGCAATCAAAGCAAAGCCAACCCAACCCAAGCATTCTTTGTGCAGGATTTCTGCACCTGGTCATGCCAGCTGCTCCCAGTTCTCCTGGGATGCTCATACCTGTCCTGCTGTGTCCAAAATATCCAGGTTGGCAGGCTCGTCGTCGATGCGGATCCGGATTTTATAGGCATCCTCTGCAGCCCCAAAAAATTGGGATACAAGCACAAAACTCATCAGCTCACAAAGGAAATGCTAGCCCAGAACCACCCAGCCTGCTAGGAGCACTGGAGTACCTCAGTCTGAGATTTGTTTCCATTAAATCAAGCTCAATTTCTGATTGTTCTGGTGTGATTTAAAAGCCATGTGCTGTTCCTGTGCCCACAGCACAGAAACTCATTTTGGTCAAACACAGAGGAAGAACATTTTGTTTTCCTCAAAGCCAGAAAAGATCTGGGATTCAAGGGAAGAACTGGCCACTAAAAACATCTGATTTCTTAGAATCTATAATTTCTTAGAATTATAATAGATATCAGCAAAAGAGGTGAAACATTGTATATGGAAATATACACAGGGCACATCTGGTGCCACCCTGCCCAGGCAGGGCACAGCCAGGTGGCTCTGGGTGCCCAGGCAGGGCACAGCCAGGCTCAGGCACAGCCAGGCTCAGGGCACAGCCAGGCAGGGCAAGCAGGGCAAACCCGGCAGGGCAAGCCCGGCAACCGGGCAAACCGAGCAAACCCGGCAGGGCAAACCCGGCAGGGCAAGCCCGGCAACCGGGCAAACCGAGCAAACCCGGCAGGGCAAACCGACCAGGGCAAACCCAGCAAACCCGGCAAACCCGGCAGGGCAAACCCGGCAGGGCAAGCCCGGCAACCGGGCAAACCGAGCAAACCCGGCAGGGCAAACCCGGCAGGGCAAGCCCGGCAACCGGGCAAACCGAGCAAACCCGGCAGGGCAAACCGACCAGGGCAAACCCAGCAAACCCGGCAAACCCGGCAGGGCAAACCCGGCAGGGCAAGCCCGGCAACCGGGCAAACCGAGCAAACCCGGCAGGGCAAACCCGGCAGGGCAAGCCCGGCAACCGGGCAAACCGAGCAAACCCGGCAGGGCAAACCGACCAGGGCAAACCCAGCAAACCCGGCAAACCCGGCAGGGCAAACCCGGCAGGGCAAGCCCGGCAACCGGGCAAACCGAGCAAACCCGGCAGGGCAAACCCGGCAGGGCAAGCCCGGCAACCGGGCAAACCGAGCAAACCCGGCAGGGCAAACCGACCAGGGCAAACCCAGCAAACCCGGCAAACCCGGCAGGGCAAACCCGGCAGGGCAAGCCCGGCAACCGGGCAAACCGAGCAAACCCGGCAGGGCAAACCCGGCAGGGCAAGCCCGGCAACCGGGCAAACCGAGCAAACCCGGCAGGGCAAACCGACCAGGGCAAACCCAGCAAACCCGGCAAACCCGGCAGGGCAAACCCGGCAGGGCAAGCCCGGCAACCGGGCAAACCGAGCAAACCCGGCAGGGCAAACCCGGCAGGGCAAGCCCGGCAACCGGGCAAACCGAGCAAACCCGGCAGGGCAAACCGACCAGGGCAAACCCAGCAAACCCGGCAAACCCGGCAGGGCAAACCCGGCAGGGCAAGCCCGGCAACCGGGCAAACCGAGCAAACCCGGCAGGGCAAACCCGGCAGGGCAAGCCCGGCAACCGGGCAAACCGAGCAAACCCGGCAGGGCAAACCGACCAGGGCAAACCCAGCAAACCCGGCAAACCCGGCAGGGCAAACCCGGCAGGGCAAGCCCGGCAACCGGGCAAACCGAGCAAACCCGGCAGGGCAAACCCGGCAGGGCAAGCCCGGCAACCGGGCAAACCGAGCAAACCCGGCAGGGCAAACCGACCAGGGCAAACCCAGCAAACCCGGCAAACCCGGCAGGGCAAACCCGGCAGGGCAAGCCCGGCAACCGGGCAAACCGAGCAAACCCGGCAGGGCAAACCCGGCAGGGCAAGCCCGGCAACCGGGCAAACCGAGCAAACCCGGCAGGGCAAACCGACCAGGGCAAACCCAGCAAACCCGGCAAACCCGGCAGGGCAAACCCGGCAGGGCAAGCCCGGCAACCGGGCAAACCGAGCAAACCCGGCAGGGCAAACCCGGCAGGGCAAGCCCGGCAACCGGGCAAACCGAGCAAACCCGGCAGGGCAAACCGACCAGGGCAAACCCAGCAAACCCGGCAAACCCGGCAGGGCAAACCCGGCAGGGCAAGCCCGGCAACCGGGCAAACCGAGCAAACCCGGCAGGGCAAACCCGGCAGGGCAAGCCCGGCAACCGGGCAAACCGAGCAAACCCGGCAGGGCAAACCGACCAGGGCAAACCCAGCAAACCCGGCAAACCCGGCAGGGCAAACCCGGCAGGGCAAGCCCGGCAACCGGGCAAACCGAGCAAACCCGGCAGGGCAAACCCGGCAGGGCAAGCCCGGCAACCGGGCAAACCGAGCAAACCCGGCAGGGCAAACCGACCAGGGCAAACCCAGCAAACCCGGCAAACCCGGCAGGGCAAACCCGGCAGGGCAAGCCCGGCAACCGGGCAAACCGAGCAAACCCGGCAGGGCAAACCCGGCAGGGCAAGCCCGGCAACCGGGCAAACCGAGCAAACCCGGCAGGGCAAACCGACCAGGGCAAACCCAGCAAACCCGGCAAACCCGGCAGGGCAAACCCGGCAGGGCAAGCCCGGCAACCGGGCAAACCGAGCAAACCCGGCAGGGCAAACACAGCAACCGGGCAAACCCGGCAGGGCAAGCCCGGCAGGGCAAACCCAGCAAACCCGGCAGGGCAAACCGAGCAAACCCAACCGAGCAAACCCGGCAGGGCAAACCGAGCAAACCCGGCAGGGCAAACACAGCAACCGGGCAAACCCGGCAGGGCAAGCCCGGCAGGGCAAACCCAGCAAACCCGGCAGGGCAAACCGAGCAAACCCGGCAGGGCAAACCGAGCAAACCCGGCAGGGCAAACCCAGCAAACAAACCCGGCAGGGCAAACCGAGCAAACCCGGCAGGGCAAACCGAGCAAACCCGGCAGGGCAAACCGAGCAAACCCGGCAGGGCAAACCGAGCAAACCCGGCAGGGCAAACCCGGCAAACCCGGCAGGGCAAACCCGGCAAACCCGGCAGGGCAAACCGACCAGGGCAAATCCGGAACCGGGCAAACCCAGCAAACCCAGAAAACCGAGCAAACCCGGCAGGGCAAACCGAGCAAACCCAGCAAAGCAAACCGAGCACAGCAAGGCAAACCGAGCAAACCGAACCGAGGACAGCAAGGCAAAGCAAACCCAGCAAAGCAAGGCAAACCGAGCAAAGCTAACTGAGCAAACCGAGCAAAGCAAACCGAACCGAGAAAAGCAAGGCAAAGCAAACCGAGCGAACCAAACCTAACCCAGCAAAGCAAACGCAGGAAAGCAAAGCAAACCAAACAGAGCAAAGCAAACCGAGCAAAGCAAACCAAAGCAAAGGCGGGGCTGCCACCGGCCCGGGGATGCTCCGCCCGTGGCCTCAGGCGGGACGGGCTGCGGGACGCGGCCGGAGGCGGAAGGGGATGACCGGGACAGCCCGGGAGGGGCCGGGACAGCCCGGGATGGGCAGGGACAGGCCGGGATGGAGCAGCCGTGATGTCCCAGGAGGGGCCGGGACAGCCCGGGAGGGCCGGGGAGAAGTCGGGACAGCCCCACGGGGACATCCCAGGAGGGATCAGGACACCCCGGGAGGGCCGGGACAGCCCGGGAGGGTCGGGACAGCCCGGCAGCGGCGGCGCCGCCTCAGAACGCGGCTCTGGTCACGGCCCGCGGCTCCCCCCGGCCAAGCGGGGTGCCGGGGCCGCCGGCGGCCGCAGCCCCGCACTCACCGCTCTTGCCGACGCCTCCCGCGCCCAGCATCACGAGCTTGTACTCGCGGGACTGCCCCGCGGCGCCGCCGCCGCCGCCCGGGCGGGCTGCGGGCTCCATGGCCGCCCCTCAGCGCTGCCCCGCGGCCGCTCCGAAATGGCGGCGGCTCCTCCGCCCCACTGCCCGCCCCGGCCAGCGCGCCTGCGCGGGCAGCGCCACGACGGCGGCGCGGAGGGGACACAAGGGATCGGGACGGGACCGCGCGGGACGGGACGGGGACAGGACGGGACAGGGGACACGGAGGGGACACGATGGGACACAGTGGGGACACGCTAAGGACTCAGCGGGACACGACAGGGACACAAGGGGACAGGCACTGCCCCCCGGAGCAGCACCCCCTCCCCAGCCCCAGGTCCCCTCAGCCCCTCGGGTCCCCCCCAGTCCGAGCCCCCCCTCCCAGCCTGGCACCTCCGGGGGACCCCTGATCCTTGGGGACCCCCAGCCCGAACCCCATCAGAAAGCTTCAAGCCATACAGAGTAACACCATACCACTTCAGAAGGCTTCAAGCATCTGCCCCTACAGACCCACACCACTTCAGAAGGCTTCAAGCATCTGCCTTTCTTGTGCTTTAGCCCAGACTTTTATACCCCTCATTGTTCATGCATTGCACCTGTGTGCCCCCTGTTCCTTTTGGTGGTAGGTCAGTGCACCTCAGCACTCCATGGCTCATTGCTTTCAATGCTACTCACCTGCTTTTACAGTTGTAGCCATTAGGGATGAGGCTCGGCCACAGCCCCACTCCCAATGGCCATAAACTATGCTCCTACAGGAGCCCAAGCTGGCAGGATTCCCAAGAAGGAACCCATGGGCACACCTCATCCCTGGAGGAGGGAGGCACCACACTGGGAGGAAGCTGGTGGGAACCACTGGGCTGGCTCTCCAAGCAAGTGCTGCCTCCAGCAGCCCCTCTGGAGAGGAAGCTGGTGGGAACCACTGGGCTGGCTCTCCAAGCAAGTGCTGCCTCCAGCAGCCCCTCTGGAGAGGAAGCTGGTGGGAACCACTGGGCTGGCTCTCCAAGCAAGTGCTGCCTCCAGCAGCCCCTCTGGAGCCCTGCTCCCAGGACATTCCAGTGCAGAGGTGACAGAGGGCTGCACAGCTCAGGTGACACACACCCTGACTGCAGGGCTGTCACCCTCACCCTGCTCCCAACAGGGACAGCCAGAAGACTCTGGCCGCAGAGCAGGGGGCCACTGACCAAATTGCTGCAGCAACACCTGCAACAGCAGGGCCCAGCCCAGGGCTGGAGCAAGCACCCATCTACTGCTGCACCACTCCAAATGTACCTGAGATTTTTGTTGCTTTTCAGTGGGGGAAGACGAGGACATGCACAGACACCAAAATCCTCCCCAGAGGAGGCAGAGGGCTCCAGCCTGCTGGCAGCACACAGCTGCTCTGTCTGCCACCAGCAGGAGGCTTCGGGCAAGCACTCGGGACCTGTGGTGGCCACAGCATTCCACTAGCCAAGGAGCTTTAGGGGCTGCCAGGCTGCTCAGATCACCAGCAGAGCCATCCTAGCTCTCCCCCATCCTGAGATGCCACAGCTCTTCCCACCAAAACTTGGAGACAGCAGAACAGCTACAAGCAAACCCCCCAGTCCCAGCCCCTCTACCTCTGGAGATCCCCCCATCCTTGGAGACCCCTGATCCTTGGGGACCCCCAACTCTGGATCCCCCCCACCCTTACCAGACCCCAAACCTCAGGGATCCCCCCAATCCTCGGGGACCCCCAGCCCTGCACCCCCCCCACCCTTTCAGCACAGGCCCCAAAGCAGCAGCAGGAAGCAGAATATTTATATATTTATTTATAATGAAAGGATGGTTCCAATTATTTACAGCACGTGGGGAAGCAGAGTTTGCAGAGCTGAGGACAGCAGGGACACAGCCCCTTCTCTAAAGAAAAGCTCCTGTCCCAAAACCTGTCCCTGTGTCACTGCCTCTGGCTGAACCAGCCCCCGGAGCAGTTTGTGTCCAAAACAGTCCAAAAGCAGCCCAAAAACTCATTGCCAGGTTCTGCAGGTGAGCTTTCCTGGGGGAAACCACCGTGGAAGCTTCTGGCTCTGGTGGGATCCAGGAGTGAGGGAAGGGATGGGGGTGAGCCTCTGGAAAAGGAATTGCTGCTGATTCAGAGTTCTGGGAGATGGAAAACAGTTCAGCACTTGGGCTGCAGTGCCAAAACATCTGCAGCCAGCCCAACATCTGGCCAGAATGGGAACTCGTGGCACTGGTAAAATCACACCTCAACATCAATCCAAGCCCAGTGACAGATGTTGGAAATAAAACCAAGCGTTCCAAACGTGATGCTCAAGTTTGTCATGGCTGCTGGATGTTCCTTCCTCTGGTCAAAGCCCAAAATTGAGGCTGAGTCACCAGCAGATCACTGGGGCTGACAGCAGGAGCACTCCAAAAATGCAAATGCAGAGTGAAGTGTCACTGACTCTTCCCTTTATGTTATCTGGGAGAAATGGGAAATATGGCCCAAGAGGCTTCCCTGGCTCCTCTTGACAGCACTTCCCCCTTGCCCAAGGGACTAGCTGCTACTCCAAACACTCCTTTTTAAAAATTGACAAATATGCTGCCAAAATGAGGATTTTTAAAAAACCACGCAGCCCTTCCAAGGGGAAAAATTGGCTTCTGCAAATGTAAAAACAACTCCTCTTTGCCAAGTTCATTCTGGAATATACATGCATTATTGCTAGAGGGGGGAAAAACCAGATGGATGGGAACTTTTGTGCAGGTTGTTCATGGTGCCATCCAGAAAGGCATCTGTTGTTTAGCTCGCTGTTGGGAGGATGGGTACTGGTACCCCAAACTCCAGCCCTGTGAAAAAGTACTTGCATTTTTATGGCCACCGTGTTCCTCCTCTTCATCTGAAGAATCTCCAGCGTAAGCCACTAATCCAAAGCCCTTTTCTGCAGTTTTCATCTTCTTGGCTTGATGATCTAGGAGGGGAAAACAAAACGAGACCCCCCCAGCACCACCCCCCAAGAAGGAAAAAAAAAATAAAACCAAAACGAATAAAAAGAGATAAAACGCCCCAAAAACGAGTTAATAATAATAATAATTAAAAAAAAAAAAAGATGTTAATTGTAAATTGTTAGTTGGACACCATTTTGAGGTCACAAGGCCAATGGTCATCCAAGGTCGAAGGCCACAGGAAACAGCAGCAGCAACAGCCATGTGATCCACCAGAACCATGTAAGAGAACACAGAAACAAGAAAGAAACACACAGAAAAGGTCAAGTTAGCAAATGGCTCTCAGGGGGGGCAATTAAAGAGATCAACACGTAAAGAAAAGTAGAAATTTTGCTCAAAAGGAAGCTAACAGGAGAGCAGTGTCTGCCAGCGAGATGCAGAAGAGCTAAGGTCCACCAGGCTGGGTGGTGTCCCTGCAGAGCTGAAAGCACTCAGCTGCCTGCACAAATCAAGCCTGACAAGCTGCAAGCCTTGCTGAGTGACAGGAAAGATGAAATCCTGGCAGCACTGGTGCTGTCTGCAGGCAGAAATGTGTGTAAATCCCCAGCTGAGCAGAACTCCCCCACGCTCCTCAGGGCCTCTGCTCACAATGCACAGCCACAACACAGCCCCAGCACCCACAAAACAGCCCCAGCACATTCTGATAGGTGAAAACTCCCTGTTTTTAGTCCCTTAGTTGGTTAAACTCCCATTATTTCAAACAAGTATTTATTAGAGTTTTGAGAAGCCACCTGTGTGTGTAACAATGAAAAGCCACAAAACAGCCCCAGCACATTCTGATAGGTGAAAACTCCCTGTTTTTAGTCCCTTAGTTGGTTAAACTCCCATTATTTCAAACAAGTATTTATTAGAGTTTTGAGAAGCCACCTGTGTGTGTAACAATGAAAAGCCACAAAACAGCCCCAGCACATTCTGATAGGTGAAAACTCCCTGTTTTTAGTCCCTTAGTTGGTTAAACTCCCATTATTTCAAACAAGTATTTATTAGAGTTTTGAGAAGCCACCTGTGTGTGTAACAATGAAAAGCCACAAAACAGCCCCAGCACATTCTGATAGGTGAAAACTCCCTGTTTTTAGTCCCTTAGTTGGTTAAACTCCCATTATTTCAAACAAGTATTTATTAGAGTTTTGAGAAGCCACCTGTGTGTGTAACAATGAAAAGCTACAAAACAACCCCACATGTTCTGTGCTGCCTGATGGGTCAAAACTCCGTGGTTTTAGTCCCTTAGCTAATTACACTCCCCTCATTTCATAGAGATATTTATTAAAGCTTTAAGAAGCACCCTGTGTGTTGCTTCTCAATGGAAAGCCACAAAACAACCCCACCACATTCTGATGGGTCAAACTCCCTGTCTTTAGTCCCTTAGCTAATTACACTCCCCTCATTTCATAGAGATATTTATTAAAGCTTTGAGAAGCCACCTGTGAGCGTAACAATGCAAAGCTACAAAACAACCCCACCACATTCTGATGGGTCAAACTCCCTGTCTTTAGTCCCTTAGCTAATTACACTCCCCTCATTTCATAGAGATATTTATTAAAGCTTTGAGAAGCCACCTGTGAGCGTAACAATGCAAAGCTACAAAACAACCCCACCACATTCTGATGGGTCAAACTCCCTGTCTTTAGTCCCTTAGCTAATTACACTCCCCTCATTTCATAGAGATATTTATTAAAGCTTTGAGAAGCCACCTGTGAGCGTAACAATGCAAAGCTACAAAACAACCCCACCACATTCTGATGGGTCAAACTCCCTGTCTTTAGTCCCTTAGCTAATTACACTCCCCTCATTTCATAGAGATATTTATTAAAGCTTTGAGAAGCCACCTGTGAGCGTAACAATGCAAAGCTACAAAACAACCCCACCACATTCTGATGGGTCAAACTCCCTGTCTTTAGTCCCTTAGCTAATTACACTCCCCTCATTTCATAGAGATATTTATTAAAGCTTTGAGAAGCCACCTGTGAGCGTAACAATGCAAAGCTACAAAACAACCCCACCACATTCTGATGGGTCAAACTCCCTGTCTTTAGTCCCTTAGCTAATTACACTCCCCTCATTTCATAGAGATATTTATTAAAGCTTTGAGAAGCCACCTGTGAGCGTAACAATGCAAAGCTACAAAACAACCCCACCACATTCTGATGGGTCAAACTCCCTGTCTTTAGTCCCTTAGCTAATTACACTCCCCTCATTTCATAGAGATATTTATTAAAGCTTTGAGAAGCCACCTGTGAGCGTAACAATGCAAAGCTACAAAACAACCCCACCACATTCTGATGGGTCAAACTCCCTGTCTTTAGTCCCTTAGCTAATTACACTCCCCTCATTTCATAGAGATATTTATTAAAGCTTTGAGAAGCCACCTGTGAGCGTAACAATGCAAAGCTACAAAACAACCCCACCACATTCTGATGGGTCAAACTCCCTGTCTTTAGTCCCTTAGCTAATTACACTCCCCTCATTTCATAGAGATATTTATTAAAGCTTTGAGAAGCCACCTGTGAGCGTAACAATGCAAAGCTACAAAACAACCCCACCACATTCTGATGGGTCAAACTCCCTGTCTTTAGTCCCTTAGCTAATTACACTCCCCTCATTTCATAGAAATATTTATTAAACCTTTGAGAAGCCACCTGTGAGCGTAACAATGCAAAGCTACAAAACAACCCCAGCACATTCTGATGGATCAAATCTCCCTATCTTGAGTTCCTCACTTGATTGACTCCCCTCATTTCGTACAGATATTTATTAAAGCACTGAGAAGCAAACTGTGTGTGTAACAGTGCAAAGATACCAAACAACCCCAGCACATTCTGATGGGTCAAACTCCCTGTTTTTAGTCCCTCAGCTAATTAAACTCCCCTTATTTCACAGAAACATTTATTAAAGCTTTGAGAAGCACCCTGTGTGTACAACCACAGCAAGCACCAGTGCTTTTGGAGCAGTGCAACGTCACCTGCTCTGCGCTTCACCGCAGAGCAGCCAAAAAAACCCCACCAGTTTTGCCACTGTTAAACCCAGCAGCACTTGGGAGAGGAGAGTGGGCTGAGGAGGGCGTTTGGGAAGGAAGCTGGGCTCGAGGGGGTGTCTGCCCCACTGCACTCACCATGGCTGCCAGGCAAAGACCCCGCACCTTTTCTTTCTTCCGATTCTGATTTCATGCCAGTGACAGGAAAAGCTGGTGGAGGCATCAACTGCCTGTTTCAAACAAGATTTTTAATTTGTTAAACCAAGTTAAGAGTCAAAAGGAATAAAAATCAAATTCCGAACTCAGACCTTGGCCTGAGGAGTTCAAATTTAAATTCACTGACTCTTCCAGTGACTGTGCTGGTGGCCTGGAGTGATTGATGGATCCTACCTGGAGCTCTGCAAGGCCTGACCTCAGCCAACATTCTTAATTAAAATTGGGACAGGAAGGGACTGGACAGGATGGAAGATGGATGGATGGATGGAT